AATAAAGATACGAGTAGTATAGATTTTAGGTCAAAAACAGAAAAATATAAAATCATACCTTACACAGCACGTTACAAACACACAGATTTATCTGTAGATTCCTAATGCTGACATTAAAATGTAATTTCAACGGGGCCATAATTTATTATCATTGCAAAGTCGTGGTTTTCGCAATTAAGCATTGGCTTTTATATTGAAAGCCTGCGGCCAGATGTAATTAGTAGAATCTGTAGATTTTAATTAGTCGGAAAGCCACATGGCCTAAGAGGAGTTAAAATGAAAGTATTTATAACGAGTAAAGATTGCTACGATTATGCAAGCTTTAATATTTTTATCTAATACTATATAGCTTTCCACCCGCGGCTTCGACCGCGTGGAATTTTGTCTGTCACAGAAAAACTTTATCGCGCGCGTTCCATGTTTAAAAAACCGCGACAAAAACTATCCTATGTCCTTTCCCGGGACTCAAACTATCTCTATGACAAATTTAATCAAAATCGGTTGAGCTTTGAAGTCAATAAAGAGATAAAATGCGTTTTTAGACCGTAAACACGGTGGTTTCGGACCTATCCCACCAGAAGGCATTTGTTCTTTTTCAAGTTTTAGATTACGACCATACGATGTGAGATTTTACGGACGAAAGTGGGTTCGTACCTATCATACCAGGAGGTGGTTTTATTTATTTTTTCAAGTTTCATTTACACCATTTTGCTCCTTCAGAGGTGCGTCTTGCCGCCGACATCCAGACCACGGTCTACTGCTCCGGTCTTCGTGGCGGTGACGCCGACAACTTCGACTTCTTGTGGGACGAGTACCTTAAATCCACCGACTCTAGTGAGCAGTCCATTCTGCTGAACGCCCTCGGTTGCACTTCCAACGCTGATCGCCGTCAGTTGTAAGTATTTACAGTTGAGAGCACATTTTTGCTACAAATTACGAAATTACTTAGGCTGGGTTGCACCATCTTACTTTAACCTTGACAAACGTCTAAAGTCTGTCAAACTCCATACAAAGATGACCGGTTATCGTTATAGTTACGGTCAAAGTTAGGTGGTGCAATTCAGCTTTAAGGTGCATCAGAACAGAATACAACTTAATGTGCCGACGTCGCTAAAGCACCCTCAATTGTGTTTTTTGGGTTCCTACACTTCAAAGACGAATTCAACAACGACTGGTTTCAATCTTTTGATACCCTGTTATGCGAGACAAACAATTGCTGTGAACTAGTCTGTTGTAAATTCGTGTCAAAAGTTCTGATCACACAATATAATGTTACGAGGAAATTACGCCCGAATAACATTTTTGTACCTACTAACTCAACTAAATAATACTGAATTTTCTTAAATCCCAAGTCGTTAAAAATCATTCGGATTAAAAGTTTCAGCAACCATTAAACTCAATTTCTGTTGAAATTTTGATATAAGCTTTAAAAACTTTTTACTTCACTTAACTTTAAATAAATATTTGACTTTTTAAATTTTCAGCTACATGAACCAAGTGATCAACGAGACGTCCCAAGTGAGAGAGCAGGACAGACATACTATTCTCGTGTCCACCATCAACGCTAGTCCTGAGAACATGGAGGAAGCTCTTGACTTCGTCGTCGAGAACTTCCACCTCATCCAGCCAAGGTAAATGAAGCTTTATGGTCACTGTTTTATGCTGTTTAATCCAATGCTAAATTAAGTTTAGTTCTACGGGAACATTTTGGACATCACTGGATGGGATTTGGAACGTGGAACCCTAAAGCTTCAACCACACCAACGGCCAATGACAGGTCGCGCGACCCATGACAGTCCACGCGACCTGTCACTGGCCTATGATCGATGGCGATCTGCACGCGTTGGTGAGGTTCAAGCATAAGTGGTCACATGAGACTTCGGCAACAATTGATTTCTATTATGTCTCAATTCACTTGTACTAGAAGGCAGAACTGAGTGGCTTTACATAGGAATTGCAGTAATAGAATTACTGGAATTTGTCCCATTTAGTAACCATCATACACTGTTGGAAAAATCTTGTTTTTTTTAAATACGAGTATACCGAGATAATAATAACATTATGATGTATTTCAATTTACAGAGTACAAGGTCTTAGTGGAACTACAAATATTCTGAATGCTCTCTCCAGAAGACTCACAACGCAAGCTCATTCTGACAAGGTAAGTTAATCACATCTCCATGCTTTTGTGCCGTCATATTATTTTTAAAAATGACGCAATTCTATGAATGAATGGGAAATATGACTCTACTACAATTGTTTATTAGGATCAACACCTTCCTTTAAGATTGATCAACACTTGATAACTGTTATCGATAAAAACTTTGATACAATCGACAACACGAGATTAAATATTTTTGTAGCAAAGTGACCCTTATTTTGCCCACATAACGATGCCACAGCGTTTACTTTATTGCGTTATTCGTTTACGCATCCATCATCTGGCAAATCCAGATTAAGATTAAATTTTTCCGTTACGATAAAACTGAGAACATTTTTTTTATGGCGATAATAATTGTTATTAAATTAATAGAAAAACATTAAAAACTATTTTTTTATTGTTCGTTTCACGTATACAATATTCGAAAGCAAGAATGCAAGAAATAATATTAAAACATTTATTTTGTTACGCCCGTATTCACAAACGGTACGAACGATGCTCAAGTGAAGCAGAAAATCGAACGCGTTTGCAAACCTTACTATGAGGTCTTACAGTGCTTGTGGACGCACAGGGTTTCACACGAACCAATCACAGAGCTCTATTCAACGTTGTGCTTTCGATTTGCTGCTTCACTTAAGCAAGCATCGTTTGTGCATACGGGCGTAAAACTAAAACACGTAACGTGGGCGTGTGTATGTGTATGTATGCATGCACTAGCCTTCCGCCCGCGGCTTCGCCCGCGTGGAATTATGTCTGTCACAGAAAAACTTTATCGCGCGCGTCCCTGTTTCAAAAACCGGGATAAAAACTATCACATGTCCTTTCCCGGGACTCAAACTATCTCCCTGCCAAATTTCATCAAAATCGGTGCAGTGGTTCAGGCGTGAAAGAGAGACAGACAGACAGAGTTACTTTCGCATTTATAATATTAGTATAGATATAGATTATCTTTCAGACGATTTTATCGAACATCCTACTATCATTACACTTTTCTGCAATAAAATTTCCTCTGTCCTTTGGGTAATTTTTGGTCATCTAATAATTCTCTCATATTCTTCCACAGGTTGACCAGCTGTTCAACCGACACCAGTTCATCTTCACCGCCGGAGAACTGGCCTCCATTGGGGCCATCAGGGAGAACATCGCAGCCTCTCTCACGTGGAGTGCGGAATACTTGGACACTGTGGAATCCTGGCTTGTTGAGAACTATACTGACAGTGCCAGTATCATTACCAGCAGCTTCGTTATTTTCATCTCTATTTTTATTTCTATTTTCAACCACTAAGAGATAATAGATGACCCACGCTGAACTGTCCCACCAAACTCAATGACAGGGGGGCGCTACCATCGTTCAACTATATGGTTTCAAACATGGCAAAAATCGGAACCAGCGATCCGGTATTGACGGTGGCGCCCCACTGTCAATGTCATGGATAGGACAGTTCAGTATTTTGGAACTATAATAGACATGTTGACACCACCAATCAATTGACGTACTTTTTAAAACTGTCAAAACGAAACTCTCCCATAGATTTTGCATGGCACTACAAGCAAGTAACGTCACTATTTTGTCAACTCAATCAAACTACTTTTTACAATTACAATGCGAACAAAAATCGTAATTTACAGGTAATTTAAAATTAATTAAGTTTTTAAGACTAGAATAAAGGGTATTTTAAAAAAAGTTGTGGTTTCGAATTATTGGGGTATGGTGTCAAACTGTCTTACTGTTAGGCTTTTAAGTTGTTGGATATGTAACAACTACTCTACCTAATTGTTACATGTTGTCAACCTTATAGTCCATATTTTGTACTTTTATAATAATCTTTACAAATAAATCAATTTTTATGTATAAATATCTTCTAAGACTGATTCAGAATTTACTGAAAAATATCAAGGAAATATTAGCACTACTACTACCTACCGCTTTTATAAGGTTGTGCATTAAATAAGAACAAAATGTTAATTAATTGTTATTTATATTTGTAAATAATATATCATAGTTGTTTATACAGAAGTTTTATTTGTACCACTACTTTATATTGAATATAATTTAATTAAATGAGTACATTTTTCTATATTACGGCGTAGACTAAATATAACTGTAAAGATCTTGGAGGTGACACATGGAAACTAGGGAAATTGTATTATAAAACTGCCTTTAATAATCAAAATCCTACTTCCCATATTAATACTAAGGAGGTTATTCTGATGACCAGTTTGTAAATATTATAAATGAAAAAGAAATACGTTTTTTTTTACTAAAATTTGTGACTAGTTCACGATGATTCACCAATCAAGTACCTGCCCATATCAGATAAGATATCTTATTGCACTATTCACAGAGATCACACTTCGATAACACGAGAACAATTCGATGTAAAAAACTTATCGATGAATTCGACAGTTTTATTACACTGCTGGCCAAGAAACTTTACCTGAAATATTTTAAAAGGGTATTTTTGGAGAGACTTTAAACTGAAATTGGTTCGATAACTAGATGTCACATAATATTAATAACTAGGTGTTGAGATAGTGAATTACATCTCAACGATTCGCAATTTTATAATTTCCGGTATGACGTCATCACTCTACTAAAAAAATTTAAACGCATACTTACAACAAATGTTTCTCAATTTATTTACAATTTAAAAAAAATAACTTCCAAAGTATCTAAATTCTCTGAAAAAACTGATTTCGTTTAGATAGCTAAAAAAATAAAAGTGATAGTTTCCAAAATTTCTCCAGGGTACAGTTTTTTGTCACTCACTGTATTATCTCGAGTGCCATGATAAAACGACATCAAAATCATCTTATCCTAATCTGATGTATACGTTGTTTCCACATCTCACTTTCTCAGTGTAGTCTTCCAAGCAGCATGTAGTAGCCGTCCCAGGCATCCATTGGCGTGGTCACACAGTGTTATGTAGACCTACAACCATGAGTAATATACCGATATTGTTTATTTTCTCTTTAATTTTAATTTCAACAAACGCACTACCAATCGGACTTAAAAATGAGGAACTTCCAAAAATAGTAGTAGCAGATATCAGTGAAAATGTGACCAACGATGAAAGGACAGAAAACGACACAGTGAGTGATATTAAAGTTAGTGACCGGGCTCTGGCAAGAGCATCTGTAAGACCTGGGATGGTAGTTCAAAGTTATGCTGTTCAATTGGAACCAAACGAAGCGAACGGAGTATTCAGTGGTTCAGTGGTTATTGTTGTGAATATCATTGACGCGGCGACAAGAGAAGATGACATCTTATTCCATATTAGTGACTTGGACGTCACTTCTGTGGTTTTCGCAGTTGGCGGAGGAACAAACTTTATGGAAGCGAACTTCTTTGAGGATGATGGGCTTCTGGTAATACAGACAGGAGTGATGGCAACGCTGTATTCATTTGTGATAGAATTTAATGGGAACCTGGACCCAGGTTTCGGATTATATTCTGGTTCTTACGCTGGTGCAAAGTAAGTTTTGTTCTTTCCTAAATCATTAAGAATCCCTTCAGAATAAAGATTTTTAGGCGACCGATAGTTGGGCTTGATTCTAATTTGTATGAAGAATATCATATACCAAATCAGTGTAACGTGCGCACTTTCATACAATTCCATACTGATTCTGATTAACAGCCCGACCCAACTATTGGGCAACTAAAAGTCGGTGGTCTGCACCTAGGCTTAGGGTACAGACGATATTAACACATCAAGTTAAATACTATTGCATTAATTTGTAAATGTAATAGGTGTTATTTTTCATTAAAATCTGATGCACGTCCGTTTGTCTTGATGTTGGTTTTGTTGATACGAGTAGATTCAATTCTTTACTAAGCGGAACTTTGAAAGATTTATTTACAATGCTTAATAACGAATAATTTTTTTCTTCGAATACAAACGAATTCGATAACGAATAATAGAGTAAGTACTTATCACGATTTTTAAGCTTTGACCATTTCATCCTTATCTCAAGGAAAATGTGAAAGAAATGTACATAATGAAATTATGTGAGTTACAATTACTTACATTATGACAAAATAAGAAATATGAACATTTACTGTAAGAGTAGGCGCATACCGTTGATTTTTAGTTGGCTGATAGTTGTGCCCGGTTTTAAATTGTATGAAGAATCGGCCAAATCGAATCGGCGTAGTGTGCGCACTCCTAATACATGCCCATACTGATCAACTGCCCGACTAAACTATCGGCTGATGAAAAATTAACGGTGTGCGCCTACTCTTATTTTCCAAAATAGTTTATTTTTCTTTTACTAAGCTTCCACTGCTTTAAGTAGAACCTAGCACCATCTGTTTCGTTATCGAATAATCTCGTTTAAAGCTTCTCCTTAAAATGGCGCTGTGTAACAAAAAGTATTTCTTAAAGGTAGCACTAGGTGGCGCTATCAGTACCATTTCAATGAGCGAGATGGGATAAACATTTTCGGTTTTCGTCAATAATACGAGTAGTAGATTAATTTATTTAATAATTAATTACGAAAACTACTTTCAATAGTATTGTGTATGACATTTCTTAATGCTACTAAAAACCATACAACCCAAGAAAGTCATTAGGTAGTGTTATTATTAGGAATTTGCTGAATGAATTCGCTTCAAACCTACATACGAGTAGGTAGTTCAATTTATATGGATGGATAAATGGATATAGAATAAAGTTGTTTTAAATATTATAATGATGTTCTTTCATAAAGCCAAGATTACACTTATCTCTAAGAGTTTTGATAATGCCAATCTTGCTATCAACTTATCAGGCTCGAATTGATACATTTTTTTAGAAAAAATGATACACATGAATTTGTAACACAAGTAAATAAGTAAAAATGTACATACTAAAGTTGTTACAAAAATTCGTTATATAAAACAGACTGAGTTATAGGTACCAACGCTGCTTCCTTATTTGAATTAATAACACTGTAAAAACATTTTTTATGTGATCGCAATCACACCAAATAGGTATACTATTTACTAGCTTTATTTTGATGACCTTGACCTAATTTATTACATTTTTAACCGACTTCAAAAAAGGAGGAGTTTATTTTATTTGCAATTAATACAGTAAACACTATAGGTAATCAACAATTTCCTATAATATACAGGGTGGAATTTTGTAATGCCACCTGGAGGGAATACTCTTAATACTGTAGATAGAAAATTTTACTGAAAGAAAACATTCCTTTATTTTTGAAAAGAAAGAGATCTGCATTCAAATATTTTCGAATTTTTTTCGAAAATTCACTACCATACCATAAAATTTTCTGTAACATAAAATAATTCAAGATTTCATGGTTTTCCTTTCATTTGATTTATTAAGATTGTTAGAGAGATTTCATCCTTATACTTAACCATAACGATCGATGTAATAAAGATACAGGGTGTAATTTTTAACAGATTTTAGTTGGTTCGATTCCCGGGTGTGACAAGCAATTTTTTTGAAATCTTTGAATGCAGCCTATTTCTTTTCAAAAATAAAGGAATGTTTTCTTTGAGATTTTTTTCTATCTACAATATTAAGAGTACTTTCCCTCCAGGTGGCATTACAAAATTCCACCCTGTATTTTTCACTTGGTAATTTTATTCTTATTTTGTTCGTTAGGCTATGTTTTGCAACCAATTTTCTACCTATGTAGGACCTGGAAATGTCTAAAAAGAATCACACAACCCTTGAAATGTAAAGAAATCAAAAGTTTACCTCCTCTCCACCTCTAAAATTTATCTTTAAGACGCTCTCTGGGTCTTACTTAAACTAAATTATGAAAACAAAGTTGTGTTTTTTCAGATAATGGTATTAGAAAGTTTCAGCAGTATAATTATATACTCCTTAATATTATCTTTAAACACCTTATACACCAAGGAATACAAATTGATAAAATCGGATGAATTTTTTTTAAAGATCTGTTTGTTTTGCAAAATAATATACAATTTTGTGTTTTCTTTTAGCAACTACTTGGCTATGAACTTGCACCCGACCTATGCAAGACGTGTGTTCCCGTGTATCGACGAGCTGACTGAAGCATCCACCATATCATTCGCTATCAATGGTGTTGACTATCCGGTCATACTTTCCAACTCTTTGCCTGAAGAAAATAATCCGTGAGTAATTTTATGGGTTGCAAAATTATTGAGGTATGATCAGTGAACTAACGAATATGTATAAGTATAATAAAGTCCGGTGTAAGGACCATTTTGTCACCAAAAGTGCCATAAGTTGGAGTAAAGAAGTTTTTGAGAAAGACGCCTTTATTTAGGATGTTGATCCTCATCTTAACATCATCAAAAAAGTTGTCATTGGCTACTCAAAACAAAAGATAATCTTTTAGCATCTCTTAATATTTTTTCTCAAACAAAATATGGGAAGAAGACACAAATGTTGTCGCGACTGTGCGACGCGCGCCCGCAGTGAGTGTGCGAGCGCGACAGCAACATAATTACGCGCGAGCGATAAGTATGGGTAGCTTGGGGTCATTGGACAAAATTCTACGTGCTCACGGACCAGGCTTTATAAACTTTCTTCTTTATTTCAGGAATCAGTTCCGTCCTCTGCAAGGGCCACCCCACCTTTGGGGTATGATTGCTCACAACTACAATCCAATCAACACCCCGATCGCTGGAGTCTCCTTGATAGCAAGACCTGGCGTGACTAGCCAGGACCGAGCGTCTGTAGCTATCAACTCCTTCATGACCTGGCTAAATGAGTGGACTCAGAAGAATTACTTCGAAATTGTCGTTAATCAAGCCGCAACAATGAATGTGATAGCCATTCCCGATGTTGCGAATAGTTGGTACTCACTCTCCATTGTTGGTATCTGGTAAGTTTAAAATTAAATAAATAGCAACCTTGGTGTTCAGAATAACTATAGGCGTTTTACATGGACCGAAGGATTGAAGTGCCATCCGAAACACACAACCATAATCGTACCTATGTCGTCATAAAACTGGAAATAAATAGGATTAGAATTAGATTTAGATTAGGCCAGTAGAATTAGATTTTAAATCGGAAATAATTCCTATAAAAGATTTTATTGTTTTAATGGCTTCATTTGTTGCCCATTAATACTATCCTAGATTTTCGACTTCGGCGGAGTTGTGCTTAAGTGGTGGGGCAGCCCGAAAGGGCCATTTTTGCGGTTTTACCGTTAAACCAGTAGTTTCTGAGATTAATGCGCTCAAACAAACAAACTCTTCAGCGCTTTAATATGAACTTGTTGTTGTTGATTTTTGGAGTCGAACCAGGTATAAGACTAGGCAACACAATCGTGCAGGAGGGTGCAAGGAAGAGAGGCAGCCACAGTAGATAACACAGAGTCGTTCAAGAGAGTGCAAGGAACAGGTGCAACAACCGTAGTAAAGGAACGGCTGGGATGAATAAGGATAGGCGAATCCAACTTGCTAGGCTTGACAGGACTACGCTGGTTATGGTGGGAGCCTGCTGGTGACGAGTCATTGGACGTAGAGAGGGTCATTAAATATACGTATATTTTCTACTTTTTCGAAAATAGGCACGAGAACGGTTTATCCAAAATAATAAATATGAATTTGGTCTTATTCAATGTAGGATTAAATGCCCTTTAATCGTCATGAAGATCAGTTTTTCATAGTGCAAATCCATTACACGGTATAACCGTAAAACCGCAATTCGGGGAGCTCCATCACTTAAGCACAACTCCGTCGAAGTCGAAAACCTAGGATAGTCTTGATAAGCAACAAATGAAGCCATTAAAACAATAAAACCTTTTGTAGGAATTATTTCCGATTTAATTGATTTTCATGTCTTATTCTATCTACTGGCCTAGATATCAAAGATTATTATAATATGTTTTAAAAATGTGTGTGCAATTTAAATTGATCCGAAGTACAGGTTAGTCTGTCTAGAACCATGAAGCTAGAGGGAAGGAAATTAAAAATGAATGCTCTAAAGAGAGCTAAAGTTTTAAGAATGGTTCAAACAAAAGTTAAGAACTGCATTTTTAAAATCTGGTAAACAATATTTTAAAACTAATGCTTTTTTGTCAGGGAACCCTACGTCTTAATGCCTATAACTCACTCGGTAATGCAACGGAAGATTGGGTTGGTGGCCATCGCGGAGGCAATGTCGCGACAGTGGTTCGGCTACGTGCTGTATCCAGAGAACTGGATCCACAACTGGGTTCTCACTGGTATAGGCACTTATGCTGCATACGAAGCCGTTAAAGATGTGAGTAGATTCTGTTGCAATCCTGTTTTAGACTAGTGTCCGTCACAGAATAAACATTTTTCTTTCTTCTTAAATTGTGTGTTATGTGGAAATGCAGACAGAGTCAAATGGTTAGTCAAAATTTATGTGACCACGTTGCCTGAGTTAATACTGAGAATCGAATTCACGTGGAGTTAAAGTGGATGTCACGCGTAACATAATTCTTACAAATAAGCAAAGTTAGTTATACAAATTTGAGAGTAAAAACTTTCCAATCACTATTTGACGATAAAATATAGCTGATTACATACGTCTTATTTAAATTTTCAGCTTGAAACTAACCCGAATGGAGAGGATGACACTCTTTTGGACGTCGACACCATGTTTGTGGCTGATGTGATACAAGAGAGCTTGCTTCGTGATAGCTACACCACCACCGCTTTGGTTCTTCAACCTGACGAATTTATAATAGAAGAAGATGATGTCAGACAAAAAATATATGGTCTTATCGAGTACAAAGCTCCAGCGATTATGTCTATGCTAAGACTTGTGCTTAGTAATGCCGACACAGATTTCATACAAGTCGCCGCAAGAGGACTCTTCATCAGCAGGTATGTAATTCACGTAGATGTGTCACACTTCTCTCTAAATGATATAGCAATAACATTCAATAGATCTAGCGCTTAAATCTTTCATATCTGAAGTCTCGCTGACGTTGACGTCTCAAAAACACCCTCCCGTACCTCAGGCACTGACTGAGCTCTTAAGCTAGCAGCTACCTATAGTAGCACTATTGAAAAAACTGTTAGTTCTTATCAAACATGATTTTTGCAGATCGCTTCAAACTGTGAACACTTTGAACTTCATAGACGCTATAAACAGTCAGTGGGCGTCGCACCCAGACCGAATCATAGGAGACGTAGAAGAGTTCCTTGAGCCATACATCACCTCCCCAGGCTATCCAGTCGTCCGAGTTCACATCACACAAGGAGGATTGACTTTAAACCAGGTTTGTGGTCAGGATTTACCTTTCTTTAAAAAATGAATGAGAGTTTTAATTAGGTACTATTCTGAAATGAGCCTATTGATGATGCTGGTTCTCCTAAGTGATTTCTTACTCGGAGAACCATGGCATTACATTACGAACCAGTTGTAAAACTACGGTCATCTGTAGTCGCTTAACGTGCAACAGTTTTAGGCTGAGTTGCACCACCTTCTTTTTATCGTGACTAAAACCATAACCGTTGTTTTTTGTGTGGAGTTTGACAGACTTTTGGCGTTTGTTAAAGTTAAAGTAAGATGGTGGAACCCAGCCAAGTCTGTCAGTTGTTCTAATTTAAAATCCTCATGATCATGTACAACTTGGTTTTTCGCACATCATCATCATCTCAGCCATAGGACGTCCACTGCTGAACATGCCTCTCCCAATGCTTTTAATGCTGCCCGGTTGGTAGCGGCCTGCGTCCAGCGCCTTCCTTCTACCTTTATGATGTCGTCAGTCTACCTTGTGGGTAACCGTACCACGATGCGCTTTCCGGGTTTTCACTCACTAATCTAAAACCATTTTTGTCTCCAGCAACATTTCCAATTTAATACACCAGCAGTACCTCAAACATTCCAAATTCCGCTGACGTTTACGAGGAGTATTGATAGGAATTTTGACAATGTTCATCCATTTATGATTCTGGATGTGGCCACGTTTTCTCACAATATCGAAATTGGTGGTGAAGAAGATTGGGTGATTTACAATATCCAAGGACGAGGTGAGTTTTAGAACAATATCTATCAGATCTTTAGGCAGCTAATGGAAAAAGCATCATTTTTATTTAATGTATGAATTTTATTACAGGATACTACCGCGTTTGGTATGATAATGATCTTATGGAAAGATTACAAATGGCTCTTGAAGACCCTGAGCGTAGAGAAGAAATACATCCTTTGAACAGAGCCACTGTAAGTAAATATACAATGGAATTTAATTTAAGATTTTACAGTTCAGATCTTGTAAACTTGATAATAACTCATGTCCCAAAAATTTTCTCTTTACAGTTGATCGATGACTCACTCAATTTAGCAAGAGGTGGCTTACTTGGATACGATCTAGCACTGCAACTGGTCTTAACGATGGAGCATGAAACAAACTATGCGGTATGGAGAGCCTTCATCAGGAATATGGAGTTCATCCAGAAACGATTATTGGCAATGGTGGCTGATGATGAAGACTTGGACCCGGACATATACTTGGTGAGAAAACAAACAGGCTAGGTTTTAATTTAAATAATTTTATTTAATGCCAATAATCTTTTTAAAAAATACCTAAGATTGCGCAGCTAGAGACTCTGACTAAGGACTTTATGGGTTTGTTTCCACGGAGACATCCCGTTATTCGCAGGATCCCTTTAGTAGCACGTGTTTTAATATTAACGTTCACAAAAACATCCCGTTTGCAGTGTCCCGCAAAAAAACAATCTGTTCGAGTTTGTTATTCCAATGTCCAACGTTTTCAATAGTCAAAATGTTCAATCGTTTTCACTACAGTCCAATTTTGCGGGATCCTGCAATACTGGATTCCGCAAAACTGAACTGCCATAGAAAGGAGCCGTCTTCTTCTTATTTTCGTATCGACAACAAACCTATACAGTGTCAGCCCAAAACTCCGCTACAAGAGTGGCGTTGTCAGGAGCCGTAATCTGTTAAAATTTTCCAGAGAATGGTGCGTCGAACCATTGGAGCTATAGAGAACGAGCTCGGCTTCCAACCAGACTCGACGCTGACTGAGCCAGCCATGGACTCTTTGACGCGTGGCATAGTAATGGACCACGCCTGCCGCGCCGGCTATGACCCATGCATAGCTGCAGCTGTTGACTGGTTCTATGACCCGAATGCTGCCGAGCCTACTGTGTAAGTTACCACAAATGATTGTTAGAATCGCCTCAAGAAAAAAAATAAACTCTATGACACTCTATGGTAACACTTTGATTTTGTTGTGCCCAAATATCGCTGCCAAATCGTCAAACGTTAAGCTTTGGATGATATGGCTGGAACATGGGCAGATCATGAAGTGTCGGCGTGTCACTATATGCCCGGGCACATCATGATGAGACCAATCCATCGATCAGCCATTATTACAATAAGCATTTAAAACCTAAGCATTGAAAACCTGTAATTCAGGGAAATCTAATCACAACTCTGAAATTATTTCTCCAGTTCAATTTTAACTTCCTGACATTGACATAATTTGCTTCTAGAAATCCGAATATTCCTCACGATATTCGGCCCGCGGTATTCTGCACAATGGTGAAGGAAGGCGGTAATGAAGTCATAGACGCTCTCAGGGCCCGTCTTGAGATCGAGACCACGATGTACGAGCGATTGGTCATCCTGGAGTCTTTTGGTTGTTCCCAGGACGGAGGCTTTATTAACGGGTGAGTTACTTACTTACTTACTAAAGGTAGCAAGAAGGCGCTGGACGCAGACCACTACCAACCAGTCAACATGGATATCATTGGGGGAGGCCTATGTTCGGCAGTGGAACGTCCTATGGCTGAAATAATGATGATGATGAAAGTTTTGACGTCGTTGCGTTTCCAGTGACTGTTTATTTTCCCCGTGTCAAACTTGGCCTTCACTGGTCGGATTTATTCGCGGTCATACTCAGCTGTCTATGGTTAGACAGGAGTTGCAGCGATGGTAACCAAACGTGGTTGGAGAGTTACTTTAGTAGTCACAAAGATAAGATCATCGTCAATCAACAAGGGCTTCTTAATTGTATTTTATCAGTGGGTCCGCTCAGAATTCTAGGATTCCCCGAAACTTTATATTCACAAGATTTTTTTTCCAGGCTGCTCGCTGAGACAGTGGCAGCAAACAGTCCGTACAGCGTGGAGGAAAGAGTCAGGATATTCAAGGCGGTCGTCACCTCAAGCCAAGATAATGCTTTCAACGCATTACAGTTCATAATACAGAATACTGGTGCAATAAGGCAGAGGTAAGTTTTATTATTTGTTCGGATTATTGTCACAGGATAAAACTCGGAAGAAGTCTCTTCAGCTAAGGACCCTTTGGAGTTACTTGTAGTCTAAAAATGTAACAAGCTAAATATGTGGGCTAATCATATCTCGTTGATTTTTCAGATATGGTGGGGAGAAAAAACTGGAAGAAGTCATTTTCGTTCTAGCGGAAAACATGGTGGATCCAGGTCTAGCTACTGACGTAAGTAACAAAAAGATAAATGTATCATAGGTAGGTATTTCAACAATTTTGTTTCCTATATTGGATCAATTCAGTTGATGTATTGTAATAGTCCAAAAGGAAACTTTCCTAATTTTACGGGCTTCTCAAAGGGAAGCTTTCAACTTCAAGTCACGAGAAAATTTTTTTTAGCAGCCGCTCATTATAATTTATTTATTTGTTTCTAGTACCAAACATGGGTGTTCGGCCAGCTCAACAGTCTTGGCTCGTCTGAAGCAGTAGCACAGAGGTTCAACCAGTTGGTGCAAGAGAACCTGCAGTGGGATAACAGGTACAGAGACTTCGTCTACGAGTGGATAGATGAGAATGACGCCACTACCGCAGCTCTATCCATGTTGTTAGTATGTATAACGGTTGTATTGACGTTGTTCAATCACTAGCTACAATACACTTAGCCTAGGCGCAGACCATCGATTTTTCGTCGGCTGATAGTTTAGTCGGGCAGTTGATCTGTATGGGCATTGGGCATGTATGGAAATGTGCAGTTTCGGCCCAACTATCGGCCAAATAAAAATCGTTGGTCTGCGCTTAGGCTACTTGTAATATTATGTACTAGGCGAGTTAATTTAAAGAACAACGATGCCGTAGAGTCGTTGGGTTAACGTATTTATTAGTAATTAGAAAATATTTTTAAGAGTTTATAGTAATAGTATTCTCTTTGAGATTTATGTTTATTTTTATAATCATGCGTATATTAATATAGTAGGTTTTACACCTTATGTACATGGGTTATTAATTAATTTTACTAAAAAAATAATCTTATAGAGTTTAATGTATTTAGGTATTTTAAAACGGTTGTGGGTTTATACAAGTAAGTATAGTTATACTAAGTGAGATTGAAACCTAATACTATCTTTTTGATAGTACATTTCGTTTCTTAGTGAGTTTTTGGGTCCTTTTTTGCAACCTAAAACGGAGTATGGTCACATTCTGTTACGCATAATGTAACAGACATGTTTGATTTGTTTTTTTAATTATTATTATTATTGAATATGCAACTATATTACTATATTATAATGTAAGAAAATGTTATTGTTATTTTAAAACATTATTATTCACATAAAAATATAATAATCCTTAAAATAATAATTGTTTATGTAGAGTGATTGAGTTGTATGGAAATTGCACAAAGTGAAATATATAAAATTAAGAAATATTGTAATCGTTACTTAATAATTTATTATTTTAATTATTTTAATATACATTATTCCTTAATATCAATAATATAGAGTTAAAACAGTATTGAATATTCTTATAGGATAAGGTTTTTTACTGCATTTTCACTCATAGTCTTATGATTTTTTATATAAGATAATTAAAATATTTAGACGTAGGAAAATTAGTAATTTTATTATAGTTACACTGTATTTGGAGCAAACGCGTCCTCTTGCTTCAAATGCGGTTTAATTTATTAATTATTAAGTTTCAATTGGTTTATATTACATTTTATCAAAGCTTATAACGTTAAATAAGTTATAATTAAGGCACAATGTTTCATGTTTTTATTTTTAATTTATCCTTAACATTTAAGTTTATTATAAATGTAAAACTTATTAAAAAAGATGTAATGTGTACATATTACATAAATGTTATTTAAAAACATAATAAATTAGACTAAGACAATAAATACATTTTTTATTTACTGTGTCAAAATATAATATTCAATGACATTATGACTAGAATATACAGGGCAGTAAGATAATAAATATGACAACTATAAAACAATATCATTATTCTCATTCAAATATCTATTATTAGTTTTAAAATGTGATGAAAGGGAATGTAACTTTCATAAAAAAATACTGTAACGTAAACAAAAAGCAACGTGGAAACAAGAAGTAATAAGTATTTTGCAGAAATAAATAGTAACCGTCATTAAATCCAAAACAAACGAGATCAGTCTTTCTCTTTTCTCTACAGAACATCAAGACATTAATATTTGTTTTTTATTTAAGTGTTTTAATGTACCGTACCTATTTTACCAGTTACAATACAAAATAATAAAGTTTTAACAAAAAATATTTCAACTAAACAACATAGCCAGTACAGATAACGATAATAAATAAAAAGAAACGAAAGGCGACTCCGCGGATCCCTTGTGCGCATCTGTCAACGCGCTTTTTTCGGTAGACTGTAAGAAAAATTAAGAAAAATTAAAAAAATACACGAATTTAAAAAACACATACAAAAGGGGTGTGATTATATTTTTGTGTATTTTAAATGTGTCACTTACGTACCTGTGTTTGTAAAAAAATATCAGTGAACTTATTCATAATTCCCAATTTTAGAAGAGAGTTATTAAACTTTGAAGCTTAATTTGTGAACTCGCTGTCTATGTGCTATTTTATAACCAGATATTTTTCAAAAATACTTTATTACATACCACAGTAATTGGGTCCGGGGTGGTCATGGTATAATTTTCAGGCCTTGGCTCTCCTCTGGGGATTTTGTATATGAAATGGTTTTCTCTTCGACTGAAAGAAAGAAAAAAATTCAATAACAAAAATTGCATTAATTTTAATCTCAAATTACAGTTTTAAATAGAAAAATAATAACAAATGACAATAATAATAAATAGGCATACTTCAACACATTGTCATCATTATCATCATCAATAGCCCTTTACAGTCCACTGCTGGATAATGAGCGTCCTCCATTATAGTGAAAGGTTTTTCCATAATCCCCACGCTTGGCAGGCGGGTTGGAGATCCCTCTACTTCAATACAAAAATAATAAATTCCAATTTTATAAAATTTTCCGGATTTTTAAAGCAAGACCTTTTTTAATGTAGAGCTTTTCAGTATCATTAAGTCTAATATTATATCTACTGAATAAATACTTACACGATGTGTATAGCAGTGTTCTTGTCCTCGATTTCGTAGGCGTTAAAATTGTTCCCATCGAGAGTCGACTTTTGCGCCTCATACGTGGCATAGTAGCAAGCTACTCGGGAGTCGGGGTCGATTCTGTAATACAAAAAGTGAATTGAGTTTTTGAAACTATTCCCACCATTCGTTCCCACTGTTACAACGCCTGTGTAGCCAGGATAATACTATGCTATGGCCCTGAAGGTCAAGGCTTTTGAAGGCCAAATTTATCCGGGAGAATGATAAACCGTCATTGGACCCGCAGGGAAATTAATCAGAAGGAAATGTAGGAACGATTCGAAGTACTATGATATTGCCAGACAAAGTTTTGAAGCCTCAAGAAAAATGTTAGTTAAGTATTAAACTTAGGCTGAGTTGCACCACCTAACTTTGACCGTTACTATAACGATAACCGGTGTTTTTTGTATGGATTTTAACAGATTTTTGAGTTTGCCAAAGTTAAGGTAAGATGGTGCAACCCAGCCTTAAAGTGTTGTGCAATGCAAAAGTTCTAAATCAGTTCATACCTCTGGTTCCTCGCCCTCCATTGCTTGTAAAGAAGGTCGACATAGTCCAGGCATGTTTGGTATTTGACTGCACAGGCAAGCTCTAAAATCTTGCTTCTGAAGAGACGAGTCTGCGGCTGTTGCTCTATGTTGTTCGTTAGAATCTTGTATATTGTCACTATTTTCCGACGAAGGAATCTCTGAAATAACCAAGTTTGTTATCAAAAAAGTTACTTTACTACTTATCTTAATTCACCATCTTTCACTTCCATCGTTGTTGTAGGTCGACTTCACCATTAAAGCTGAACAAAGATAGACCTAGTTATATTTTTTGCGTCCATTGTTATTCCAAATTTCCATGAAATAAGTTATAAGGTTATAAGGCTGAGTTGCACCATCTTATAATAACTTTAACAAACGTCAAAAATCTGTCAAACTCCATTCAAAATGCATCGGTTAATGTCAAAGTTACGGTCAAAGTAAGTTGGTGCAACTCAGCCTTAAACTTCTGTCTATAGCAAAACCTGTCTGCAGCATCATTTGCCTGGTTTCAAACATCGTTTATCTTTAGTGCAAGTAAGAATATTTCAAAATCAAAAACGGTAATTGGATATATTTTGTCAAAGTAAAGTAGTTAATAATATAAATACTTCTAGAAACAGACCTGCCACTCCGAATAAATTACTTTCGTCATCTTACATCCTGCATCTTCTATCTTGAACATCTCGTAGCCTGACGCCACTGATTCCCACACCACCAGGCTCCGTTCCTGGTCTAAGAAGTCCAGGATTCTCATTGCTAGGTCCTGGGACATATCCCCGGATACGTAAAGAGCGAATACGTCATTGACAATCTGAAACCAGTTTTATTTTTATTGGGTGAAGGTTCTTTCTTTTGCTGTTGTCAAAGCATATACGATAGATACTATTCATGTGAATTCTGTTGGATATTAACCCTATTTTGTCATTATATTCTTACCTGGGCTCTGTTCAGTTCACTGATCATAAATAGGTCGTCTTTCAAAGTCTTTGCTATGAGTTTCCATGTGTATTTGTCATAATTAACGCGGTAATACCCTAGAAAATAAAAAATAGAAAAATGAAAAATTTATAAAAAAAAATCTCATTTAAAATCAAAGTTATCATTCGCCAGATATTCTTCTGTTTTGAAGACTGTAAGTTTTAGCTTTCACAACACAATAACATTATGGCATCTTAGGCAGTTAAAACAGTTGTGATTTTGCAAAAAATCTATAGTTAGTCTCATGACGTGCTTAAACAAACTATAAGCATTCCCACAATCTTGACATTGAGAATGTATATTTACAGTAATTACCGATGAAAACATAATAGCAGCAGTGGACTTGGCAAGTTGCATGTGTAACCAATCGCGCGTAGATTTAGAAGCTGCGCGTGGGCAACTAATGGGCGGCCATAAACATAAACATGGTCAAGGTATTGCCAATGTCACCCAGTTCCAAGTTCAAGATGTTGAACTTCGTTAACAGTAAGTATTTATGTGAGTTGCCATTTTAATTAGGTAATGTTATCGAGAATATTATACCTTGCAGATCATTTATCTTTTTCTGATACCAAGATAATAATATGGTTAACTTTGAAATTCGAAGGTAGCCAAAAAATCATAATAAGTAAAAGCAATTTTAATACTTTATGGCCACTTTTCAGAAAAAAAATCAAGCTTAATATCAAATTCGTTCCGTAGCTGGGTAAAAAAAATGGAAATAAAGTTATTAATGTCAAATCTGGATAATGTTTACATTGAATTCAAGCATGATTCTCCGACAAGTTCTACATTCTCAACTCTAGATTTAATTTAATTTGATGAATATTCTTCGAAAATTACTGAGCTAGAGATTCAGATTCAGAGATCAGATTTCATATCAAATCTTACCAGAAGCATTTGTATTAAGAATAATCCACCCATTGTTCAAGTTCTCACTGAAAGTGTAAGTCTGCCTGCCAATAGTGAATCTGGGCTGGTAGCAGTTGTAGCAATTTGACATGTCCTGGACGAAGTAAGAGATCGGTATGAGGTAGTCGGACTCTCTTCGGTGCTCGTGGGTGAAGCTGAAGCGACTCTGGAAGTAAAGAAGATAAATTAAATATACACCAAGTAATCAACTTCTTACGAGTGCAAGTACAAGAGATTGGAGACAAAAGTAACATCAACATTACCCAAATCAAATTTTGGATAATGTCGAAAATATACAGAGTACCACGGGTCCCAAAAGCTTAATTTTGAAACTATGTAGGTATGTATAATCTATTTTGATGTTGAAACAAATTCTCAGCTAAAAGAAACAGTCATTTGAAGGTAAAAGTTAAAAATATAACATTACTAGCTTTCCGCCCGCGGCTTCGCCCGCGTGGAATTTTGTCTGTCACAGAAAAACTTTATCGCGCGCGTCCCTGTTTCAAAAACCGGGATAAAAACTATCCTATGTTCTTTCCCGGGACTCAAACTATCTCTATGCCAAATTTCATCAAAATCGGTTGCGAGGTTTAAGCGGGAAAGCGTAACAGACAGACAGACAGACAGACAGAGTTACTTTCGCATTTATAATATTAGTTGGGATTTACATTTCACATTCCAAGGAATTCATGGACTGAATAACAATAACGAAAACAAATTCTGTCTAAAACAAGCATTATTCTCTTTTGGCACTTAATTGCATGTACTAATATTATAACAATGCTTGTTTATTAATTTCATTCAAAAACTCTTTTTTGAAGAAGCGTCCAGCGTCGAGGTATGCTTAGTAATATTGATTGATTGATCGCCTTAAATCTTTAATTGTTTTTTCCCCTTTTAACTTTTTTGTTATTATGAATGATATTTATGAGTCAAATAAATCGCTCTTACTCTTTGTCATATAAACAGGAATTAAGGAAATTCTTACCTGTTTTAGTTGTATAGCATTAGGAGTTCTGTCTCTCAATACTACAACAGAAATCACAGGGTATCCAGAATGACGGAACCAGGAGTTGAGGACTTTGGATGCGGTTGAGCCGTTGAAGAATTGGTGGAAACATTCCACAGTGTCATGGTCTAGGTTGGTCATAAAGTCTTGTAGGGAAATGTACAAGCCCCTTCTAGAATAAGAAGACAAAAATATTTTAGTACTGTGAAAATTATTGATCAACTTCATTCTGAGTTTAATTAAATGTTTGTCGTCATCATCATTAGGTCATTTACTCGTAATCTCCACTGCAAGAGCACACAATCTTTTTTGTCTAACTTAGGTACTCTCTCACGTTTTCCAGACGGCTTGGGGTAGCCTGAACTTGTGGGGTAGCCTGAAAGTGTATGAAACACTTACTTGTTATTAATATATTTCACCAACGCCTGATGGAACCTTTGCGACCCTATCCAGTTCTCAACCATCCACAGTATAGACGCCGTCTTCATGGTGACCAGCTGCTTCCATCTCCAGAAGATATTCGCTGCCGGCTCATTCCCAAAGTCTTGTAAGGCTCTTAAGCCTGCACCGTGCTGCCAGTCTACTAACATCGCCGAGTGTTTCATTTGAAGACCGTAGTAGTCTAATGGCCGTTTGAACTTCATGCTCTGGTAACCATCGCCATGATGGTACTGTGAAAATTTTAAAGTAGAATAAATCCCAAGTTGTTATAAATAAAGTTAATCCCAAGTTGTTATATTATTGTAATTTAATAAGTGTTATTAGTTGTAGCATAGCATTGAGACCATACATTGTCTAAAATTCATTATTTTTTGGTTATCGAATTACAAATTGGTAAAACTAAAGTTTTTGTACGTCTAAACACTGATTGCCCATTTCATTCTACTGTTTTTAATCTTGTTGTTGTAAGTGACTCATAGTTTAAGAGGTGTCTCGATCGAATAAAATTTGTGCAGTATTAGTAAGAAAACTATTCTCATCTTAAGAATTTACCTGAGTCAAATAATAATAAGCTAGATAAGTGGCAATGCCTTCTTTGAACCATTCTTCCCTCCACCTGGTTCGCGTCGGCTCTCCAGGGTTACCGAGCCATACTCTGCTCAACTGCTGGGCCAATTCGAAGTTCATTCTTTCAATCTGTTGAATGCTGATGAACTCTGGTTCGTTGATTACGCGAATCGCACTGTGAATGTGAAATTATTACATTAAAAGTAACGATAATCATTATTACAAAACGTGCTTCAGATTTAACTGAATCAAGCTGATTATTCTGTAATAAACATTCTCATCATTATTACTTATTACAGTTTTTTGGCTTCAATTTAGTTCACGGTTATTTAAAATATGATTTAAGCATAATTTAAGTCATCATTCAATATACTCACTTGTTTGTTAGCACGTTCCAGCTACCGACTTCGTATCCATCCAAGTCCTTTGGTATTGCTATAATATTAATAGGCCCAGTAGTGATAGACCTATTCAACATCGAGTAGTCCCTGAAAAATTGCAGTATGTTCTCCCCCAAATCCAAGATATAGTAGCAGTTCTTCAGCTTGTGTCGCGGAGCCCACACTATGAGCGCATCGTTGGTGTATATTGATGATGTTTTTATACCTTGGAATTGGGATTGGTGGAAGGTCACTTGTGATAAAGTGACTTGAGGCGATGGTACGTAATTGATTATGAATCTTTTATCAGGTAATCTGAAAAGAATTTGCTTAGTGAGTTACAAGTATAACTTAATTTGAAAGAATGAGTTACTAAACGACTGTTTAACAAGAGATTAGAAGCCCAAATGCTCATTATAATTAAAAAATATCCTCATAAAATAAGATCGATTCAACAGGTAAAGAAGTAAATTTAAATATGAGGAATACGAATGTTTGCGTAAGGCAAATATTTTAAAAAATCCTAAAAGAAAATGGTAATGTTTATGATGAAAAAAAAAACAAGAAAATAAAAGATCAACTCTGCATGCAACCAGATAGTCTTTATTGATATGTCACGGAGTTGACACCGACTTTCTTTCCGCAATAGCAAAGAGGAACTTATCGGAAATAGAAAATATTATCGGCTTTCCCCGGTAGTGCTTTAGGCTAGTTTTTATACCATGTAAAGCTTGGGCACACTGTGAGCTTTAATGTCAAGTTTGTAACGTTAACAACCACGAATAAAATAATTCTACTATACGCATTATCTGTGTGTTAATAAAAACTCTTTTTTTTTTTCAATTAGAGACGATATTTTTTGTGACCCAGTATAAAAAGTTTCCTTGTTTTACAACACGACTTATTAATGTTAGTTTTATTTCAAAGTAATCTTTAAATCTAGTATAATGTACTCTTTAAAAAATATGAAAGTCCTATTCGCTTCTCGTGCAACTGCCTCAACACTATTGTGTATTGTTAGCTGTGACTTGACGTCATTCGCTCGCACGATATCGCTTCGCTCGCTCTATCCTCCATCCTACCTTGCAGTTCCTGCCATACAAGGCGCGCGGCCCATTTGTGGGCGCTGAGAATGGTGTCAATTATTGTGGTCAACCAACAACACAACATACAAGATACCCCATATAGGAACAGCTTGGACATTTTTAGCTGTCATGACAGTTTTATGCGTGTCGTGTGTTAGACTATTTTGGATACTGACTAGAATAGGGATAATTTACGTTATTGTGACCAGCCTTGTAGATTACAAGTTTTATTGCCTCTTAATGACCCATTGAAGTATGATAGTTGCAATAATAACCTAAATGGACTTTGATAAAATCTTATTAGTAAACAAACGTGTGATTAAAACATGATAGATGATCACAATATTTAAATTGGGACAATTTTAACTATCATTATTGAAATTCAGAAGAATACCAATAGAATAGCAATAGTGAAACAAAAATCCAATTTTTTTTTGGGTTTTACCTGTTAACTGAGTTAGATATTGAAATTCAATGAATCTAATTGAGTTTTAGGGGTTGTAATGTAATGTGTTTATAGATTTTAGAAAGGATTTGGGAGAACTCTATCCCCCTTATTATTAAAAAGTTATACCTAGAATGAACTCTGGATTAAAAAGTCATTTCCATACTAAGTAACAATTTAAGCCAGAGTTCAAGTAAGGTGTAACTTTTATTAATAAAGGGCTATATGTTCAGTCAGTGGAATTCCTATTGCTGAAAGGTTTAAATCTCAAAACTTTCTCCATAAAAATATATACTCACAGTTGTTTTTTCAGTTGCTCGGAGATGACGATACTGGTGTTGGTATACTGCATATGACGGTCTTCAGGGGCGACGTAGACTGTGAATTTGAAGGCAGACTCGAAGCGAGGGTTGTCGAAGCACGGAATGAAGTATTTCGCCTTATCTGGAGACAGCCGAGTCTGGATCATATACCTGGAAAGGAAGAAATATTACAGGGTAAAGGTAAACATTAAGAGAGGGTAAAAAAATCCTCCATTGCTTCTGGTAAATTGGAGAGCCGTGTTCCTGCAATGGAGACTAAACGACCTGATGAATCGTAAATATTGTGTGGACCAGAAAATGTAGTGTATGTAGGCCTTCCAATTGGTGATCATTATAGTCAAAGTCGCGGGAAGCACCGGGATGCAAATTCCATGGAGGACAACTTTATACCCGTATTCACAAACGATGCTTGCTTAGATGAAGCAGCAAATCGAATGCATAGTGTTGAATAGAGATCTGTAATTGGTTCGTGTGTGACCCTGTGCATCCACGCGCACTGTGAGACCTCATAGTAATGTTGTCTATTAGTGGATGCCATTTGGTTATTTCGACAACAAAGTTTGACTACAAGGTGAAGTCTATGTCAATTTATTTAATACCTAACTTTTTTGCAAAACATTTCATAATTTTAAGCCAACTACACTTGAGTTGAACACACATAGAAGAACGAATACCAAAACATTCGTTTTCGTATAGCGCAGACGTTCCGCCTACAACTTTACAAGGAACCGATTCAAGGTTGTCTCCGTGCGAAACAATGAATGCGTCCATGTTGCAGGCAAACTAGCAAACTTGGTTATTTTAAACATGACTAGGTACCTAATTATTTATTTTATAAATATTACAAAATTAGTACCTATTGATAAACCATTCAAAAACAGTTGGGACCAAGAAACAACGAAAACTGATTGTATTCAACTGATTCATATTCAACGACGGATTTTAAGGTCAAAAAAATCATATTATTTTTCGTATACAAAAGAATAATTAAGGTATCTAATGACAGTGTTCCAGTAGGAACATGTGCATTTTTATGGTGGTTACAAAAAATATCAGCGAACCTAAACAACATCTAATAATTATGTTATGTATATGTTATTTGTTTCATTAAAATAATCTCAATAAATGTTTAACACACAAATGGTTGAACCTAATTAGTACTTACATTATAATGACGTAATAGACATTTACCTTTTATTCTAACTGCAACTTACCATAGCCCCTATTTGTCATGTCCAACGAGCCAGAACGCTCTTGATTTATTACAGCAATTAGTTAAATCATACCATTATGGAATACCCACTAACCTTATTCAGTTACTCCGTCCTACATCTTGGTCTTTGATTTTCATTTTAGAGGACTATCGAAGTATACTTATAAACTACTAGCTTTTGCTCGCGGCTTCGTTTGCGTGAAATTTTGTTTGTCACAGTAAAACCAGGATAAAAACTATCCTATATCCTTTCTCGGGACTCAAATATCTCTAATCAATCTTTCATAAACATTGGTTCAGTGGCTTAGGCGTGAAAGCGTGACAGACACGTAGGGATTGTTGTGAGGTTCTGTTACTGAAGGACCAAAAATGAATATGAAGAAATATTTGCTAGAGCTGCATAAGATAATAATTACACATTTTGGCACTAATGGGTCTAATGGTCTATGGTCTGAGCTAGAGTAGAGGTGACCCCGAAATTAGGTACGTCATTGGCAAATCAGAGCAGGCAGTTAGCATCAATTAGTACATCTCAAAATGTAATATGCGAGATAAAGTAGTTTTACAGTTCCTGTGAGTAAAAAAATGTCTAGCGAGCACTTCGTGCCTTTTGTCAAGTCTGATGTCTTTAAAATGCCCATGGGAGTCCTTCGAACCATGGCTTAGGTTTAGTTACTATCATCGTCATCATCATCATCATCGTTATTTCAGCTGTAAGACATCCACTGCTGAACAAAGGCATCCCCTAATGACTTCCATATTGACCGTCTACCCACAAGGTGGACCGACGATATCATAAAGGGAAGGCGCTGGATGCAGGCTATCAACCGGTAGTCACTCTACTAGCACAATGAGCAATAATATTAGTTACTATTTTTTTAATCCATGGCGACTGTTCTAGTTTAATTGAGCCCTAGTACAACTGCTATAGTATTCGATTAATTTAAGATTACCGTTATTTTGACAGTTTACTTCCCAGTTCTGTACCTGTAAGTAATTTGGTTTCTTGGCGATAGGTTGTTCGTTCGTTCGTTTCAGCCGAAAGACGTCCACTGCTGGACAAAGGCCTCCTCCAAGGATTTCCACAAAGACCGGTCCTGCGCCGCTTGCATCCAGGTACTTCCCGCGACCTTCACCAGATCGTCGGTCCACCTAGTGGGAGGCCTGCCCACGCTACGTCTTCCAGCTCGTGGTCGCCACTCAAGAACTTTCCTGCCCCAGCGGCCATCAGCTCTTCGAGCTATGTGCCCCGCCCACTGCCACTTGATTTTAGCGATTCTGCGGGCTATGTCAGTCAGTGGCGATAGGTACTTCTTACAATTTCTTTGAGCCTCAGAAATATTTGCCCAGGTGCATCGGAGGTCAGCATTCAGTGAGTACTGAGGACATAATCTTCTATATCCTAGCTATATGAAACAAAACGTAGGCTGGAAAAACTACGCATAAAATGTTTGACTTAATTTAGTCTACTTCATAAATCTAGATAGGTAGGTTTGCGGTCCAGCGTATGTAGAGTTTAGTACACCTAATGGCACATCCTAGCTCTAAGTTACGACATTAAATTTTAGAGGACATCTCGTAATCTTCACAGCCAATAATGGATTCCTAATGCAACGGAAGCTCAATCCAAATCCGTCGAGTTGTAAACCCAAACGCGTAAACTTGAGTTATGAAGGTCAGTTTACACAGGCCGATTGTAAATCGTAATGCCTAATGAATGTATTACCATGTTGAGACCGCACGTGGGAGAGAAGGCCGACTGCACTGAGGGCAGAGTTAGCTTAACACCGCGACTTTAATGTAGTAGAAATAGGGACGATTTTGCAAAAAAGATTTATAGTTTGACGTGCTGTCGAAGTATCAACTGCACTTACATGGATTTGCTAGCTTTTAAAGGATTTCTAGTGATTGATTTGTGAATGACTTTGATAGCCAATACTAATAATATACCTACAGTTGACGCGATGATACCTACATGATGACAATTACTGTGGCTTATAAGTTATAACTACATACTGTTCTATAAGTGCTAATTAATTTTGCAAAAAAATAAATTTTATTGAGTTGTAATAAGTATGCAGAGGTTATTTTTCCCCTTAATTATTTTTCTACATATTGATGTAGAAAACTATATCCATAAATATTTATGTAAACAATAAGATCATATAATCTTAACTCGGATCCTCATTTAATGTTATGCCATAGATTTACCATAATATTTGAGAGCGCTACCTACATAACTCTAAATAAAGACAAATGTAAAATTCATCAAGGATTGTACATAATAAAAATTTACCAATAACGCCTTAAAATGAAATTATAGATCATAAAATATGTGGTCTTAAATCACCAGACATAATATTTCTGAGAGATATATTTTTAAGCCGATATGTCACAAGCAAAGCTGTGTCTAAGAACTAGTAGTATTTTTCTTGTTCGTCTTAAAAATTAGTCTGTCTCCTTAAGTTTGGCACGCTCTTTTTGGGAATTAACAAATAAATGTTTGTAAAACACAATGTTGCCATGCCCAAACCGGGACTATGTTTGAGACTATAGATTGTGTAAGACCTTATGTACATGTAATGCAATAAAGATATTGACTATCGACACCCTGTATATGATATCGTTTTTGAGTCGTCTCCAAATAATATGACGTGTCATCAATGCAGTATCGTACTGACCTTACCACCCGAACGCAAGCAATGTATTCTTAGATAATCTGCGAAAGTCTGCCGCGACCTTGTCTGAATGTAAACACTGCTCTTCATTTATGAATAACAGACTATTTTGAGAAAAAGATACAATTATACATATAAAATTTTTGGCATAGTTCAACTTCAAATAAGATTCTAACGCCCGTATTCACAAACGATGCTTGCTCAAGTGAAGCAGCAAATCGAATAATCGTTGAATAGAGTGTTGATTGGTTCGATTGCCACCCTGTGCGTGAACTGTGAGACCTCATAGTAATATTTGTGAATACGAGTGTAAGTATGGTCAGAGTAGGACCTATTATCGTAAGACGCGACCAAGAGAAAAATATACAAAAATCAGTCCAAATCTTCAATTTGCTTCTAGTACCTGAATTAGAGGAGATTGTACTCCTGTAGAGGAAACATCGCATAATGAAATTGAATATTTTCTATAGGTATAAAAATTGAATCTATACAAAGTTATTTAGCAAGTAAAATATGTAGAGATATTAAATATACAGCAGAATATTTCTACCGCTACAGATTCGACCTCGAAAATAATTTTATTTACAAAATCTGAGAATGATCTTTAGACTTGCAAATTTCAGAGCCATGTCGCCAAACAGACGATAACAACTCTTAAATAAGTGATAAAAAGGAGAATAGAGTCGCAAATTAGCGACAGCATGGTAGGTGCATGCACTTTCATTTTTGAGCAAACTATTGTAGTTGAACATTTATAGTATTTAATACATAGTTTATACTTTGTACCTAATTCTAATTCATACAAAGTTACCTATGTAACTTTTTGAACATAATTTTCACATCCCATTTTTTAAATAAAAAGTTACACCCTGGTTGAACACTGTTTTAAAGTGATCCATACTAAACGTCACTATAAAACTGTTCAACTAGGGTGTAACTTTTTATTAATAAGGAGTTAATGTTTACTATATTATTCCATAGGAACTATTGATATTAATACAACGACACAACACTGGCATCTTATGTAGAACTGTTTTTAAAACAATATTAAAATCATTGGTCACTTACTTCGTTACTCTATCCTCGTCGTATTTCACTAAAAACACTCCTTCACTATCTTCTGTCACTTCTTTCATGAAATTCATTTTAATCAAGTAATACTGCTGATTGTTGCCCTTATACGGTATTAAAGGCTCGCTCAAATATATCATCAACTTCCCCCGGTGCCCATCATAGCTATACGGTCTTGGCTTATTCACTATATCATGATTCCCCTTCATGACCTGTATCGATTCACCTTTGATCGTCATATTTTTCGCTTCCATTTCAATCATGTTTATGTTCGCATTTGCTATCACCGTTATAACTATGTGACAATCGTAGAAACAATGTCCCCCGTAAATATATGGCATTATAGTAATGTCGTATTGCACTGGATAAATCGTATAGTTCAAACACTCCTCGTCAACTGTAAATGCCTTTGCTGACGTCCAGAAAAAAAAGAAAAAGAAAAGCGCGCGAAACATTTTGACGTTAACTTTTTTAATTCGCGCCAAAATAAGGCGTTCGGAAACGTCCTACCGCGTCGCTCGCTTGGACTCTTTTCGTATTGTACACTCTCATTCTAGACGCCGGCAGACATTACCAGTATATCCTGAACTCCTCCGCCCCTCCCGAGTTAAGTGATACGTGACAAATTGAGGGCGTCTCGTTACAAAACCACAGGTCTGCTATTTCTGGCGCTCAGTATTTGTTTTGCCTGAATGATCATGACTCAGATACATGTGTTCATAGACACTAAATAAATATGCGTAAGTATACGAAAAATATTATTTACTTCTGCGTGAAAACTAAAATATAATTCTATGAAACCGGTGCGATATTTATAACAAAAATTTATACAAACTGTTTTATTTCTCGATTAAAATTAATATTTTATTGTAATTTCTTCGAAACTGCCAATAAGGAAAATCAACTCAGAAAGCAATTAATCATAAAGGAGGTCTCATAATACATTTTTCATGTCATTGTGTGCTTCGACTTTTGTAATGTATAGAAAACGGGAAGAATCACTTCGTCACGAATCACAAATCAACTCCACTAGAGTCCCTACTAAGCACAACCATTTCCATTGTATTTAACTCTATCTGTCCCTTACACACACTTTAGATTCCTTTTAAATATGAGAGAGACAATAGAATGGAATAAACTTATTAGTTTTGAACGTAGACCCCAAATAGACCTGTGGGTAGAGCCGGTAATAGCACTCTATTGTCCCCTAGAGATTACCACCCACTCGTAAAGAAATCTTGCCGTTATTCTTATGCTACAATAAGTGCACGTATGCTATATGATCGGTGCAAGATGTTTAGGGTTCCGCAAGGTAAAGTCATTCTGAATTGAAATGATTTCGTTCGTTCGTTCGTTTCAGCCAAATGACGTCCACTGCTGGACAAAGGCCTCCCCCAAGGTTTTCCACAATGAACGGTCCTGCGCTGCCCGCATCCAGGCTCTTCCCGCGACCTTTACCAGATCGTCGGTCCACCTAGTAGGAGGCCTGCCCACGCTACGTTTTCCAGCCCGTGGTCGCCACTCGAGTGTGTTGCCAGTGTTGACATATGGATCCGAAACGTGGTCGCTTACTATGGGCCTCATAAGAAGGCTCAAGGTCACCCAAAGGGCGATGGAGCGGGCTATGCTCGGAGTTTCCCTGCGTGATCGAATCAGAAATGAGGAGATCCGTAGGAGAACCAAAGTAACCGACATAGCTCGCAGAATTGCTAAAATCAAGTGGCAGTGGGCGGGGCACATAGCTCGTAGAGACGATGGCCGTTGGGGCAGGAAAGTTCTCGAGTGAAATGATTTATTTTTAAATAATTACGAGTCTAATGCTCGTTTTCACCATCAATCCCTAATTTTTAAGTGACCCCTATAAAAACAAAATTCCTATTATGTGTTACCATAGAAGTCACTTTAAAATTAGGGATTGATGGTGAAAACGGACATAAATTATATTCAGGACTTGCAAGTTCAAGGAATTGTCATTTAGGGAGCTATTTTTATTATTTATTTCCTATAAAATAAACAGATATTTTTACAACAAACGCAAACTTGACCAAACAAAGAAAAAAAACTTTGTGTTGGTACTCAAAAATAAAAGCGTGTCCGCGAAGCAAAGAGGCAAGGATACTGGCTGCATTTTTTTAAAACAAATGAAAATAAAAGTCATAACAGCTGCACTGTTAAAATGATGTTATACTTCAAGCTTAGACAACTTTTTTACTTATTAACATACCTACCTACGATGACTTCTCTTTAAATCTGTGATCTAATTGTTATTCATAACAATGTAATATGGCAATAATAAATTACATCATTTTTACAACTCTGACACAGTGTATCGAGGTAAATGTGTAAAAAGCCTTGACATAGCAATGATCTAAATTCTTAAGAACATGACTGCATAATTTCTTGTAATCCTACTTAGTAATTACTAATTGATAAATTAGTAGGTAATGTGCATTGAAAAATCCTACATTGATGATTTATATTGTAAGATCTCAAAAACCGTAAAGTTTGCGAAGTGGACGTTTGTTTGAATAATTTGTTTAATAAGCAATTTTTAATTTAAAAACAAGTACACAAACTTGCTATCGTTAGCTGAGATTAAGGCTGGGTTACACCATCTTACTTTAACTTTGACAAACGTCAAAAATCTGTCAAAGTCCATACAAAAAGCACCGGTTCTCGTTATATTTACGGTCAAAGTTAGGTGGTGCAACTCAGCTTAAGACTTATTTTTTTCGTTATTAAAAAAAAAACAAGTGAAGAGCTTAAAAGTAATTTTATTATCATAAAATATTTGGCAATTCGATACACAATTATTGTCCTTAGTTTACGTTTGTAAGTACCTGTTGTCTAAGTTTTAAACTTATAGATAAGACTATCTACAACATAGTGGAGCGACATCTCTTCATTTATCAAAACTATAAGCACGTACATACATTATTCTTAAAATCTGAAAAGCACCAACAGTCTTCATACTAAAACAATTAAAATAGGTAAAGTTACACAAACCTATCTCAAATCTCATCTTACAAATGAATCGGGATTCATGTGTGATATCTAGTTGAGTCTCAAGACTGCCAAACATAAGACGATCAGGGCGAGAGACGACGGCAGCGCCACCGCATGGCCCTTGAATGCGTTAAGCAGTTCGGTTTTGTGGCTCTCCACCCACATGGCGTTGGCTCTGCCTGAGGCTAGAGTGGCGAGGGCGCCATCTTTGTCACCGCACTCTGTGCAGGAGTTTAGCCAGGATTCAAACTGTAAAAAAAAACATAAAAAATAACGGGTCACATGCGTTTTGGCGCGCTTTTAGCAGCTGACCGAATAATGTGTGAGTAGCCATTTGCCACTTTATGGCATTTTAGTTTAAGGGATAGATTTATTACTAGTCATTCTTCCTTAAAATTATCTGAATGGTATTTTAGAACATTGAATAGCAATAAATAAGTGAATGAATGAAAATGACTTTCAAACAATTAATTTTATAGTAACAAACTAAATTGCTGCCAATTAATACAACCATACTACACAGCAAGGCCAGTACGAATTAATAAAACACCTAAATGTCATTGTAATTTAAATTACACAAGTGAGACATATTATGTTCTACAACAACACAATGCAATGGAACTCTACATTTACCAATTTTTTTGTTATATTCCAAAGTATATTCAATTTTAACATTCTTGTTTAACTGATAAACTGTGTGACAATATATTAAAAACTTTGACTCCGTTTATAAGAACGACGTAGTTATTCGCACCTCTACCTATTAAAAGTATTCTCTACTTAACAGTATCGTCATCATTATGTTTAGGAACGTAAATAAATCGATTGTCCAGGTTTAGTAGATAACGCCTATAAAAAACCCCAAATAAAACTACCCAAAAAAACGTCCAATTCATAAGTCGTCTAACTTTGGATCACAGAGTTCATTTTATTGTCATTCAGTGAGCTATACCTATTCTATCTACTGGTGTTGCTTGAACTTGGATGTACTCAAGGCGCGTAACATCATTTTAGATGCCTAAATAATATTCGCCTTTGTGAAAATCAATTTAATGATCAAAATTCATTAAAATTCCAAACCAATTGCAATGTTATCCAGGTATCAAAGCCGGCGCCAAATCTAAATCTGTCGCGGCCAAGGTCACAAGAAATTAGACTAAGCGATTGGCCATCAGCCAATGCTCTGAAAATCACTTTCACTTTTAATAACTCTGATTGAAGTGACTCCGGAAGTCTGGATACGTAGATTATAGGTCATGGTAGAGCATATTTATGCTGCTGATTATCATCATAACTCATATAAAATGCTTAGTTTTCAGGCTCAGTCCTCTACATCTTAAAATCTGGATTTGATGGCAATATAGGATCTCCTTTAAAGGCTCACTGAAGTCACAATGTCACTGTTTCCAAGCGACCTGGCCCCCTAGACAAGTTGCACTTTTTGATCAAATCGAAAATCAATTTCGTCAAAACTCCATGCAAAAACATAACCCTTCTGACGCAGTCGGGTAAAAAGAAGGTTTTTCGACCATTTTCAACCGATTTGCGATTATAATGTGCACTTTGTCTAGACCAACATCTACCAATACCATTAAAAACATAATAATTTCGTTTACTGACTAAGGCTGAGTTGCACCACCTAACGTAACTATAACGATAACCGGTGTATTTTGTATGGAGTTTGACAGATTTTTGACGTTTGTTAAAGTCAAAGTAAGATGATGCAACCCAGCCTAAGTAGTTATTTCTAACAAAGGTATTTATTAACTCTGGATCAGAACGTATACTACAGTTTTCGGTTTTATTCTTCTGAAAAACACCTGCCTAAAATTAACCTACTTGTTGTAAAAGCTAATCAATAACATTGTCTTGCCCCTTCTATTTCCGTGTGCCAGTCCCCAAATGGCAAAAGTAATGGGCTTTCATTAGTCCAGTGTTTCCCAAAGTGAAGGCAATTTACTTAAATAGTCTCTTTTGTTTTTAAAGAGTGTCTCTGATTACGTTTTTGGCCCTTTCCCATTTTGCCTAAAATGTTTGTGAAGTAGTATTAGTAGAAGTGGAAATCCTTGGGGTAGGCTTTTGTCCAGCAGTAAACGTCTTTCGGCTGAAACGAACGAACGAACGATTAGTAGAAGATGCAGTAATTGTTATCTATATTGTTGTAACATAAGCAGAAAGACTAAGAGCTAGTGAACGCCAGACCTACGCTATTTTATAAAAACTGAAAGTTTGCTCGTTCCAACTCCTTGCCAGACAATCATTAAGGGTAGCTGCCAAAGCCACGATGACCCAAACTTCATGATGCACCAACGTTCTTACCTATATTAGGAGCATGCTGTGACAAACTTTCATAACGTAGGTCTGGCGTTCACTAGCGCTTAGTCTAATACTTAGCACAATTATTAATATTTTTTTCTGCAACTTCTGAGGTTTGAGAACCTGTGTATCAGCAAATCCGCGGAAAAGTCAAACAAAGAACCCTTGTAATGAATGTACACTCGGCGCCGAGTGTTTGCGGCCGCTCATTTAGGCCGACTCGCAATTAGTGGATGGTTTGTGTGACACTTTGTTTGCGGACTATTTAGATTGAGGGGGCATTTTGATGACATGTGAAACAGCCATAACAAGGATTTTTTATTTTTATTTTATTGGATAAGGTAAACTCGTTGTATTCAATCATCATCATCAATAGCCCTTTACAGTCCACTGCTGGACTATGAGCCTCCTCCACTATAGTGGAGGGTTTTGCCATAATCTCCACGCTTGGCAGGCGGGTTGGAGATCGCAGTTTCAAAGATTGATGTTTTTCAGAGAGCGCTGCTGCCCGTTCTCTGTTTGATGTGTAGTCCCTAAGTCGCCTCTTACGACACACCCTTGGGAAGAGTAGGGGTTGGTGATAAAATGTATTCTACTCTGCCGTCACCATACGGCCGTGTATTCAATATTGTATTCAATAGCCACGGGATAAAAACTTAATAAGCCTAATTTACTAGGATTTTAGAGAAGTATTGAATTCCCTGCCCTTATACTTACTTCATTTATTTCAGCTTCAGTTCGAAGAGCTCCTGCCACTGCATTGAAGACCGTATCCATTGATGGATAGCTGCAAAAAGAGGTTAAATGAGATATAAAAACCGTTATGTCAATAATGTTACTGATATACGAGTAGCAATACGAAATTGGCAAGCTGCTGTGACAATATAACGAAAAACAGGCACGAAGAACTGACGCGATGACGGTTACAAAGGAAGAAAAAATGTTCCTAAATAAACAAAACGTATTAAGCAAGAGTGAGATGAACTAACATTATTGATAATTCAAATACTCGTAGAACAAATTAATCCCATCAAAAACAATACTTGTCAAAAAAACCAAGTCTCGCAACTCAGTTGTTCTACGGTAAAAAGTTGTGAGATCCATGTAATACCAAGTTCAGGCCAGGAAATCTTTAACGTTTTACATAAATTATTGACTTGGCCATCGCACTAAATAATTTAATTTACACGTGTTTTCATGCGATGGCCAAGTCAATATATTTATGTAAAACGTTAAAGATTTCCTGGCCTGGACTTGGTATTACCAGGCCTGTTCATCTCCGCGAGTTTAAATCGAAAACAAAACACGCACGATGGCCCACCTACAGGATACTATTCGACAAGGCCTCACATACGAGCGAACTTTGACTCACGCACGCGTATTCTTGTGTATGATGGAAGAAAATTAAGAAAATGGTGTACCAAATACTGTGCAGTATTTAACTGCCTAAATAATCATAGAAACACAGAATGTACTTTTTTAAGTTGCATCAAGACACTGAGAGATAAATAAGTAGTTAATATTATTCATGATAATTCATGCTAAATCATGTATTTCCTCCGCCATTTTCCGCGGTTTGGCACCTCACGTCACATCATTTTACCGAAGTCAGCCCTATAGCTTCGGCGCAGTGCCGATCACTGACTTTTGTCAACTAAATGGTGCTAGACACTTGAGACAGGCTAAATTACACCATATTGTTAATGACATTGAGCATACATTTTTTTAAATACCTTCGCGAAGTAAAACTTCTGTACGTAGTACTTATTATTATTCTGTGGTATTACATGGATCTCACAACTTTTGACCGTAGAACAACTGAGTTGCGAGACTTGGTTTTTTTGACAAGTATTGTTTTTGATGGGATCTCATTTCTTTTTGTATTTTGTAGACAGCAGTTATGTATCTAGAAAACTGGACCGAAAATGAAAAATTTTACTCGACTTGGCGGTTGCACTACCGTGCCCCCAAATATTTTAGTTTTTCCTTGATTCATACACCAAACACTACTTATATTCCAAATTTGAAGCTTCTAGGTCTGCTAGAAGTGCCTTAGAGTTTTGATGATCGGTGAGTCAGTCAGTGAGTCAGTGAGTGACAAAATTAAGTAACTTTGACCCGTTATAATTCTTAAACTACTGGTTCAAATTGAATGAAATTTGAAATATACCGTGTCTTTACAATGCCTGCATAGCTAATGAAAATTCAGCCTTCTAGTTTTATCCAGAACGAAGTTACAGGCGGTCGAAAATGGCCTGAATTGCTTCGAGAAAAGGATGGTACGGCCGTGCTCGACTTGGTGGGGGCACTGCCGTGCCCCCAGATATAGTTAATGTAATGATGACCATTATTGTTTACACACAGCGGTTATTCTTGAATGAAACTTACATGCTACTCCACAGTGTAAAGTTGTTCTTCAGACCGTCGATCACAATGTGTACGTGGCTGTGGTTACCCACCACGCCACTCAAGGGGACCGTGAGATCTTGAGACATGATGGGACTGTTCTCCTCCAGCATTGAAACTAGGAACCTGGAGGTAACGAAGAGCAAACATTTAGTTAATAATAATTATTAGAATCTCTAATTAAGGCTGAGTTGCACCACCTAACTATGGTGATAACCGGTGTGTTTTGTATGGAGTTTGACAGATTTTTGACGTTTGTCAAAGTTAAAGTAAGATGGTGCAACCCAGCATAGGAATGCCATAGCACAGCCATAGTGTAGTGAGACAAGGCAACAAATACAGATCGCCGTAATGACAGATGTTGATGACCAGTTGGTAGGCTGCTGATGCACAAGTTTATGATTTCTATCGTCTTTCTAAACGGCGTATAATAGCATTATACATTATTTAAATAAATTTAAAAAAAAAATATTGGAAACAAGAAAAATTGAAAATGAAAAAGCGTGTAGGATAATAGCCGCAATCGTTTGAAAAAAATGTGGTGCGACTACACCCACTTCCGTAAAATTATTCCACAAACACACTACTTTGTTTTTATTTAAATTTTTCCCAAATTTGACCTGAAAACTGCTTTTTTTTTCTTGCGTGTTTTCAACCGATTTTTTTATTTAATATTAGGTAATATCGAATATTATGTCTTTAGTCAAATAAAATAAATGTTAGATCCAGATAATGATTGGGTAGCTAGTTACGAGCCGCCAAAGTGTAACAAAAGTACAAACTAGGGGTCAAATGGGCGAACTTGTATTCTTAAAATGACCTAACCTATACATACACCCACGAAGTTTGTCTAACCTTCCGCCAAACACCCTGTATAGTTTAGAACTCGAGAACCGATATTTTCGACTCGCCACTACAAGAACACAGGACTCCAATATGCACACTCTGTCATGTCTTCGGGTCTTTTCCTCCCGGTTATGTTCGAATACTAGACCAGCATTGCGGAGTACAGAGGGATGAGTGAGCTACACGAATATGCGCCTTAAATTAACACAGACAGCACACACAAACAAAAAAGAAAACAAAATACAAAAAAAAAACTAAAATAAATAATACAAAAACATACAACAATAAAAAATGACAACTAATATTATTAGACATAAACTAATGCCCAACATTGAACCAACCCAGCCATGATACTGTCAGGAGGGCGCCACCATCACTACCAGATTACTACTTACAGTTTCAGCCATATTGGACCATCTTAACATCAATACTGTTATTATATACGAGTAGGAACAAGCCGTGGCTAAAGTCATAGTCCATTGAAATAAAATAAAAAAAAGAAAAAAAGAAAGGGAATCAATCAGTCATGTCAATCGTCAACTGTCAACATTTTTAGTGACTGACATTAACAAAATAAATAAAAAACAAAAACCTGCGCATGAGCATGCGCTGCCACGCAGATGAAAAGTGACGTGGTAAAGGTTTTTAGCTTAAACGTCACAGGACCAGGGGCACCAATCGTTCTCCCTTCACCTAGGGTTGCCAGGTGACTTTTTATTAGGGTGAAATGTCCGGCACAGCACAGACCGGCTTTTGTGTTGTTGGACCTGGCAACCCTACCTTCACCTTAAGCATTTAGGGCATTGTGTAACATACACGTGACACAACCTAGACGTGAGTACATTATGTCTTACTTCTTCAAGCTAGCTTCGTCAGTGGTGCAGCCCAGGACCTCACCGATGAGCCGGGCTTCGTTAGCTACGTTGGTGGTGGACATGCGTTGCCACATGAAGTCGTAGTCAGCACCAGTACCGTAGCGAAGACCAGTGCAGTATGCGACCGGTCGTAGACTGGGCGGGATCCTGGAGGTAAGGAATAAAAATATTATAAAGACAAAGACAAATACTTATACAGCGGGAGATTCGTTCGTTCGTTCGTTCGTTTCAGCCGAAAGACGTCCACTGCTGGACAAAGGCCTCCCCCAAGGATTTCCACAAAGACCGGTCCTGTGACGCTCGCATCCAGGCATCTCCCGCGACCTTCACCAGAGCGGGAGATAGTGCTTTGTTGCGATATTTGATGGAAGCTTACGTAGAGCAGTGGACTGCCAAGGGCGGTGATAATGATGATGATAAAAGATGTTAACTACGTAGATACACTACTCAAGTACCTACATGGTAGCTAAGTATTTACTATGCACTTGTAAATAAAACAAAATCTGTTTAGTTTCAAGTAGATTACCTACGAGTACATACGTAACATGTCTGTATTGATCCAACATAAAATATCTAGATACCTATATTTTTGAACTTCATTGGCCCTGATTAACATTATTTTACTCTTCTTCATCCTAAAATCAAATACTTTATTCTCAAATCCATTAGCAGCATTAACCCATCTTATTAATATCATAGAAGAAACTTTAATCGTAAGTTTTACTATTTATAACTCTTCAAACAAAAGTTTATTCCATCTTGTGGTGCTATCATCGTATACGCTTTACAGCGCGTTTCGCGGCTTCGTAACGATTATTGTTTATTATATTAACACACTTTCCAGATTAAAGACGGTCAGCCATAATCTATTTTCGGTTTATGACCGTGGTGATTGTATACACACTTAAAATATTTTCCTTGATAAATTAGAATATTTTAGGTATTTTTATCCATAACGAGGACAACGAGGAAGCCAAGGCTGCATCTCATATAAACGAGTACAGTTTTCTACACTTAAAACTATAGGTATTCTAGCTACGTGATATACTCTTGTCACTTTATAGTACCCTTTCCTCAAAACTAAATATTTAATTGCAATTGCTGATAGCGTACGGCCGCTAGTTATCACATTATTTTTTCTGACAGCCAAAAATACTCACTCCACACCATTGTCATCGAAATTTCTGAATTTAGTCCGCATAGTCAATTTTACAGGACAGCTGCAGTCTCAAAGTCGTCCGACTCTCGCTCTTCGAAGCCGTAAGGTCATAGCACACTTATCAACCCGGAAAGGGATCAACATCGTATCTTCCCAGCCTTTCGTCTTTCGTTTACGTTACGGTGCGGATAAGTGCGTTGTAGTACGGAGTTTCATACAAAGAATAGTGACCGCCTCGAGTTGATACGGTTACGATCCGTTTCTGGGTTGTTAATTGTGCTGTATTGTGCAGCAGATACTTACTCTACACCATTGTCCACGAAGTTTCTGAATTTAGCGACGAAATGTTCCACGCACTCCGTATGGTCCAGCTTGCAGGCCAACTCCAAAACTTGCATGCGGTTGCGAGTCGTCTCAAAGTCGTCCGACTCTCGCTCTTCGAAACCTAAATAGGAAATTGTATGGTGCAAGATACTTACACTACACCATTGTCAACGAAGTTTCTGAATTTAGCGACGAAATGTTCCACGCACTCCGTATGGTCCAGCTTGCAGGCCAACTCCAAAACTTGCATGCGGTTGCGAATCGTCTCAAAGTCGTCCGACTCTCGCTCTTCGAAGCCTAAATAAGCGATTGTATTGTGCAGCAGATGTAGTGTGTGAGCCTGTTAGAATAAAAATTCAGTTTTCAATCGTAGCAAGTAGAATCGTAAGGCTTATATGAAGAAAATTGACAGCATTTAGTTAAAATTTACAATTAATGGTAAATTTTTATTTTATTCACTTCAACAGTCAATAGAAAACTGTTCACACTAAGCTTGGCGTAGCATAGCGTTTATTCTTGTTATTTTGATGTCTGGTGCAACAGCTTTCCTCGCTGTATTGGTGGTTGGTTTATTATGACAGTAATTTATGATATCTACTTTTACAGAAGCAATTAAATTGACGTATCGACAGAACAACGATCGGTGAGTAGAAGTGCATTTATCAAAAATACTTGTGTTGTTGTGAATAACATTTTACACGTAATCAAAGGTTACAAAACTTAAATTACAAAAACTTAGATAATTATGTTCCAACAGCTAAAAGTGTAGTTCATCAAGTTTTTAGTTTTCTCGATTTTAAATTAATAAAAATCTTACATCGATAATATCAGCTACGGTATCGGTACCCAGGTACCTACTCCTAAGTTTGTTCAGACCTCTGATTGCGGCGTACCAAACGTTGAAGTCGGTTTCAGATTGCAAGTAGAGCAAAGCATCGTTCAATGTACTGAAAGACACCTCATCGGCAAAGTAGAAAGCGAATAGGTCGTTTATAATCTGTAAATAAAAAAAATATTGTCTTAAAATCACTTCAAACATGATGTCTTCAAACAGATATTACCTCATTGTAAAACAGTACCTTAGCTCTATTCAAATAATGTATTTTCTCCAATTCACCACCTTTTAAAGCCTTGATTATCATTTGCAAAGACTGCGAGTCGTATTTTACTCGGTATAATCCTAAAAAAATATCAAAATTAAATCGATTCGTAGTTATACAACCATATTGAAAAAAAAAGATAATGATGCTGGCCATACACTACACGAAAAAAACATACCTGTCTCTTGCAGATTAAAAATAATCCAGGTTTGCGTGAAGTTGTGAATGTTAAAAGTGTGCGTTTTTCCTTCCATGATGAACGCTGGTTTAGTATTCACGAAGTTAGGGTTGTCACCAGTGGTGTATGTGATCGGGATTTTGTATGTCTCATCCGATGTGTGTGACCCGTTGATGTAAAATCGTCTCTGTAAAAAAAAATACTTTAGGCACTAATATCAACGCAGTGCCACAAATGGATGCCATATTCTGATTTGGTACACGTTTAATTTTTTTGTATATTGACTATCTTAAAGTATTTCCTCTTCTTCTTAAAAAGTTTTCATGTGATATTTTTCTAATTTTCATCTTTCAAATTACATTCCAATAAAATAAAACGCTGTGATTATCTTTGTTAATACAGTCACAGTTAATTTATGTGCTATTGTATAAATAGGAAATACCTAACTAGGTGATGTAATAAACTATAGTCGCACTTTTAATTCCTTACTAGTTTGAAGCATAAATTAAATTAACTTTCCTACGTTCTTTAACTCCAATTCTATAAACTAAAGGCGCACTTTTGATTCCTTACTAGTTTCCTACATTCTTTAACTCCAATTCTATTAATACATGGTTTAAAATAGTTACATAATGGTGGTATCAAAAGTATTCCAGTACCTGAGTTAAAGTAACGGAACCCGCTTCGTAATTGACCTGAACGTCCAACACCGGGTGTCCAGCTTGTGAAATCCAGGAGCTCATGATGTCTCCAATGGTATGACCAGGGTACAATGCTAAGGAATTCGTGGTATTCACTCCCTTTTCCAGAGCCGAATACATCAGTTCGGGGTAGCCAGCTTGGAATTGACTGCAAAAACATTAAACGGTGTTATGCTATGGTGTATGCTGGCATGGTCAAAATCCTGGCAATTTTATTACTAGCCATAATTATGCCCTTAATTTCGAACTCCTCCTATGTTCTTCTCATTAATTTCGTTGCGGGTCCAATGACAGTTTAACTTTCCCCCGGGACAAACTTGACCTTCATTGGTTGGGTTTTTGTGGCGGTCAAGCTAGATCCTGGCTACACAGGAGTTGCAGTGGTGGGAACGAGAGGTGGGAATAGTCCCGTATTTTAGCCATATGCCCGTTTTCACCATCAATCCCTAAATTTTAAGTGACCCCTATGAAAACGAAATTCCTGTTAAATTTTACCATAAGGGTCACTTAAAAATTAGGGATTGATGGTGAAAACGGGCAATAGCCACCCAAACTATTCATAGCTACACTCGGCATCAAATAAATCGCACCTCCCGCGACAAGGGGGGGGGGGTATTTTTCTTGAAGGATATTTATTGGGCTTTCAAATAACACCAATATTGTTGGGGTACCATGATTGTGTCAGAAGAAAATCTTTAAAGTTCGCGTCGCGGAAGGTGCGGTTTATTTGATGTTAACCCATTTAGCCCTACCGTACCCTATGTGGTACGGTATCTTTTTGAAAATATTTTGAAGTACCAAACTGTTGTTAATTTGTAAAAATGATTGTGACGGTAAGCTTAAATTGATTATTTTACATAAAAATATTTTAAAAAATGTTTTAACAAGTGGTTTCGGAAATATTTATGAAATTCCTCGACAGAAAACCAAAAAAATATTTACAATGTATTTAAGAAGGTATAATTTCTTATTACTCATGGTAAATTATGTTATTTATCAATTTTATTTTAAAAATAGAGTACAATAGATATTATGACTACAAAAAAAATATTATTTAGATTATTTTTATACGGTTTATTCCAGTCTAAAATAGGTGTACCGTATAAGGTACAGTAGGTCTATGCATGAGCAAGTCATGCGAAAAAATATAATTAATATTTATTATTTTTATTTGTTTTAGGCTATTGATGCTTCACTATATTGCCACAACTCATGAAAAATTTGATAATTTCAGCAAACATAAAGCAGTCTTGGTATTTTTCTACTGCTGTCTTATCAGATGACCGCTAATGATGATCAGATTGACGAAGATTTAGGCGATAAAGATAGTGTCAATATAAATAATAACCCTCAGAGTTTTCTTCGATGGATTTGCTAAATTTCCATCATCGTGTTGCTAAATGCGATTATGGATAGCACTAAACGTAACAAATCAGAAGAAGCCAGGTCTTCTTCAGCTATCCTCACTAACTTAGGAGAAGGTAGGAAAAAAGAACCAAATGTGGTTAGTATCACAGAGAACGTCTTACAAGATATGCCAAGTGTGATACTAGTGATCATGTGATTTTATTTTTATTTTATATCATACAAAAATAAATAAAAATCTTCTTTGAACAACGACTATGTTTTGCTTGCTTATAGACCTACTGTACCCTATATGGTACGGGCTCCCCACGGCCCCCTATTTATGGATTATTTTTTTAAATATTTTTTTCATGATTTTTAGGCTTCCCTTTGTAAGTTTTTGCTGAAAAAACGATATTTATTTACAAAAATAATTATCAGTCTAAATGGGTTAAGTGTATTACAACTTACTTGGTAGTCAAGTACGAATTCAATCCAATCCTGAAAGCCTCGTCGCCAATAAGGTGATGCATCATCCTGATCACCGATCCCGCTTTCTGATAGGTGATGGTACCGAAGTGTTCACTGATCTCAGCAGGGGAGGAGACATTGTCATTGGTGATGGGCGGTGATGAAGGGGACTCGTCAGCATCAAGCGCCGCGTAGACCGACCCGGTGACCAGGATATTGCCTGAACCTACTTCGGGCTCGATCTAAAAATACAAGAATTGAACGACATCAAAGTAAATTACACCCGTATTCACAAATGATGTTTGCTTATGTGAAGCAGCAACACTATGCGAAGTCGAACTCACAACATTGAATAAAGCTCTGTGATTGGTTCGTGTGTTTCACTCCGCCACTCAAGTATTATCTATGAATAGGTTTTTGGGACACTGTGCGTCCACGCGCGCTGTGAGACCTCATAGTAATGTTTGTGAATAAAAAAACTCATAAAACTCAAATATACGGGTGTTAGTCATCGCCTCGACTTTCGAAAACTCTTCAGTTTAATTGTTATTTTTATCTTCTACACAAAGTCTATGACACGCCTGTTTTAAAGAACAATAAACTTGTAAATGAAACTTGTATATCATAATTATTATAGAGTCTGTCAGTCTGATTCCAGCCAATTACAATCTTGAGTTAAAATTGAGAGTTAAGTGTTCCAATTAGAGTTTTCTTACCAAAGCAGTAATGTAATCTTGGAAGTAGTTCGCGAAGCCCTCGTTCAGCCATGTGTTGCTCCACCAGTGGCACGTGACGAGGTTCCCGAACCACATGTGGGTGGTCTCATGAGCGACGATCTGCGCTACCCGGTATTTGTAGTAGGGTCCAGATTCCTCAGGAACGTACAGGAGAAGCGCTTCCCTGTTTAAATTAATAAATAAATAATAATAATAAATATCCTTGGACATTTTACACTGCGCTTCTAGTCCCAAACTAAGCAAAGCTTGTACTATGGGTACTAGACAACGGATATAAACATACTTAAATACTTTTTTTTTTGTAAATACATACTTATTATACATAGAAAACACCCAGTCCAATACAAACAAATATGTTCATGCACACAAATGTTTGTACTGTGCGGGAATCGAACCCGCTACCTCCGGAATAGTAGTCCGTTTCGAACCACTACACCAAACGGCCGACTAATACGAATACAGTGAGTATTGATGACTTCAGATTCACTTAATTAATTTAATAATTTTACAAGTCAGAAAACTCATTTAAATTGGCCTCAAAACCAACGTTGATAATTCCTAAAACTTGTACTAAATTATCATAATAATAATAATATGATCGCTTTATTATTACTATTCCATAGCAAGGAGGATTAAATAGCTGAATGAAAAATTATTGGTAACTATAGCAAATTGATCTATCAGAAAATTAAATATTGTTTATTTTATTACAACAGTGTTGTGCATGTGCAGTATTCGTGACGTAAAACGCGACGGAAAATTAAATCCAAAATTGTATGTTGAAATATTTAAAAAAAGTATTGTAGGTACCTGTACTTAACCAGACCCCAGTTCTCCATAGCACCAGCTCTGAAATTGGGCAACGCAATGTGGTCAAGCTTCAGCTGGTTATTTGTAGAGTAGTAGTTGACCCCGAAGTAGTCTCCCAAAGCGTCAACTACCCTCTTGCCAAAGTCGAAGGCGTATTCAGTTTGGTTCGTGGCTTCTGGTCTGGCAAAGACGCCGAACTCCATCGAATTGTTGGAGCTGTAGTATTGAGCTTCTAGCTCGGAGACGAGGAAGGCAACGAGGTATGTGGACATACGAGGAGTCGGGTGGAAATCTTCTCGGACGTAACCATTGGATCTGGAAGAAGGATTTTCAGTTAAAATAATTTATGAATGTGAACTCGTTAGCTTTATATCAAACCCTAGTGGTTTTTTCAAGCTATCCAAAAGTAATTGTCCCAACAATGTATTTGTCTTTTTAGTTGTTAAATAAATGAAAAAGGAAAGTTATTAACTGGCCCGTTCCTTTCAAATCAAATGAAATCTAGTATTTTTTATTACTGGCCCGACTAGGCTGCACATGGGCCAATCAGTACCCAACCCAATAATGAAAAAATATTGTAATTAAAAATAACCTTTCCAATTCCAATAAAGCAAACAAGTGTTTAACTTGTTTGCTTTATGCTAATCTATACTAATATTATAAATGCGAAAGTAACTCTGTCTGTCTGTCTATCTCACTTTCACGCCTAAACCACTGAACCGACTTTTATGAAATTTGGCATAGAGATAGTTTGATGATAGTTTTTATCCCGGTTTTTTAAACAGGAACGCGCGTGAAAAATTTTTTCTGTGACAGACAAAATTCCACGCGGGCGAAGCCGCTGGCGGAAAGCTATTTCTGCTATAAATCCTCGAGGATCGAGGATGGACGATGGACGTCATAGCCTAGAAATACCAATATCCATACTCACAAATCCGTAGTAGCAGCAATCTTAGTGTTAGTCAACGAGGGTTTATAACTAGCTGGGCGCATTATGGTGAGTGTGAACACAGCCTTCAGTTCGGGCTCGTCGAAGCACGGGAACACTTTTCTTGCGTGCGTGGGCTCCATTTGCGTAGCCCCCAACCATCTGGAAATTAAAGATTATGTAATGGACATGCATGTGATATATATATGCACACATCTACAAACTTCCTTAGGCACATTTATCTACAGTTCTTGAAGCTTTTGTATGTGGCAAATTAAGGTGCATTCTATGATGAGACTATATTGAATCAGACTATATTGAATCAGACTTATTGAAGTCTGATTTTTTTATATCAGAATTCAATATAATCTGATATGGCTTTCATGGCCTGATTTCAGACAGGGTTGTGGTTTGATGCCCAGAGACTAAAATAATTTGTGCTTTTTTATTCTGTAGGAAAATATAGAGAACTAAGAGTAGGCGCACACCGTTGATTTTTAGTTGGCCGATAGTTGTGCTCGATTTTAATTTGTATGAAGAATCGGCCAAATCGAATCGGCGTAGTGTGCGCACTCCCATACATGCCCATACTGATCAACTGCCCGACTAAACTATCGGCCGACGAAAAATCAACGTTGTGCGCCTACTCTTAGCTACAGCTGTAGATGAAGCTTTTGTATGTGACAAATGAAGGTTCTATGACGACTAATTAAAAATTTCAGACTTCAATATAGTCTGATATGGCTTTCATGGCCTGATATTAGACAGGATTGTTGTTTGATGCCCAGAGACTAAAATAATTTGTGCTTTCTTTATTCTGAACGAAAATGTTCTGAACTAAACTGTTTCCCCTAATTATTATGATTTATGTTTATTAAATAGATACCTATAAATAGGTACTTTTTAGGGTTCCGTAGCCAAAATGGCAAAAACGGAACCCTTATAGTTTCGTCATGTCCGTCTGTCCGTCTGTCCGTCTGTCCGTCTGTCCGTCTGTCCGTCTGTCCGTCTGTCCGTCTGTCCGTCTGTCCGTCTGTCCGTCTGTCCGTCTGTCCGTCTGTCCGTCTGTCCGTCTGTCCGTCTGTCCGTCTGTCCGTCTGTCCGTCTGTCCGTCTGTCCGTCTGTCCGTCTGTCCGTCTGTCCGTCTGTCCGTCTGTCCGTCTGTCCGTCTGTCCGTCTGTCCGTCTGTCCGTCTGTCCGTCTGTCCGTCTGTCCGTCTGTCCGTCTGTCCGTCTGTCCGTCTGTCCGTCTGTCCGTCTGTCCGTCTGTCCGTCTGTCCGTCTGTCCGTCTGTCCGTCTGTCCGTCTGTCCGTCTGTCCGTCTGTCCGTCTGTCCGTCTGTCCGTCTGTCCGTCTGTCCGTCTGTCCGTCTGTCCGTCTGTCCGTCTGTCCGTCTGTCCGTCTGTCCGTCTGTCCGTCTGTCCGTCTGTCCGTCTGTCCGTCTGTCCGTCTGTCCGTCTGTCCGTCTGTCCGTCTGTCCGTCTGTCCGTCTGTCCGTCTGTCCGTCTGTCCGTCTGTCCGTCTGTCCGTCTGTCCGTCTGTCCGTCTGTCCGTCTGTCCGTCTGTCCGTCTGTCCGTCTGTCCGTCTGTCCCTCTGTCCGTCTGTCCGTCTGTCACAGCCGATTTACTCGGAAACTATAAGTACTACAGTGATGAAATTTGATGGGAATATGTGTTGTATGAACCGCTACAAAATTATGACACTAAATAGTAAAAAAAAGAATTGGGGGTGGGGCCCCCCATACATGTAACTGAGGGATGAAAATTTTTTTTCGATGTACATACCCGTGTGGGGTATCAATGGAAAGGTCTTTTAAAATGATATAAAGTTTTCTAAAAAACATTTTTCTTAAAGTGAACGGTTTTTGAGATATCAGCTCTCAAAGTCGTAAAAAGTATGTCCCCCCCCCTCTATTTTTATAACTACGGGGTATAAAATTCTAAAAAAAATAGAGGTGATGCATGCTAATTAACTCTTTCAACGATTTTTGGTTTGATCAAAGTATCTCTTATAGTTTTTGAGATAGGTTGATTTAACTGTAATTTTGGTTATATTTGCTGCTACGGAACCCTTTGTGCGCGAGCCCGACTCGCACTTGGCCGGTTTTCTTTTCTTGTCTTGTGTGGTGGTGTCAATAAATCTGCCTACATTAGTAGAACATTAGTTCTGAAATCTCTTCGTGTTAGGTATTTGTGCAAAAATTACAAAATGTTTTGCATGATGCATATAGACAGTAAGATACTTAAATACATATATCGTTTTATTACACTATTTTGATTGTATTGTTTGTTTTAACTGTTACTGTTGTCTTGTTACTTTTGGTTATGATTAGATTATAATACCTGGCAACAGCTGCTCACCTAGGTACGAGCATTATACAGATATTTCTTTCAATCTGCACCTTATACAGGCTGTCCCAGAACGGGTGAATCAAATTGCTAGGGGAGGTAGCTCTACTAATTTACTATCCCTAAAAAATATGAAAAAAAAAATAAAGCGCATAAGAAAAAGAAAAAATTTTTTTTTTTAAAGTGAAAATATATCAGTGAAACAAGTGTTGTAAAGCGATAAAAGTGGAGGATGCTGAAAAGAAACGGGTAGGAGGAGGACGCTATGAAACTGAAACTGGAAAAGCTATCGAATAACAGTAATTAAGAAATGAAGTGAATTTGCCAGAAAGGCATAATCTTAATCATACATTTTACATAATTCTTAGGTACTACATAGTAATCTACTCGTAATGGTGGAGTGAAAGGTACTCGTAAGTATTAATGTTGTCTCATACACTTCAAATTATTTAATTGTCTAGCAATGGTTATTGCACCAGAGGAAAATTTTACGCAATCAAGCGTTAGATTTAGATTTCGCAACACTTATCGCGCTTGGTAATCCTCGAGTGCTTATGCCTTGATACGATTCTTTCGAGGACCCTTTAACATTTTCTAATAAGCGATAAACATCTGACATATTATTATCTACGAGTAGGTACACTATCAAGTACTAAAATACATAAGAACATGTAGGTAGGGGTATAGCTATAAGATATTGCACATTCATTGTTTTGAAATCCTTATTACCTATCTTGTATTTTAAGATACGTCTATCTTGTGTGTAAGGTATTAAAATATTAGGCACACCAATTGCAACTTGTAGACTTCCAGGGCTAACATTTTTTTAAACATCTTTATTGTAGTTTTGTAAAAAGCTTTAGATTGACTAATGCCCGTATTCACAAACATTACTATGAGGTCTCACAGTGCGCGTGGATGCGCGCACAGGGTGACACACAAACCAATCGCAGAGCTCTATTCAACGCTGTGCGTTCGATTTGCTGCTTCACATAAGCAAGCATCGTTCGTGAATACGGGCGTAAGTATGTCACATATACAACAAAACTGATACTTTTGTTTGCCTAAGGCCGGTCAAATTAATTCGAAGAAATCATGTATTGTACTTACTTTTTGACTCCCTTTTCAATGTAGTTGTTTCTGTAGAACCCAGTCAGATCTTCTCTAATTGGTCCTTCGTATAAAATTCTCAGCGTATACTCAACGCCTGCTTGCAAAGCGCCTTGGAGATTTATATGCGCAAAGGTGTACGCGGAGTCGAATTCCAATGCATTAGTTTCATTCAAAGGCACAGCTCCTGCAGAATTGCCGATGGTGATGTTATCGCTACTGAAGGTGAGGTCTTGTGAATGTAGCTTTATTTGGTTGATTGGCTCATCACTGGTGAACGTGATGGTCACGTCACCGTTAAAGGTGAAAGCTCTTTCGTCACCGGTGTCGAAGAATGGCATGATGCTGATAGCGTATTTGGAGGGTTTTATTGTCGTGTTCAGTCTGTAATTTGGGTCGCTAGCATTGCTGCAGATGAGTAGGCAGGCAGCCACTATGACTAGGCGGAACATGGCTGAAAAAATATTGTACTAAAGATAAATTCAACAAATTTAATGGTTCTTTGATTTTAAATGTAGACGTTAATTAGTCGTAACAAAGTAATACTAACACAATAAAATAATTTAGAATGTATCACTGCTTATCAATACCTGAATTAACTATTCTAACGGTTGGTGACTTTGGCTGGCTTAAATTTTATGACAATTTTTCCCTCAACATGATGAGTAAATTAAATTCACTAAACAGCAGTACTTAGCACCGTTTACATGATAGTTAATTTGCCAATATACCCACTAAATTATATTTGACTCGCTCATTTCAATTTATTAGATCTTTTAAATGTACACTTTTTAACTTAAAAAACATAGGAATAAAAAAGTATTCCCGTTTTCTTCGGTAACTATAAATATTCTTGAGAAAAAATTGAAAGAATTGATGTCACTTGTGAATAATCTAGTTGCATATTAATCAAGTCTTTTCAAAAATTTTATCAGCACTTTCAAATTTATTTAATTACCGCTTACAAACACAAGCATATTAATTGCTTATAAATAGTTTGGGGATAGATAGCGCTGTGTGAAATTGTCCAAAGATAATAAAAAAAAGTTTGACAAACGAATTAATTAATCACTCACCTAATGTCTTCACTAGCCTAAACAGTATTACATACTAAACAGCCGGCGTTAAAAGGATCATTTGAACAATGCTGATAAGAATCATCTCGAGCATCTGTTATCAAGAGTCACGACTGTTCATAGATAAACTACCGTTCTTCAAATGAAATTCATGAAGTTTCATAATCTTTAATATTATAAAAACAATTGTTTATTTATATTTGTGTAAGACAGAGTTAGGTAAGAGTAAAGTTTTAGTTTTTTTTAAATAATATTAGAATATCTCTATGGTCTTTGCTCTAACTTTGCTTTGGTGTTTGGTGTATGTACTGTACCTTCTGTGTAATATTTTTATGTTACATTACTACTTATGGAGCTACTCGTATGTTGCTATGAGGCAAAAAATAAAAACATTATTGTTTTGTAAAAAAAACTTTATTTATTCTTAATTTAAATATAAATAAGGCACATCGTTACGACTATTGCTTCTTCATTGTGTTTTATAATAAGTAATATAAAAATCATTATGTACAGTCATTAAAGCATTTGGAAGCACAAAGAATACCCATTCAAGGAACTTATATTTAAATGTAACTCTGATTTTAATCTAAAACCATTGCACAAATAAAAAGTAGACCATATTGATCAACAACAATAGTATGTACCTAGAAGAAGTCAAATGACTCGAATAGAAAATCAGACATAAAATCAGAGTACATTTTATAATCTTTGTATCTATCTCAGCATCAATGCTATCAAAGTCGTAAAGAGTAAACTGAGAGTCGGTACGATGACGTGACCCGAACCACGGCCCATTGCTTTCAGAACAGCGTCCGCGTTGTCATCACCCCACTTCATGCTGGATCTGGCAGAGGCGATGGCGGACAGACCCACATTGAACTCCGGAACCGACTCCTGGTTGCTGTTCAGCCATTGCTCCATCTGTGAAAGTCTTCTCTGTCAGTCTTCATTATGATTTCAGGAATAAAATATCTGGCAGTGGCTGGATGAAAAATAAGAAGCTCCTCGGGGAAATCATAACTCCAGATTTTTACTAAATTTAATGATCATTATCAGCGTTAGCTAATAAGCCGTGTGGTGACTGCAGAGTAGAATACATTTGTCACCAACCCCTACTCTTCCCACAGGTGCCGTAAGAGGCGACTTAGGGACTACACATCAAACAGAGAACAGGCAGCAGCGCTCTCTGACAAACATCAATCTTTTAAACTGCGATCTCCAACCCGCCTGCCAAGCGTGGGGATTATGGCAAAACCCTCCACTATAGTGGAGGCTCATAGTCCAGCAGTAGCCTGTAAAGGCCTGCTGACGATGATGATGATTAGCTAATTAATGTATAAGAAATGTGAACACTCTGTTTTTTTAATATTATACTTACGTCTTCTAATCCTTCTTCCTCCAAATAACCAGCGATGCCGCTCAGCACGTTTTGAAACCATGCTGGTAAAACGACACTGAAACAAAGGATCTTCATTAATTACCTAGTTACCTTATAGTCGTTCAACATGTACAAAATAATGTCTCGAAAATGTCTTATTTTACATAATACAAATGTCAAAATTACCATTGTTACAGAATATGACTGTGATGGCTGAGCTTACGAGAACAACTTTGTCTTAGAGGAAAGTTAACCTGTCATTGATTTCTCCACAAAATTAATCAGATAAATAAAAATAGGAGGGTTTTAAAGTTTTGGTTTCGGTTGCTAGAACATCTGAATGCGAACTGCGCAGGACTCTTCTGGAAGAAATTCTTCTGGAAGCCTTTATCCAACATGAACATCATTTTTGGCTGAAACAAACGAACGAACGAAAGGGAGTTCAAAGTTTTGTGATCACTCGTATACTTACGCTTTTCTGATCTCCTCTGTTCTTTCCTTCAGGAACTGCAGAGCTATCTTCGCGTTGCCCTTGTCACCCATGAAGAGGAAAGTGAATGCGTTCACTGTGTCTTGCGCTTTGACGTCATCACTCAATATCATCTCCAAATATCTATGGAAAAAAAATCACAGCTTTTAGATGTTTTGTACAATGGCATAATTTACTTTGTCAAGTTAACAAATACATTTCAAATAATAATGTCAGTGAAAGTTTACTATTTCTTTAATTTAATTGCCTAGACTACTTGTTTAAATATAATTTTTTAACTTAGCGAAATCGCTGGTAAAATCTTAGTTGATCATCTATCTCTGAAAAAGTAATAGTTATTGCCAATTTTTTCACTTTATGCCTCAAAGTCCTACCCTTCCTATATTTTGCTAGATTACAGATATTAAGGTCGATACAAAGACAATTTTATAACGCATTCATTCAATAGTATTAAAGAGATTTTGCACGATTAATTGCAATTTAATACTGATAATAATGTTTATTTGAAGAAGCACTTACGTAAGCTTATTGAACTCATCATTCATTCTCAAGATCACTTTGTAATCATTTCAATAGGTAACTTATCGTATTTTAAGCCCAATCGACTTATGTTGCTTAAAGGTTATTAATATTCAATTTCAATTTGCAATGACATATGCAAGAACAGTCATAGCGTAAATTGTTTAAATAAATAAATAATAAAACGTTTTCAGCCAAGTCACGTACTACAACTAAGTATTATAAAAATTGGTAATCGGCACTGCCACCCACAGATACCATCTGTCTTTAAAACTCTTATGCCCATTTTCAGCATCAATCCCTAATTTTTAAGTGACCCCTATGATGACACATAACAAGCATTTTGTTGTCATATGTATTTTGGGTCACTTAAAAATTAGGGATTGATGGTAAAAACGGGCATTAATCTAATAAGAAAGTTACATTTTTCATTGTGGATCATGTACGATTGACGGCTGATGGGGCAGCAAGGTTCTGGAGTGGAAAAGCGCAGCGTAGGACGTCCACCCACAAGGTGGACCGACGACCTCATAAAGGAAGGCACTAGATGCACTCCGCTACTCTCTTTATGGAGGGAGGCCTATGTTCAGCAGTGGACGTCTTACGGCTGAAATGACGATTATAATGTACGCCGTTGACTGGCTGATGGTTATAAAAAAAAATGAAATGGAACTCACTCTTTCACAGCTTGCTCGTCGGAGCTGCAGCCCAGTGCTCGGAGCATAGCCACCTCATCTCCCTGGTTGTTGGAATCCAATCGCCTGTTGTACAGCCAGTTCCAGTCATCGTAGGTGCCTTCGCGCAGTCCAACGCAGAACACGTGACGGCGCAGGTTAGGGTTTACTCTGGAGAAAAGACAAAGCTTGATAAGAAAGTGAGAGAGAGAGAGAGAGAGAATAAATAAGCTTTTTCCTTTGCTACTAATACTATAAAAGTGATAAAGTTTGAATAAGAGAGAGAGATAAAAAAGAAGATTTTTCCTTAGATACTAACCCCCTTACTAATAAAAATTACACAGTTGTTGAACACTGTTTTAAAATGACATTTCCATACTAAACGTCACTTTAAAACACTGTTCAACGAGCGTGTAAGTTTTATTAGTAAGGGTGTAATTCTATAAAAGTCATAGACGGTTGCCAACAGGCCAGTCTAAAAGTAAACATAAAAACCCGCAAACTTTTGAGTAGGTATGGTTTTCGAAAATTGCATCTATTGTCCTCTTTCAACTTTAGTTGTTACTTTAACAGATTAATTTAATAATACAAACAATTAGGCACATACAGTCACTATATCTACTTAAATTACAGATTTGCCTCCGTTGGGATTCGAACCCGCAGTCATTACAACCCTGATATCATTTTCCATTGTTTCATTTAAGATCACATGAATTGTACAATTACACATGAATGTGTATCTTTAGAGAGATAGAACCCGTTTAATTTCCTTTAGCTTGTTATAAAGCCATTACACCGATTGCTCTTTGTTGGTTATCGCCGACGATACGTCTAGTGAACACGCTACGTCAAGCAAATTGGCTTATTTTATCAAAATTAGATTATGATTTATTTGTATCCCGACATCGGAAATTTGGCACACTCTTCTATATTAACAATGGCCTCCTCCTCACTCACATTCAACTAATGAGAGTATAAGAAACAGGTTGTAAGCTAGTTTAAACTCAGTGTTTTTTACTTCCTATCCTTCACGCGATTTACAGGATTTGTTCACAAGACAGATCTTGTTGAGGAAGAATTATAGGATTTCATACATGAAAACAGTATACTCACGGAGTCTGCGAAGTCCTTAAAGCGGTGAACTTCTGAAGAGCATCTTGTACACAGCCAGAGTGGCCGATGTTGCAAGCGAAAGACAGAACGAATAGTCTATTCAAGGTCCTGGTGAGAGGCTCGTCCTCCACCACATCGTACCCTAAGTCCTCGATCACAGCTTGTAAGAACTCGAAGAGAACTGCCTGAAAATACATACTTTGAGGTAAATATATGTTAAAATACATATAAGTAAAGAAGGTACTGCTGGTTATGAATACCATTTTCCACGGATCTCAAGATTAAAGCTCCTAAATTGAATTGATCTTAAATACAATTTCGGCTAAAAAGGGGTGTACAAATTATACGCAATTATCATTGCTAGGTAACATTAGGTACATTATTTATCAACTCACGAGAGATTTGGCACTATAGTCCGGTCGCTGAGCACGTAGAATTTCGTCCAATGACCCCAAGCTACCTATCCTTATCGCTCGCGCGTAATTATATTGCTGTCGCGACTGTGCGACGGGCGGCAGCAGTGAGTGTGCAAGCGCAACAGCAGCTTTAGCAAACTTACATCATACTCAGCCAAAACACTCGGCAGGTGCAAAAATCTGTTCCGGATCCAGTTCAAGCCGGAAGTGGCTGGATACCAGGAGTAGTAGCTCGTGTCGTCCCTCAGAAAATCGAGCACTTCGAAGCCTTTCTCGAAAGTCATGCGCTGGGAGCGCATCAAAGCAAACACATCGTCGACTATCTGAAATTTTAGAAATAGAAGCATATAAAATAAAATACCCCCAATCATCATCATCATCATCTCAGCCATAGAACTTCCACTACCAACTGGACGCAGGCCGCTACCAACCGGGAAGCATGGAAAGCATTGGGGGAGACCTATGTTCAGCAGTGGACGTCCTATGACTGAGATACCCCCAAAATTATACCATAATAAGATAGTTGGAATGCGCTGGATGCAGGCCGCTACCTACACAACGGGTCAAAATGGAAATCATAGGCCTATGGAGGCAGTGCATGTCCTGTGGCTGAATTGATGATGATGATTTATTATTATACTTTAAACAATACCTACTCAGTAGTAGGTAGGTATAAAAAGACATGCAGATTGAAAATACCCCCTCAATCTTCATTTTATCAGCATCATCAGTTTATTTAGTCTCCATTGCAAACATCTTTACCACAGGCAAATTATAAAGCATTTGGCCTACAGACACAGAATCTACAGGCCTGATGGGTTAGGAAGAGGTTACGTTCTATGCAAAAATAAATACCTATAACAACTAACCTGTGCTCTGTTCAAGAAGTGAATGTTGTTGATATCTGCTTTGAGGGCATTAGCTATCCGTTTCCAGTTATTTTCGTCATAGTTTACCCTGTACATGCCTGAAAACACAAAAGTAATATAGAAATATTTAGTATGTAATTATTTTGATAAAATTTTCAATTTGATAATCATCAGGATCAAAGTGTTATTTAGAATGGAGAATAGATAAGGGAGGCACCTATAGCATGTCCTTTGATTGATATTGATACGCGTTTAACTAAGGCCAAAAGCAAGGACAGCAAATTTGTTTTCGAGGAGTTTATCAGCAAGCCAAACTGACAACTTGTTAGGGCACAATAAAATTATTGACCGTTACCTTTTTGCTGTACATTGAAAATAACCCACGCGTCTCCAGCGTCAATTTGGATCTCGTCAGATTTTCCCAACATGACTGTGGTAGGTGTCAATGCATTCCAATCGGGGTTCTTCCCAGTTGTGTACGTCAGAGGTAGTGGCCACACTTGCTGTGTTTGAGTGGCCGTTGCACTGATGAAGAAACGCTCCTGTAAATTATGATAAAAATTATTCAGACTATATTTTTTGCTGAATAGGGTTTATAACTTGATTTCCGTTATTAACACTCAGCAGTTTCGCATCAAAAATTGTAGAGCTTGCCGCGGCCCGATGCAATGTTCCACACGCCCCCGCTAGCTTCATAACTCCAGTCAAAGTTTGTTTGTATTATCAGCCACCATTGCACGGTAGTCACAGGTACCACCTGACCTCATGCGAGCAGTTATGTCCTAATGTAAATTACCTGAGAAAGTTGAACCAGCCCAGTATCCGTGTTGACAGTGACATCTAGCACAGGGTACCCCGGCTCGTCGACCCAGTATTTTAGGAATTCTTCGATGTCAGCACTGTACAGCTGAGTTCCATCTTCGGTGGTGGCGTTTTTGAATGCTACGTAGAGGTCTTCAGGGAAAGCGTGCTCGTAGGACCTTTAATTTTACGAGACAGAGCGTTTAATGAATATAGTTTATCTCAAACTTAAGTATGTCTTATAGCGACCCTTTTTTGTCAAAGCTTCTTTTTTCTTAGTAATATCGCGAGCAGTAGCAGAAACTTACCTCAGATCTAAAAATTTACTCAGTTTCAGAATTAAACTAAGATTCGAGACGGATAGTAGGATAGTAACAAACTTCTAACCTGTCAACCAAGAAGCGGTTCAAGGCCTTCTTGAATGTATCTTCAGAAAGGAAGTGCTTCAGCATGAGAAGTAGGGTAGCGCCTTTAGAGTAACTGATGCCGGAGAAGTGTCCCGTGACCTCGGTAGGGCTGTTGACTGTATGTCGAAGAGCCCTAGTGGCGGCGGACGAATCAGCGGACAGAGCGCTTTGCACGTACATGATGTTGAATTGCGACTCAAGCTCCAGCTCTGGGTAAACCTGTACAAAAAAGGGTATAAAGGATATAAGGCAAGGGACCACACAATCAAATAAAATCCATAATCAAATACTGCAATCAACTTTAAAACCTATTGATTCAGAAACCGGGTGGGTAGATTCTACCTTCATGGCTCAAAGTGATCTAGCGTTGATGTGATAAATTGGTGGGCCTATCTTAAAAAATTATAGATTCTTATTATACAATCTTACTCCATGCATTCCGAAATATTCGAAGTAGCTGGCGAAACCCTCGTTGATCCATACGTTGTCCCACCATCTCGCAGTGATGAGGTTGCCAAACCACTTGTGTGCCAGTTCGTGGGCTGTTATAGTGCCGATGTTCATTTTGTCCAAAGCGTTGGTCTCTCCCTCTTCATAGAGTAAACGAAGCTCCCTAAATAAAACAAAAAAAACACATGAAAATACAAATGCAAAATACACATACAAATAAATATCCTTAGACATTTTACACTGCGCTTCTAGTCCCAAACTAAGCAAAGCTTGTACTATGGGCACTAGACAACGGATATAAAAAAATAGAAACATCTGAAGATCGACGAAGTACAATTTGAACATCTCAACATATCACTTGACAATCAAATATTGGATTACAAGAATCATACAATTATGAGTTAATGTTAGTTAGCCATTAGTTTTCAAGAGCGCGAATAAATTCTAAACTTTTTTATTACCTGTAAGAAACTAAGCCCCAATTCTCAGTAGCTCCTGAAGCCCAATCAGGTGAAGCTATCTGATCATTCTTCATACCTGGGCCCATGGTATAGTAGGGAATACTAAAGTAGTCTTCAAACCATTTTGTTAGTGGAGGGCCTACTTTCAAAGCGTATTCTCCTTGATTAGGAGCATTGGGTCTAGCAATGATGCGGTAAGGTCTATCAGCGTCGTTGTTCTGAGCGATGACTTTGAAGTCTTCGCTGACCAGGATCGAGATCAGATAAGCAGACATTCTAGGAGTTGTGTGGAAGACTTCTTTGACGAGATCTCCCATGCTGTAATAATAGATTTTAAAAAATTAACAACTGTCGACAGATTACCTCCTGCGTGAGTTTTGGTTTATCTATCACTAGCTTTCCGCCCGCGGCTTCGCCCGCGTGGAATTTTGTCTGTCACAGAAAAACTTTATCGCGCGCGTCCCTGTTTCAAAAACCGGGATAAAAACTATCCTATGTTCTTTCCCGGGACTCAAACTATCTCTATGCCAAATTTCATCAAAATCGGTTGCGAGGTTTAAGCGGGAAAGCGTAACAGACAGACAGACAGACAGAGTTACTTTCGCATTTATAATATTAGTTGGGATTCACAGTCATTAAATCGCATGCGTTGCGTTTTATGAAAATCATGGCTATTAATATGTTTAATCGTTTAACTTATGAGGTTTTGCAAACTGTTATAAACAATTTTACCCATTACGAAAAAAGTGCCTAACGTGAGCTCTCTCAATTCCAAAATTAGTTCAATTGTGGTAAAAGCGTAAAAAATAGGCGAATTAACAAAGATAATCGCAATATTCGCTTACGGTAGGTATTTTAAATGTTTTAAAATTTATTTTAGTACGGCCACTTACGGAATAGTCTCCGCTATGTCCATGTTGGAATAAGTTTGTGTGAAATTAGCTGGTCTGTTAACTGTAATGTTGTATGTAGACTTGAAGCCTGGCTCATCGAAACTTGGGAAGAGTTGTCTTCCATGGGTCGGCTGAAGATGTGTTCCTGCATACCAGCTGAAAGAATATAACCAGAAATTAAACTTACTGCTTTGTTATCTAATCAAATATTTCTGGTATTGCTTTTTAATAAATTTGGCGAAAATTTACTTTAAATAGGTACAGTTTGCGTGGCGAGATTTACATTTGGGTGAGTGCACGTTGACAGTTTTTACCGCTTTTTGGCAATCGGTCTGAGGCGCAAGTCCGCCGTAAATCTGTCACACTTCACTTCTTGTAGGTACTGGTAGCAGCGTGACTTGTTGTGTGTTTAATTCTTAGTATTTTGTTCTTGTATGATTTTTTTCCATACAAACATTTTTGAATTTTTTTAAAAGTTTTTTGTCTTTCTTTCGTGATCACTCACACAAATGCTAAGCTGAGCTTACGCCTCGCAAACTGTATTGATGAAAATAATTTAGCTTAATACTCACTGAACCTTTCCACTGCTATCTTTGTAGTTTCCCCTGAACATTCCTCTTGTAAGAGGCGTCTCGTTTATGTTTCCAATATAGTGTATATTTAACAAATAAACTTGGCCATTGGCCAAGGTCACGCCATCTGCCAAGTTGATTCTTAAGAAGAAGTACTGACGGATACGGTCGAATGGAGTGGAGTCATTCAAAGGTACAATATCGAAATTTTCCGTGACGAGGGTTACGTTGACAATGTCTTTCACGTTGTCTTGTAATATCATAGCAGTTAGTCCTTCTGATAAAACCTGGAAGTTACATTAGAATTAATATCGAAAATGGAAATAAAATATAGCGCATACGCTGAGTTAATCGCATAACATTCAAATGCGAGCCGGAAGACGTAGCGTGGGCAGGCCTCCCACTAGGTGGACCGACGATCTGGTGAAGGTCGTGGGAGATGCCTAGATGCAAGCGGCGTAGGACCGGTCTTTGTGGAAATCCTTGGTGGAGGCCTTTATCCAGCAGTGGACGTCTTTCGGCTGAAACGAACGAACGAACGATTCAAATGTTGAAAGCCATACGATTTCAGTGACGAAAAGTCCTTACTTCATGTCCATATTTTCTGTTTGGGTAACCAAAAATGGTATTTGCAAGACTTTATCTGACAAACTATGCATCTTTGTAATTTTAATCAGAAGTCACTTGTACCGGTTATCAATTTATTAACTTAGTTGTCATATCAAGTAGAGTCGCTAGCTAGGGTATCCACCTTATTTGTTGCAAAATCCCCGGTATTTAAATTACGTGTTTTTTTTATTTTATTTTTTTGTTAAAAAACTATACATTAAGCTTAATTGAAGCTTTCGGCTATATCCACATTATACAAAAATATTTACTTACTCTAATGTAAAGTGTAGTTTCGCCATCGAACGTGAACGGCTCTTTGCCTTCTGGTGCCGTTTCGAAGTACGGAGTCACTTCGATGTTGCAGTGGATGGGGTCCAGGTCTTCTGGGAGACGGTAAGAAGCCGGATCATCATTCCTGGCCACGGCAGGGTCGAAGTCAAGGTCTACCTCCAGCTCGAATGGGAACTCCGCGCTGACGAGGGCGAGGAGTGCCGGTACTAAGACCAGCTTTGTCAAGAAGGACATGGTACTGGAACAATGAAGTTAATGATAAGGTAATGTTTCTAAATATTTATTTATGTAATCAAGTTTTGTAACATTGTGAGAAATGTCATACTCTAGCAACCCGCCCCGGCTTCGCTAAAAATCTTCCTCTTGAATCACTCTCACTCTATTAGTGAAAACTGCATTCAAATCCGTTGCGCAATTTAAGGTAGCTATTTAAGTAAACTTTATAGTACTAACAAAGAAATTAATGGACTTAAAATAGTTATGACATTATCTACCAATCAACCTTGAGATAGGTACATAGGTACGTCATAGCATTTTATGAAATTTTGGCTTATCGATTTTTACCTTATCATGCATCTTACATGGCTCCTTTGATGACGAAATGATTACGTCATTAACGACTTATGACAGTGCAATAATTTACCCACAAATTCAATACAACACACATTTTCTACGACATTCTTCTAATACGATATTTACGAACAAGCTTTTATTAGGTGTATATTTCTTTCTTTTATACTCTTATTATTTACCCAGTTGCATGAGAATCAATAAGTTTTAAATATCGCTATCAATGGAAAATCTTTGGAATACATTTTGCGATATGCATTGATATGAACACAATAATGCATAATTTGGTTTCTATTCTTATCATTAAAGCTTTTGTGTTCACAACAAATACTTGTAAATTCTTTTGACATTATGGAAATCATAACGTTATGCGAATTAACGTATAAATTACTATGTAAACATTAATTAATAGAGTATTAATAAACATACACGTGTTGTTCGAAGTTTTCGTAATTATTTATCTTTTAATATCGCGTGGTTTTTAGTTTCGAAATAAAAGTAGGTACTACAGGGTATAGCACGGTAAGTTACCTAAGTATGATCTCAGTTGTTACAATCTACAAGACAAGAAAATCTAGCAAACACATTTAAATCATGATCATCAATTTCCATCAGAAAAGATGCAGCCAAAGAGTTTCTTCGTTGTGGATGATTTAGAACTTAACTTGAACACGATTAAGAATGAATTTATATCATTAGCACCTTATCAATTAAATCAGCATCATAAGAAATTGGAATAAAAACTTAGAAGTGTAACACTTACCCGTCCTTCGATTACATGTAAAATGGCTCCAAAATCCGATATCATAAAATTATATTCGTCGTTTCACGGATATTTTACTTATAATTATTGTAGCTGTTAAATGGATTATATTCGTGATAAGACATATGATATACCTACCTACGATAATTCTGATAAGGTATTGTGTCGATAAGAAGCTGATATGTGATAAAAATATGCAGATAATTTCGAAAAGAAAATTCCGTCGAATTGTGACATTTTGAAAAACAGATTGGGAAATAGGATTACTTAAAATGATAAGGATTAATTCATTAATCCCAAATAGAGGTAATTAATTGCTATGTTTAATATTATAATTGCGATATCCAAAAGTATAAGCTTTCGTTAAACTTCATGAAAGGTAACTTTGTAATTCAAATGTAACCATAGGGGTTTGACATAACTTATTCAGAACAATTTTAACGTGCTCTCTGAGACACAAAGTATTACTTTTTTGTGCTATCAGTCAGTTCAAGCTGAAATATCCTTATACAGGGTGACTGGAACTGAACCCGCCATAGCTAATACGCGTATAGAGGAGGTCATTTGCTAATTATTGAACCTTACTTTCTATAGTTTAGGAGATATGTCAATTTTTAAACTTTTTTCAGATTTTTCCGAAATTTTACCTAAAAACTGCTTTAATTTTTTTCTCGCATGATTTTAACCGATTTTTTTATTTGATACTAATATCGAATAAACATTTAGTTAAATAAAATAAATTTCAGATCCAGATAATGATTGAATAACTAGCCACGAGACGCCAAAGTTCAACAAAAATACAAACAACGATAAAAAATTAAAGTTCGAATTCAATTTAAAAAAAAGCTAATGGTGATAATGGATTGCCAATGATCTTCGGAAAAAAATTAAAAAAGTATAAAAATTGACATTTATCTCCTAAACTATAAAACTTTATTCATAGAAAGTAGGGTTCAATAATTAGCAAATGACCTCCTCTATACGCTTATTAGCTATGGCGGGTTAAGTTCCAGTCACCCTGTATAAACTAGGATACCTACTTAACAAAATGAATTCCCAAATTCCCACTTGAGAATCAAACCTATAATTTTCAAGTTGAAAGAGTCTGGACTGGACTACTGGTGTATTTCCCATACCTAAAGTAAAGTAAATAAATTTACTATAATAATCTTGTGTTATCGCGCTTGGGTTTTTTCTCTATATGTATTAGAGAGGATAGTCTAATTAAGTAGTGACGCATGTTTAGTTTGGGTAATTTATTTTTTATCAGTTTTATCAATCAAACTTAGTCATAATATTATTGGTCACTTCATTACATCGGCACATAGGGTGATTAAAACGACAATCCATTTCAGTATTATTATATTTTTATAGATCTACCCCACGATATTAATAAATTCTACGTCCATTTTTTGTCCATAGTTTGGGGCTAGCGGCGCAGTGTAACATGTATAAATAAAATTTATTTATTATTTATTTATTTTAGTCAAACTACTTGTATCTCTCAAGAAATTGTATCTATCACTCTATATGTGAATATTTTAAGTTAGATATTGTAACTATGTCAAACATTATTTATGAAAAGTGGAGTTTTAAATTAATATTGTTATGATCTTCAAGCTTTTTTCAGCAAAAAAATTAAATAATAGAGGTATTTATTAATTGATTTGAATGTCTACGGGTGTAACAGCCTATACATATAAATATGATAAATCCATTTATGACACACTTATTTTGTTACTTTCACGATAATCATTGGGACACGTGACATCGCTCCCATGGTAATTAGGAACTAGAGAGCATCTACTTACATCATTATTGTTTGTGAATTAAATTAAGGTAGAAGAAAACTTCATCATCATCATTATTTCAGTCACAGGACGTCCACTGCTGAACATAGGCCTCCAACTGAGGCCGGGATGATAAACAGGACTATTCCCACCTCTCGTTCCCATCGCTGTAAATTCAGTTTAGCCAAGATAAGCTCCAAGGACGACCCAACCAATGATGGTCAAAGTATGGTAAGAAAAAAACTAAAAGACAACATAAAAATGCTGAAGAACCTTGCCACTTTCCGTTAAAATGTATATTAAAATGACTCAATCTTTATCGCCATAGGGGTCGAACCCAGAGATATGGATTTACTCTTCAAGATAGAATTCTGGAAAGTACTGATTTAGTAAAGGAAATATAAATAATTAAACTTACATCCACCGGGATATGTACAGTCATCATCAGGACCATCGCCCACGGCGACTTTTTGTAGTGATGCTGTCATGCAGCATCGCTACTAACGCGCATTAAACGCATTTGCAACGCACTACAGAAGCAATGCCAACGTACTACTAACGCGCTACAGTAGCGTGACTGTATCGATGCAAACGCGCGACAGAATCGCTACAAAAAGTCGCCGTGGGTAAGGGGCCTCAGATTATCCGAGTAAATTAAATATCCTAATCCTTCGATATTTTACACTGCGCCTCTAATCCCAAACTAAGCAAAGCTTGTACTATGTGTACTAGACAACGGATATAAACTACTTTTGTAAATAACATTAAAATTATCACAACACATGCATCTAAAATTAGTATAATATCTTATCCCCTTATATAATTATGAAAGCACACAATTTTTTATCAAAAACGCATTTATTACAAAAATATCACTTATCCCTATAATTATTCACAATCATGCAAGTCTAACTAAAACTGCAGTGGCTAGCAGCAATGCTGTCGACACTACAACCGTTGCAGAACCATCTCTCATAGCTGACAGGATCATATCAGCGTTGTTGGCACCCCATTCATTGTTCGCTCGAGCTGATTGGATGGAGGAGAGAGCACCGGAATACTGCATGGTGCCGACTTGAGTGGTGCGAAGCCATTCTTCGTACTGCAAGTATTTTTTTATGTTGGTAATCAGTACCGTGCAATGGGTATGCTTACCGACGTGACATTGGCAAACGTGGAAACAAAGGCCCGCCATACACGGACAGCTCGAGCAGTTAGTCAGTGATCAACATACTCTTGTAGTAAAGAGTCAACAGCTTGAAGCTGCCAGTGATAACTGCTCAAGCAGTTGGTATTAACTGCTCAACAAATCACAAGCGCGCGCGCCGTGGAATGAAGAAAGTGGGCGGAGGTAACTGCGCGAGAGCTGTCGACAGCTCGAGCAGTCAGTGTATGGCTGGCGACTGCTTGACCGCACGATGAAAATTCACCGTGCTTTCGACCGCCCGAATCAATTGCAACTGCTCGAGCGGTTCGTGTATGTGCGTCCATAGAACTCTGCAGTTAACTGTGCAGTCGCAGCTTAAAGCTGTCGACCCTGACTGCTTCAAGCGGTCCGTGTATTGCCGGCCAAAGGGTACAGAAAAAGAATTTTTTTTTTTTACATTCAACATGAAAAGTGTCCTGATTCATAAGCTGTGAATTAACAGAGAGGGTCTTTATTTCTTCTCTACTTATATGCCCTCTTATGAGAGCAAATCTTCGGGAAATCAGAACATAATCAGATTTACTAACTTATTTACAGATTCAAAGACAACTCACATCCACTAGTCCAGGCTCGTCCAGATACGCAGCAATGTTATTCAATGCTGAATTAACAGGTGTTGGCGGGGCATCTTCAATGTAACTGAAATAAAAAGAACATACCTAATTCAAGTTGAAAATAGGTACTCGTACATAAATTAAAGTCCTCACAAAGAAAATTATTCATCTCTGAAAAAAATAATTAAAAACTAGGTTTATAGGTGCTATTTAGCAAAAGTTCTTGTTCATCGTTATTATGAATAATTTTTACAATGTTGTTAACGATAAATGTAATTCCCCAACATGTAAATCCATTATAATCAGGATAATAAAAAGTGCAATTTAGTCAGTAGTCTTACGATTTCTTATTTCTGATATTATTAATTACCGCTGATTTGACATTTTACACAAGTTAAGAGTACAGTATTTAAAAGGATATATTTTGGACTCCAAGTTCCATAGTATGAAATGGAATAACAACAATGATGTGCTTGTTATATTTCACTTACGCGACTCTTATAGCATCAATGTTGTTCTTCACGAATTCAAGCACGGTGTAGACATTATCCGGGTTCCCAGTCAGAGCAAAGTTGAACGAGTTCAGTTTGTCGTGAGACCTCACCGTTGAAGTCAATGTCAGTTCTAGGTATCTGTAAATAAGAATACATTTTGTTTAACATTATCCTTTATTTATTTGTTTCAGACCTCCAGTGTCTTCGCAAATATTGAGGTACCTACCTGACAACTAACGGTTTTCAAGGCATATAAAATGGGATTTAAAGAAAGAGGAGGTGAATAACAAGCAAACAAACACAACATTTCGGTCACAAATTACTATTGTGAAAAATAAGCTCTGCTTAATGCAGCAGTAAGATGATTGGTGTGGAAGCATTAGCTGTACTCTTCTCTAATCTACAATCTACGTTCTAGTTATTATCGCCAGGAAGATGATTGGTCTTGTACTTATGGGACTTACTCTCTTTTAACTGCCTCTTTTTTCCAGAAACCAGAAAAAGTAGCGCCTCACCAGTGAAGCTTAGACGTTAGCGTAAAGACATTAATAGCAGTGAAGTTTTACTGAGTGATAATGGAAGAAAATCGCTTATCACTTACTCAGTCAACAGCTGTGGGTCTCTAGTAGCTGCAAGAGCTCTCAGCATCTCGAGCTGGTCATTAGCATAGTTGGACTGCTGGTGTCTGCGGAGAACAAAGTCGAACTCCTCGCGACCACCTTCCCGGACTCCCGTCATGTAGACGTGACGGCGGATACGCGGGTCAATCCTGGTGAGAAGTAAAAATGAATTAATGGACTTTTCTGCCCTCACATTAAGTTAAGTATGTATAATGGAGTTCTGACGCGTGAAATTTTAAAATACAATAACTTTCTGGCTTTTGCCGGCGGCTTTTCCACGTGTATTGTACTAGATTTTATCGTTCAGTGATTTAGACGTGAGCTACGATCCCTCATATCTTAAATCTTAAGATTTCAATAAAGCAATAGGAATCCATTTACCAAACTTCATCTTTCATAGCGTTGAACTTTTCCTGCGAATCCTCCACACACTTCTGGTGGCCGATGTTGCAAGCCAACTGAAGGATCTCCTGGCGAGTCAGACTCACAGTTGGGGTTTCGTTCTCAGCTGGCTCGAATCCAAGCTCGGATATCACGTGATCCATGTAGCCGAGGATGATGGACTGTAAGTAAAGTATCATTTTTTAAACTCATGTGATGGATGAACTAAGTATCTAATTATGGTTTTCAGAAGCTATTGGATATCAATATCAGTCTGCGTTTTAGACTACGCTCTGTAACTGAAAGAACATAAAGCTTAATATTATCTATCATGACTCATCCCAAGTCGCCCAATAGGTATGGACGATGCTATCTGACAAACGGGACTATTCCCACCTCTCCTTCCCACCGCGCCGCTGCAACTACTGTGTAGCCAGGATCTTCAGCTTGACTGCCAATAAAAACCCAACCAGTGAAGGTCAAGTTTGTCCCGGGGGAAAGTTAAACAGTTATTAGACCCGAAACGAAATTGCTATCTAACAGCAAAGAAAAATAACCAACAAGACTGAAAAAACTGGCTCCACGACGTGAAAATTATTTAATTAATGGGCACTTACATCAAACTCTGCCAATTGTTCGGGCAAAAACCTCAACCTGTTTCGCAACCAGGAGAGCCCGCTGATGGCTGGGTTCCATACGTGGTAGTTGGTTTCTTTGTACAGGAACTTCAGGATATGGAACCCTTTAGCGTAGGGGAAGGTCGGGCAAAGTGGATACCTTAAGGTATTTAAGGTTATAGCAGAAAATGTATACAATACAAAAACAAAATAATTATCACAAATCAGTCTTTATTTATTGCTCTTGTAATTAGGTACACCAGTTAACATTAATATTTAAACAATAATCAACTGCAATTAAAATTAAAAAAAGTACGAAAGTATTTGCTTTGCCCGGTACCCCGGGTAAAGTGAACACGGTACTTGGGCAAAGTGAATACTCATATTCAATCTCTGAAATAACTTTGATAAACTGAAAAATAAACATAACTTGACCATAAAATTAGAAAATTAAGATTGGCAATTATCACAGGTATACCCTTGAGTGCCATCAAAAGCAGAACAATCTTCGTGACACCATTGTTGACAAATGTCACATTGAATCCAGTTTTCAATTGGTTTACCGTCTTCTTCAATATATATTTCACTGCAAAAAAAACATAAAATGTCCTTAAATTCTTTCATTTTCTTTGGCTGTTTAACCTTTTTAGCAGTTCTTTTGTCTTTCTTCTCTGTATTAGTCTTCTTAGGAACATTTTTTGACTTATCATTCAGTCTTTTAGTAATATTCTTAACTTTATTTTTGTCATATTTCTGCTTTTGATCTTCCTTGATCGGGGTACTGGTTAATATTTCCGATTTTTGTAATTTCCGTTTACGCGTGGTCATTGGTTTGGCAGGATTTGGAATAGGTCTTAACATCAAGGGACTGCAGTGGGAGGCTGAGCATCCCGGTTTCGGATCAGGTGAGTTGTCAGGGCTAGTATTTTGTGGAATATTTACTTCAGTTTCCGGCAGAACTGTGTCACCTCTCTGAGCAGCTATGTCTGGCCCAAAAGCGGAGACAATTCGGGAACATCCAGGTTCTGGTTCAGGTGTACACAAAGGTCTTAACACCAAGGGACTGCAGTGGGAGGCTGAGCATCCCGGTTTTGGATCAGGTGAGTTGTCACGGCTAGTATTTAGTCGAATATTTACTTCAGTTTCCGGCAGCACTGCATCACCTTTCTGAGTAGCTATATCTGGCCCAAAAGCGGAGACAATTCGCGAACATCCAGGTTCTGGTTCAGGTGTACACCTGTCGCTACGAATATTTTCAGGCGTGTTAACAATGGGCGCAACAAAGTCTTGAAACTCACAAGAGGGAGTTCTGTTTCGAGATGGAAATATTTCTGATAAAGGATCTACTGAATTTGATGGAATCAGTTCTTGAAAAAGTGAAGGCGATGGAGTTGAAGAAGTGTCTGCAAAAGGTCTGGAAATATCGATCGTTTCTATTAAGTTTGTAGTTTCTGTGCCAATATTCATATTAGATGTGCCTGCAATCACAGCGGCTGGTTCGTAATCTTCGTCACCAAAAGCATATTTATTAACTGGCCAAATACCAGGTCTTTCAAATCCATGAACTGCATTTTGAGCTACTGCACTTTTCAGAAAAGCTGGTGATAACAGTCTGGCTACATCGTATTGATTTATAATGCGTCCTGGGTGCGATTTTTGGAAAAAATTTACCTCCCTTTCAAAGTAAGTTTTCAGTGGGCCGTAGACCGCTACATCCATGGGCTGCATTTTGTGGGTTGTGTGTGGGGCCAAGGATAAAATTACGACGTTGTTCTTAGTTGCGTAATCTAAAGCTGGGTAATACTTGTGGCTCTCGTGGTTATCCAATAATAGAAGTATTTTTTTCTCAGGGGTAGGTCGAACATGTTCCACAAAAAAATGCATCCAATCAAAGAACACCTCACCTGAAGTCCAGCCATTTGGAGTACAGGTTCCTTGAGTGCCGGGAGGCGCACCATCAAGTAGTCTGGGTTGCATCTTTTTTCTGGCGAAAATTAAGAATGGTGGGAGAAATGAACCAGCGGCATTACAACAACCTATGACTGTCGTTAGTTGACCACGTTCTGCACTGGCGATTATGCCCACTTGTTTTTTTCCTTTCGTTGATAGCACTTTAGGCGGCTTATTTGTGGTTGTAGATATACCAGTTTCATCCATGTTATATAATCTGGATGCATCAATATCATGTTTTACTGTTAAAGCTTCAAGGTTTTCATAAAAACGTCCAACTTCGCGTCTGTTAAATCCTTTTGCCCTTGCAACCGATGTTGCCTCTGGAGTCCTGAGGGATATTTGATTGTGACGAGACAAAAATGACGATAACCAATCATCTCCAGCTTTTTCGTACTTGTCCCAGTTTTTCGGGTAGTTCAAATTATTTTTCTTGGCGTAGATGAACGCTAAATGTTTAAATTCATCTCGAGTCAAGCCAAAAAATACAGCATCCATATCTTTGAGATATGTCACCAACTCTATTTCCTGATCTTCAGTGAAAACAGGACGGAATCTACCAAGTTTTGGAGCAGCGATGCCGGTTTTTACATGCCTATACAAGGTTGCATAAGCCAAACCATACTTTTTAGCTGTGCTTTTTATTGATTCTCCAGCTTTGCACAAATTAATAGCCGTTTGCATAGCATTTTCCTCCCACGTCCCTTGCTTAGTTTTTTTTTTATATTTATTTACCATCTGAAACAAATAAAAGACATTTTTAGATAAAAAGTCAGCAATGAGAAATAGCGGGCAAAGTGGATACCATATCCACTTTGCCCTATTCACTTTGCCCGACTAGGTAAGTTTTGAGGTTAACACATTTCAAACAAAAACTAATAATTCTGACTCTCTGTTAAATATACCATAAAAACCTACTTTGATATGCTACTGAATTAAGACATTCCTAAAAATCAAGAACTAGTAATACAGGAGAAATGATCAATGTACTTACCGCGTAAAATCAATCTTTTATTTACGAAAACACAAATCTTCGTTCCGCGGACGGGACGCGACGCGGCCCCTCGCTTCGATGTTTGCCGCGTACTAAATCAAGATGGCCGAACGTAACAGTAGTGGCGTGTTGAATGACAAACTAATAATTTAGGAGTAGTGGGGAGTATTCGCTTTGCCCGGGGTATTCACTTTGCCCGGCCTTCCCCTATGTCAGTCTCCCTGACCTCATTAAAGCAAATACATCATCGACGACCTGAAAGAAACAGTATAATTGAAATATTTCGACCAGGAACATTTGTAATTTTCAAATTAGTCTTTTATCCAATTTTTATAACAATTTGTTGACTAAAAACTTTCCGAAATTAAACTATACTCACTTGTGCTCTGTTTAAGTGGTGTATGGTTTCTGGTTCATTAACTAAAGCGTCTCCAATTAAATCCCAAGTTTTATCATCGTAGTTTACTCTGTAAATACCTAAAAAAATGTTTTAATAATCATCTTACGTATTCATTTGAAAATAATGACCTATGCTGCAGTAACGCCGAGAAAATAAAGATAAATAATAAATTACCAGTTCAGGGCTCACCAGTGACCCTAACGGCATTCAACGACATAAATAATTCAAATTTCTACTTACCATGTTGCTGATGATTGAAAATTACCCACTCTTCTCCAACTGCCTTTGTTCGGACAGCTTTATCTGACGTCATCATGTAAACTGGTTTCAGGTTTTCGAAGTCACGGCTTGATTTTGTAGAGTAAGTAATAGGTATGGGATAGAGCTGACCAGTAGGTGTTGCTGAGGCACTTAGGAAGAACCTTTCCTAAAAATTTTAGATTACTTACTTATGGTAGAATTCTTGTAAATATTTCAGATCATACATCAAACAATCATGCAATAAAAATTCGAGATTATTTTTTTGGTCTGAGTCAGAAAAAGTACAAAAGTTACGTTTCAATGTGCTTACTTGACTGAGTTGCATATCTCCTGTTGAATGGTTGATCTCGACCATCAAAATTGGGTAACCAGGTTGATTTACCCAAACGTCGTAGTAATGGGTAAAGTTGAAATGCAAGTACTCGTTCAGGGTACCATCTTCAGTCACTGCCCGATCTAACGCGCTAAACAAGTCGTATTGGTCGGTTGGCTCGTAAGAACTGAAATAGAATTAAGTGGTAGAAACAAATTGAAAAATGTTCTAGCTAGATGGATTTAATATCTAGACAATTATTATTCTTTCAAGAACAGTACTGTACAAACCGTGTTTTCTTGATGAAAATAAATAACTTCATTTGTTGAGGTAACCTACTGGATATATCGAAACAAATCGATTGCTTGCCACTAAGAGGAACATTTACAAAAAACATAATCCACCTTCTGGCGCAGTCAGGTCAAAATAGGGCTGACTTTTTCATTTGGTTAAAATAAACTTACTTTTCCCTCAAGAAGTACTGACAGGCCTTCCTGAAAGTGTCCTGCGTGATCATATTAACAGTCATCCTCAAGAACGACGCAGCTTTGTTGTAACTAATGGTTCCAAAGTGGCCGGTGACCTGCGCGGGAGTGTTGACGTCATGGTTCATGGGTACGGTGCCAGTGCCAGAGTCGAAGGAGAGCGTCGCTTGGAGGTAGCGAGAGTTGAAGTGCTCGTGGAGATCGTATTCAGGGAAAACCTGGAATGAAGATCCTATTCAGATGACGCATAAAAATTAAAAATTCATAAAATTCATTTATTTTTGCAAATAGGCTTTAAAAAAGCGCTTTTACACGTCCCAATATTAACCCTACCACTGCTTCGGGACAATAAATGGGCCAGCGCTGAGAAGAAGCAGCGCAAGAAACTCAGTCACTATTGCCAGCCAGCACTTGCACCGGATGCTACATTGAAGTAAATAATTAGTAAGTAACCTCTTTAATTATATTATACCTACCAAAAGAAGAATTGTAAAACAGAACCGAAAAGGTTTTAATAAACGCACAAATGCATCAAATCATTTCAATTGTTTTAACATTTTTATTTTCTTTTTTTTGTAAATATTGCAATTATGTTATTTATAGTTCTAACTTACCTGGTTAGTGGCAATGTATCCAAAGTAACTGGCAAAACCTTCATTGATCCAAGTGTTGCTCCACCAGTAACAAGTGATGAGGTTTCCAAACCATTTGTGGGCCAGCTCATGGGTGACCAGAGTGGAAGCGTAGTGCTCCACAGACATGATCGTCTCACTAGAGTTTAGAATTAGGTACAGCTCCCTGAAAATTACCAAAACCTAATTAAATTCCCAGGCTTGATTGGACGCGTGAAAATAGTTTTCCAAGGCAGTGTCAGTTAACACGATAGCATAAATATTAGCGTGATAGAGATGTTGATAGACCTTACTACGCCAAGTAAGGTCTATCAACATCTCTATCACGCTAATATGGCCAATGTGAAGCCAAGATATTTTCAACTTACCTATAACTGACCATGCCCCAGTTTTCTGTGCCAGCAGACGCCCAGTCCGGCGACGAAATATGATCATTATTCAGATGCGGGTCCAATTCCGCGTACGGATATTGAAGAAATTCGTCAAAGTGCTTTGTCATTTTCACAGCGAATTCCAACGCTCTGTCAGCAAGACCCACAGTGTTGGATCTTCCGATGATCCTAATGGCAGGACTAAAGCTTCTGTCTTCAGCGATCACTTGGAATGACTCACTGACGAGTAAGGTTAGCAAGTAGGAGGACATTCTGGGTGTAGGCCAGAAGTGTTCCCGAATACGGTTTCTCAGGTCACTGCAAAATAATTAAACTACATAAAGTATTGACTTCATAGTTAGTATTTTGCACTTTTTTACTTTTCTGGCCAGATTAAATCTTGTAGTAACTAACCTCTCAATAAGGCGTACACCCGTATTTGAGTAACTGTTAGTAAAATGGGAAGGTCTGGAGAGGTGAAGCGTGAACACCGCTTTATATAGGGGCTCATCCCAGCACGGGAACGCCTGCCTCGCATTATAGGGCTGGAAGTGTGTGGTGGCGTAGAACCTGAAAAAACAATTATTGTTTATTACCTTGGCTCGAATTAATCAAAATTTACTCGATATAATGAAGAAGATAATCTAGTTCAAGTTGTAGATAAGATGTAAGATTTGATATTTAAAACAAAATGAATTTAAAAACCATATTATTTGTGACTATCTCAGTATAGTATACAAACCTTTCCTGGTTATTGGCATCGATGTATGACCCTCGCCAAATACCTCTCTTCATAGGTCCTTCATTCATTGTACTTGTGTAATCTATAAACAAGGTGTAGTTCTGACCAACCACCAAATTCTGGGCAAGGTTGATCTTGAGGAAATGGTACAGAGGCTCGGTAAAGAATGGCTGCTGTGTGTTAACTGGTACCAGCATCCCAGCATCTGTTAGGACGCTGATGGCGTTTATCCTGTCCACGTTGGCATGTAGCGTTATTTGAGTCACATTTTCTGCGACAGCCTGTAAATAAGGCAGATATAAATTAAAATAAATAAATCAATATCCTTGGACATTTTACACTGCGCTTCTAGTCCCAAACTAAGCAAAGCTTGTACTATGGATACTAGACAACGGATAAACGGATATAAACATACTTAAATACGTTTTTTTTTTGTAAAACATACATATACATAGAAAACACCCAGTCCAATACAAACAAATATGTTCATTGAGCACACAAATGTTTGTACTGTGCGGGAATCGAACCCGCTACATTCGGAATAGTAGTCCGTTTCGAACCACTACACCAAACGGCCGAAATTGATGCTGTTGAGAGAAGAAATTTGGCCATAATTGCTATTATTATTGGACGGACTTTATATTGGAGAAGATGGACAAATAACCAATTATCATGATCATCATTTTAACCACAGGACATCCACTACTGACACTGCCTTATCTAATGATTTCTAAGGAAATCATTAATGACCAATTGGTAACGGCCTGAAGTTTGAAGTTTATTTACGTAAAATACGAACTTAGCAGAGGACATCAAAAGTATCGTAAATTATAGGTATATTAAAGTTGAAATAATGATAAATAGTTGATAAACATATTTTTTGAATTTGTTATCTTAATTGCAGTAATTTTAACAATAAAACAACAGCCTAATTTTATATTAGTCGTAAAATATTGAATAACCTTTAATGTATCCTATCTAATATTCTTGAATTGCAATTTTTTTATAAAAAAATCTAAGGTTTAGCTATGCTAGCTATAGCTTCACTTAACACTTTCCGCAACAGTTACCCAGACACAATAGAGGTTTAATTGCTATGAGTGCTATAGCAGTTCCCTGTCGTGAAAAATGTTAAAATCTCAAGTATAAAAGATGCTCATTTTACTTGCCTGAATGATGATGTTCTCTCTCCCATCATAGCTAAAGGGTCGGTCAGTTCTTTCATTGAAATACATATCTATGTAAATGTCGTATTCCAATGGAACAACATCTCCAGGGAGCCTGTAGATCTGTTCATCGTTTCTCGCTGAAGAATCTTGGCGCAATTCTTCCTCAAACTCACGGTACCAGGAAATAGGGTGATCTGCAGCACCCACCGCAATGAGCAGCACGCTCAGACCAATAAAAAGGTACATGGCTGAAAAGAGATGCAAATGAAATAAGTACATAATTGAGATGAAGTCTATGAAAAGTCTGAATCAACGCTGAAGACTGCAAAAATGGATGACCAGCTAATGGGATATTGATTCAATGCATCAAGTCTCTCACTTTTGATTCCGCGTTTATTGTTAATGTTTCTGTATAAAATCAACAGGTTTTTCTGCATTAATACTTCGTTTTTGTCATACAAATGGTTACCAGACCAAAGATAGCTAGAAATCCAATCAATAAAATATCATACTCAGGTACTTTTTCGGTCAAAATAGAGACAGACGACAATACTAAAGGACAAACAATAGTCGTTTAAATAGAAGATTGTTTTTTGCAGACAACTATTTTCCTTCATTTAATTCTCGACACGAATTTAAATAATAATAAATACAACAAACCTGATAAACCAATGTCCTTTGGTTCGTGCCGCCTCTGATAAAATGCGCAAACGCTGACTAACTTAATGATCCATAACGGTAATCTAGAGGGATTTTGGAAGCAATATTCTTTATCAAAATTATCAAATTATTTGATGTTATTGCTGATAATGATAAGATTAATCTCAATAAAATACCTCATTTGAATTTATAATATCAATTTTAATACGTTTGTACTCAAAGTATTTTAATCATGAAAACGTGTATTGATGATTATTTTTTATTTTTATTTTATTTGTTTAACAATGTTTCAACATATAACAATTATTATAGGAATAAACGTATTGACGTTGATATTGATCTACGGAGATAATTGAAAAGCTTTAAGCTCAATGACGGTCGACAGCACATTAGATTTATATTTTTCGTGGAACGTGAAATTAGGATCTACATGACTGCATGAGATGCCGAGTGCATGCAGCCTTGTGTGAACATTTTTACTTAATTTTAACTCTATCTACTCATATTTAGTAAGTTTGGTTAGCTGATAATCATGCCAACCCATTAAGTACTCCCGGGAATTACGAGGAACATCACTCTGAATCGTGATTCACAATGATGACCACGACCACTCTGACAAGAGTGTACCGACTGAGAAGAAAAACTCCCGGGAAGTTCATTTGAGACCTACATCATGGACTCAAAGTCTCAAATCTTCACAGTCAAGAACTTCACTCGGTATCAAGTTTAGTGCATAATTGAATTCTATGGGCTGTGATATTAACATTTTGTTTTTGACTTTGTTAAACGTAACTTCTTAATTGCAGAAATTCATATCTACGTTACCTACCGAATTGGGCGAGTTAACGGCTTCTTCAGTAGTCTATTTAAACGAAATTAAGACTTAGCTTAGTATCATAAGGCTCATAAACATAACATCTAGCACAGCCGATAGGCTAACTCGGTAGACTTATTGATACTTTCTAACCGTTATTATTTTTTTAATTTAATGCTTTTTGACCATTAATGTCTTGTCATCTTTTTCAAGTAGGTACCTATCTTTAATATTTTTAAACCATGACGTCATTGATTTAATTTCATCACACTATTTCATATCAATGCGATTATTCCCAAGTTTCCGTTCATCTTACATGAATAGGTTATTATGACAGAAGCTTTGATTTCAAATGAGTCTGTCGTTTACAGTGAAAAGAAAATTCATTATTAATTTGTGTAATCTATTTATTATTTATTTAAAAATTAAATTAACAATTAAATACTTTACAAAAGTTGTTGAACATTAACATTTCGGTGTTCACTTATTTTGGCTTGCTGTTCTTACAAACTAGTTATGGCTACTTGAAAATTCTTAACGGATTAAGACAGTGGCCATCGCAGCCAGGATGAGAGCGAGGGGAGAAACAATGGCAGCAGCGGAGTTCCTCGCCAGGAGTATGTCGTAGACCTCAGCAGCAACGCTGTTTCCCCAGTTGAGGTTGTTCATGGCACTGTTGACGACGTTGACAGCGTTCTGGAAAGCGCTGCCGAGCGCCAACTGGTTAGCGTACGCCCAGGTTTGGAACTGGAAAAAGTAATGTTCTTATTAACTGCTGGGGAGATGTGGTAGACGAGGATCTTCTCGGTATCAAATCATATCGATGTAATGTGCGCACTTCCATGACATGTCCATACTAGGGCATGTAATATCGGAAGGTTTTCAATTCCGATATTGGATTCCGATATTAGATCTCAATATCGGAATTCCGATATTAATATCGGAATTGAGTTCATGTACTATAAAATTAATATTTGGTTATATTCGTAAGAATTCTGGATTGTTTACAATAAAATAATGATTTTAATCAAAATTTTTAATTTGGTACAAAACAGCACTTCATAAAATTGAAGTATTTTAAAACCATTTTTACGTTATGGGTATCCATTGCATTTGGTTTTTATGTGACAAGAGGCAAACGAGCAGACGGATCACCTGATAATGAATGGTTACTGATAATGAGCCTATATGGACAAGCAAATAATTAAAGTGTTTTTGTAAAATCACAGGTATCAAACAAACTTTTACTCCTTCATTATATTACCCTGTTGGTTATGAGTCCTACGCTGCGCTTTCCGGTACGTGGCCTCCATTTCAGAACCTTGCTGCCTCATCGTCCGTCGGTTTTGCGTACTAAGGCAAAACCGTTGGAAGACCTTATCGTATAATTACCCTAACATTGCAAAAAGAAATGCTGTGTATACCTGTAATTGAGGTCATATACGTATCATGTGTTAAACCATGTTAAAATGTATAAACTGTATTATGTATGTGACTTTGTTGGTGTACCTAATAAATAAATAAATAAACAATGCTCGAAGACTTTACTCGAGTTTCCCAACAGGTAGGCCTTCGGATGGATATGGAAAAATCGAAGCTTATGTCGAATGTCCATGTTGTTCGTTACCCAGTTTCGGTTAGGAGCTCGATTCTCGAGATTGTTGACAAGTAAGTATGTCTATCTCGGACAAACGATCAGCTAGGTAGTTAGATGCAATTTCGAGAAAGAGGTAAATCGTCGAATAGGAAGGCAAAAGTCTTCAATTAGTGTGTGTTACCAGTGATGATACGGCTCGAAAACGTGGCCTTTGAATATAGGGCACAACATGCTATGGAGAGGGATAAGCTTGGTGTTTCTTTACGAGATCTAATCAGAAATGAGGAGCTCCGTAAACTAACTAAGGTCGCTGACATAGGCCGACGCATTAACGGCGTATAGTCGGCCGTTTGGTGTAGGTAGTGGTTCAGAACGGACTACTATGCCGAGAGGTCCCGGGTTCGATTCCCGGCCGGGCAGAAATTGAAGTGATGAATTTTAATTTCTGTGACGGGTCTGGGTGTTACTATGTATAATATGTATGTATTTAAAAAAAAAAAGTATATAAGTAATAATATCCGTTAAGCTAGCACCCATAACACAAGCATTAAGTTGCTTACTTTGGGGCTAGCTGGCGCTGTGTGAAATTGTCCAAAGATTTATTCATCTTTTCGTCCAAAATACCCCAGTGCCTGAAGACGAAAGTCTACAACCAATGTGTGTTACCTGTGATGACTTATGGCTCGGAAACGTGGCCCCTCACTATAGGCCTTATACAGAAGCTCAAAGTTGCACAGCGTGCTATGGAGAGGGCTATGCTCGGTGTTTCTTTACGAGATCGAATCAGAAATGAGGAGATCCGTAAACGAACTAAAGTCGCTGACATATCCCGACGGATCAGCAAGCTGAAGTGGCAGTGGGCAGGGCACATAGTACGCAGAACTGACGGCCGATGGGGCAGCAAGGTTCTGGAATGGAGGCCACGTACCGGAAAACGCAGCGTGGGACGTCCACCCACAAGGTGGACCGACGACCTGATAAAGGTAGCGGGAAGGCGCTGGATGCAGGCCGCTACCAACCGTGCGATGTGGAAGTCATTGGGGGAGGCCTATGTTCAGCAGTGGACGTCCTGTGGCTGAAATGATGATGATGATGATGATGAAGTATGTCTATCTCGGACAAACGATCAGCTAGGTAGTTAGATGCAATTTCGAGAAAGAGGTAAATCGTCGAATAGGAAGGCAAAAGTCTTCAATTAGTGTGTGTTACCAGTGATGATATACGGCTCGAAAACGTGGCCTTTGAATATAGGGCACAACATGCTATGGAGAGGGATAAGCTTGGTGTTTCTTTACGAGATCTAATCAGAAATGAGGAGCTCCGTAAACTAACTAAGGTCGCTGACATAGGCCGACGCATTAACGGCGTATAGTCGGCCGTTTGGTGTAGGTAGTGGTTCAGAACGGACTACTATGCCGAGAGGTCCCGGGTTCGATTCCCGGCCGGGCAGAAATTGAAGTGATGAATTTTAATTTCTGTGACGGGTCTGGGTGTTACTATGTATAATATGTATGTATTTAAAAAAAAAAAGTATATAAGTAATAATATCCGTTAAGCTAGCACCCATAACACAAGCATTAAGTTGCTTACTTTGGGGCTAGCTGGCGCTGTGTGAAATTGTCCAAAGATTTATTATTTATTTATAAAAATTAACAAGCTGAAGTGGCAATGGGCAGGGCACATAAATAAATAAACATAGTACGCAGAACTGACGATCCATAGTCCAGTAAAATTAATGTTTGAAAGGGAGTTGAGATGTCGTTCTTTGTTGACCAAGTACCTATGGCAAACGCTAAAATTGATTTAGAACAAGTTAAATTAACCATAAATAGTAAAGATATTAAAATATTTGCAGTGGAACAAAGTGATGGTGAGAGACATGAGAAAATCATTGGTCTTTGCCAATCTTGTACTTTGGGCTTTGTGGCAGGTTGTGGCGAGTTTAAACGCTTTGTTTAAAATATCAATTAAAACTTTTATCTGATTCCGATATTACGATATTGGGTCGCTCAATATCGGAATTGAAATATCGAATCTCGCAGTCCGAGATTCCGATATTACGAGATTCCGAGATTCCGATATTCATGCCCTAGTCCATACTGATTAACAGCCCGATTCAACTATCGGCCGACGAAAAACCGATGGTCTGCGCCTAGGCTAATGCAAAATTAAATAACGACATCTCTTATCAAAGGCCAAGTTGGCAACACACTTCAGATCGCTGAGCCATCGAAGTTAGTATTTTATTAATTTAATGTCAAAAAAATATCTGACAGTCTTGTAATATTAATTCGAAATTAACGAAAAAAAAGTTAAAATTATTTTTTTCCTTTTTACTGCAAACTCTCAGGCTTTACAGTTGAGCTGTAAAAATACTTTATTAAAACTACTTACTTCAACAATATGCTCGTAGTTGGTCAAGAATCCAGCTACGTTGTTGATGTTGACGATGAGACGGTCCTGGTTTCCGTGCCTAAAACAAAACAGTCAAATTAGAATGACAATCAAAATGAACAAACCGTATGTAGATATCGGTTGTCAATATTATTATACTTACGCTTCTCTGATGGCAGCAAAGTTGTTATACAAGAATTCCAGGACAGTCGGCAGGTTCTCAACGTTGCCTTGGAGCGCGTAAGCAAACGCGTTAGTGCGGTCGTGGAAGCGAATCTTGTCGTTGGTCAGCGACTGGTTCAGGTATCTAGAAAAAATATCAATATTTTTTATTTCGGGGTCTAGATAATGGTAAATAAAGACTTACTTATTATAATCTGAATTATGTATAATCCAAGGTAGTCCAAGTCGAGCATAAATCATCAATGAAAATACGCATACCGTCTACTATTTGGTCTGTTTACTGTACCATGCATTCAGAAGAAGAAAAAGACTACCCAACTGGCAGTCCAACTTTTTATTGATGGCGATGAACTTGTGTTTTTACGACACTGTAGGCACACCAATTCCGCCAATGTAGTAACGTAATCTTTGTCTTTGACATGAATATGAGCTCGCAGAATTGCTAAAATCAAGTGGCAGTGGGCGGGGCACATAGCTCGTAGAGACGATGGCCGTTGGGGCAGAAAAGTTCTCGAGTGGCGACCACGGGCTGGACGACGTAGCGTGGGCAGGCCTCCTACTAGATGGACCGACGATCTGTTAAAGGTCGCGGGAATAATATTTGTACATCAATATAAATAACGTACTGGTTCAGTGAGGCGGTGTCCTTCGTGCAGGCAAGGGCACGGAGCATGACGACCATGTCGGCAGTGTTTTCCGAAGTCTCATAGAGATTGAGTAGGAACTCGTAGTCTGAAGCATCACCCTCTCGAAGGCCGGTACAGTACACGTAACGACGAGCGTTTACTGGCACTCTGAAAGTAGAAAAGTTTTGAATTAGGAACAAAATCTTGAATGATTGACAACTACAACCATACCAGCTAAGTTAGGTAACTGGGTAATAAAAAAAATAATACGCAACAGATGACTTATTATTGTACCTACATAAATCTATTTTATTTTAATACGTATTACAAAACTTATAAATCAATTCATTAGAAACATCATCCATGGATAAAATACAAATGCTCATAACAACAATCTATTAAGTAATATTCGCCCTACATTCAAACTTGTAGCCCTTTTTGTGTAGAAGTTACTAATTAGGTACGTTGTAACGTATCACTTTATGTGAATTTTACTTACAACGTGGTTGGGTCAGCCACAAACGCACGCCACTTGTTAAGACTGTCGGCGATACATCCAGAATGGCCAAGGTTGCAAGCCAAGTTCAAAAGTTGCATGCGGTTGAGGACGGTAGACGTGGAATCGGTAGCGAGCTCCTCATATCCCAAGTGCTGAATTGCCGCATCCAGGATATCTAACATGTATTCCTAAAACATGATTTTCAGTATTAGTACTTGTTGTTACACTACATTTTGATATGAGAAGAATTTTTCAGTCAGTAGTATCAACTGTAGTGTCACTCTTTGACCCTTGATTTGAAGGAAACTAAATAGAGTCTGCATGTGATTTTAGTAGGTTTTAAATATTGTCCTCAGAAAATACTAATAATACTTAGTAGTAAACTAAATGGTAGAAAACTAAAATTCCAGTTTTTTTAAAAATAAAACCGACTTCAAATGCGTGAACACAAAAAAAAATAAAAATTAAAAATATTGCGTATATAAAAGTTCATCCCCAATTTTCCACCCTTGGGGGTGAAATATTTTCTTCAAATTCGCATGAAACCACCCTTTTGATAATACCTATTCAACAAAAAAATAATCGTTCAAATTGATTTATAATCGGCGGAGATATTGCGTATAAAAAAGTTCATCCCCAATTTTCCACCCTTGGAGGTTGTTTTTTCTATTATTAAATTAAAAAGGGACCACCCTTGAGGTATTACCTATACGCCGAAAAAATATTTGTTCAAATCGGTCCATAATTGGCGGAGTTATCGCGTAACAAACATAGAAAAAAAAAAACATACGGGTCGAATTGAGAACCTCCTCCTTTTTTGAAGTCGGTTGAAAACACACAAATTAAGTTTCCAATACTCACGGTGAATTTCTGGTGAGCTAGAGGAATATGTTCCATTCTCTTCCTAATCCATTCCAGCTGTGTAATGGCGCCGTTCCAGACATAGTAGTCGGTCTCAATCTTGAGGAAGGATAGAACGTCAAAAGCTCTTTCGAGGCTGATCTTGCCGGCTCTGATAAAGAACAACACGTCGTTCACGATCTGAAATCAAGAATATTTTTTAGAAATGGATTGGAATGATTCATGGAAGTCCAATTTCTTGTGTGTATTGCCAGTGTCTGAAGAAATAGGTGACAAAATGAAGGTGAAACAAAACAGTACCTGAGCCCTGTTGAGTTTGTGGACGTTTGTGCGAGTGTTTGCATTGCGGAGGTAGGAAGCAAGCATTTCCCAGTTGTGGTCATCATAGTTAACACGGTACAAGCCTGCAACATTGAATATAAAGGTCAAATTTTAATAATTGTACCTACAATTAAACATGAAACCTCTTTAGTTAAATAAGAAAGAGTTGATGCAATTGTTTTAAACTAATTAAGTACCTGACTGAGCAATGTTGAGGATCACCCAGAAATGACCGGGAGTGTTCTGGATAGTAGTACTCGCAGTAGAGAGGATAAAACTGGGCCTTGTGCTCTCGAAGTTGAGTTCTCCTCGGTGGGTCCAAGTGATGGGAATATCCCAGAGCTGGGCTGCTGGGGTACCGCTCAGAAGGAAACGTTCCTGAAAAAAAAAGTTATATTATTACATCATTTTGGGTGGATTACATGACAATGTTTTATTATTTATACTCCGTCACACCTGGGTGAGGGTGATCAATCCAGTGTCCATGTTGACATCAACGTTCACAACTGGGGAACCAGGGTTCTGCACCCAGTTGTCTAAGATCTGTCCAACGTCAGCATCGGGGAAGTCCCGTCTGAACGCCATGTCTTCATAAGCCGCACGTCTCAACGCTCGGTACAGATCTTCTGGGGTTCCAAGACCGTAGGCACTGAATTGAAAAAGTGTTTTTAAAGTTAATATTCATGAAGACTTATCATTTTGTTTTTCTTTCTTTGTAAATATCGTCAGTCAATCAGATAAAAAATGTTGTTATTGATCTTAGAACTTAGTCAAAATGAAAAATGTTACTTACTTTTCTCTCAAATAGTATCTCAGTCCTTGTCTGAATGGACGAGCGCCCATGAAGTGTTCCATCATACGCAATACTGAAGCTCCCTTGGCGTAGCTGGTGGTACTGAAGTGGGACCAGATGGAGGGGTTGTCAGCCACTCCGGTCCAGTTCATAGGTGTAGCGCCTGAACCAGAGTCCCAGCTGAGAGCACTGTGTACGTAGTCCACAACGAATTGGTCATCCAACTCCAATGATGGGTCAGCCTGGGGTAGACCAAAGAAGAATTTATATCAATTAATCTACAGGCGGTAGATAAACATTGCAACAGAATTTGATGTAAATAACCCTTTTTTGCTTATTTATTGTATGATAATGGCCTTGAAGCCATAAAACAAAAAATAACGATGTTTAATTTTATTATTTAATTTTGTATTATGTTGGTACTTACGTAATGAGCTGCAAAGTATTCGAAGAAGCTAGCGAAGGACTCGTTCAGCCAAAGATTGCTCCACCAGAAACAGGTGACCAGGTTACCGAACCATTTGTGAGCGAGCTCGTGAGCCATGATGGTAGCGATGAAAATCTTGTTGATCATATTTGTGTTCTCCTCATCGTACAACAAGTACGCTTCCCTGTTAATATAGAGTAGAAGCATTAAGAAACTATTTTGACAATTACGCATATCATATTTTTCTGTCATTGATAAGTAAACATTCACCTGTAGTTTACCATTCCCCAGTTCTCCATAGCACCAGAAGGAAAATCAGGAATAGCAAGGTGATCGTTCTTCATTGGCACTCCTTGTCCCATTTCATAATACTCAATTCCCAAGTAATCATCCAGTTCGTTGGTGATGTCCAAACCAATACCAGCGGCGTACACGTGCTGTGAGGTAACTCCTGGGCGAGAGACGATTTGGAAGGGTCTGGTGGACGTGGTGGTTAAGTTGGTGGCAACGAAGTCACTGACTGTGAAGGCGACGAGATATGCAGAAACGATAGGAGTGGGGAGGAAGGTCTCACGAATACGGCCGGGAGAAGTCCTAAAAACAAAGGTTTTTTTAATTATGATCAACAGTTTTAAGTATTTTTAAGATAGTTTGTATACATGAATACATACTCAACAGTTTCACCAATGGGCATGTTAGAGTAGGATGGCTGCAAAGAGCTGTCACGAGTGAGAGAGATGACGAATCGTGACTTAAACTGCGGCTCATCGAAGCAAGGGAAGGTTGTTCTGGCGTAGAAGGGCTGGAACTGCGTCGTGGCGTAGTACCTACAATTTTGAAACTTTATAATTAGTCTTAAAATTACAAAGTATGGAATTGTTTAGAATGAAAATGATATCAGTAACCAAAACATCAAACAGTTTTACTGATACATATTTTGATGTTTGAGTTAACCATGTATAGGTAGTATAGTAGGTACTGAATTTCGAATTACGAACCTCTTCTCTCCGTTGTAGAAATAGTAGCCTTGGTAAAAACCTCTGTCATACTGGTTCTCGTGGATCTTGCCCAAGTATGAGATGGTGATGGTGTAGTTACCAGCTGAAATGGGGTCAGCCAAGTTGATGAGGAGGATCTCGAAGTGATCATCAGTAGAGAATGGGTTAGGGAACTGAAGGTTCACGGGTCTGCCAGCGGAATCAAGGACATTGACAGTCTGGATCGATACCACTTTTTGGTGCAGCACGATCTGAGTCATGCCCGATTCTTCGATCTAAAAGAGCAAAAATAAAATTACAGTCTGTTTATTACTGAAATTATATTTACTATATTTTGTATCCAGTCAACTTTTGAAGTTTAGAATTTATTACAGGCTATACCCATAAACTGACCTGCAAAATAAACCTGTTTAATCATATTCCCTAAAATAATATAATTTTCTCTGTGTTACTACATATTATATTTCTGGTCATCGTCAAGGAGTTTCTGTGAAAGATTGTCTGTACTTTTAAGTGCTTATTCCTTGGGTTTTGACTACGTGACATCGAGTGTTATCTCAAACCTCAATAATGAACCTTTTAATGGACTTTAAATTTTGCTACTTATTTACAATATCTACAAAAAATTATCACCTTAGTCACGCTTGAATTACTCCAAAATTTATCATATAGATAAAGCCCGCTATTATCCTTTTAATTTCGTCAATACTGATAATATAAGTGCCTAGCTGATCAGACTTAATAATTATTGCAAAACCAGTTCTAATTCCCTATCGTTAACGATTAAAAAATAATAATTTCGTCGTCCTCAAAAATGCTTAATTAATTACCAATCATTATCTTAATACAGATTTTGGCGAGTCATGATAAAAAGCTCTAAATCAATTCACGTATCGACGCTACCAATCATTGGACAGAACACAATAAAACAATTGATGAAAGTTGTTCTAAATACAGGAACACTACATAACAACTAGATTCTTCTTCTATAAATAACCTGTAAAAAACAGTAACCCGATTTTAGAGCATCCTTATAATTAAATGATTTTATTGTATTCTGTCGAATGACGGAAAGTTTACCTCTATCACAACCAGTTTGTTAACTTACTTCAATGTCGAGCTGTACAAAGCCGTCGAATCTAGCCTCCACGACATGCACATCCAAATGCACATACACATCCCTGGGCTGCACAGAGTCTGTGAGACGGTACTTAGGATCGTCCAAGTTTGTGGAGTACCCGAAGAACTCCAAGTCAGATCTCATGTCCTCATTGGGGTAAGCAGCTACCCCCGCGAGGAAGAACAGGATTGGGAGTAACATGATTGACCCTGAAACATTACAAGGGTTACTAAGAAGGTTTGTAAGAAGATACTCAAAATTTCCAAATCTCTAAAAAAAATAATCATTTTCAGTTTGCTGAAAATCCGACTTTTAGTATCCTTGAAATCAATATTGTATACAATACCCGAAGTCTCCATTTCCATACAAAATCTATGGGAGTATCAGTGTATGTCATGATGAGTAGAGTGTTCACTAGGTACTCTATCTGATGAAAAATGTATGGCAGAGCTTTCCCTTTTCTAGAAAGTTCTTCCAAGAACATTATTTTATTAATTTATTCGACTGTAGGCTCGTGCCATAATGTATCGGTGGTAATCTTGATTATTTTATTACAAAGATTTTTAACGCAATGTCCTTGTACAGATAACACTGTTCCACATAATATCTTTATTCTTTATCTGCATTTTTATTGTAAATAATAAGGAAAATAATCCATTGATATCAATTCTAAGTTTACCTATTAACTAAAGTTTTGTACTGCCGTGCAATAATAATAATAATTATATTATAATAATAATAATTTGCTACGAGAAAGTAGCAAATTATTGCAGCATGCATTTATTAACATTGATTTATTATGCTGAACTGTTTCTTTTATCGTGTAGGTTGTAACAGCTGAGGTTATAACCGGTCAAACCGGTAGCTAAGGTCAGACTTTTTGAACCGCTATAGGTATCTCACATACCTCAACTATATCAACAGGTTAATCTTATCTTCTGAAGTACGGAACCATAATATTTCATTTCTATTGCAATATGCAACCAAAACGGTTAAATGAATGCATCCCACTTGAGAAATGAAACCAAGATTGATCCTGGCGATCTTGATAAAGCTTATCAAATAGAGCAAAGCTCGACCACTGATGTGTCAATATCAATTTTATGACGAATTACGAGCCTTAGGTTAAGAATAAATCTATTTATTGATATCCTTAATAGAGACAGCGTAGGCTTCAGCACAAGAGATGTCATAATAAAGAAAAAGTTCATAAATGTAATGTAATGGTAACAACTAGTTGAATATTTTAACCATCCAATGTTTTCAAATGTATAAAAGCTTTGATCTAGTCCTCAAATTAATATTTTAGCGCCTGAAACTTCAGTAGGTTACCTAGTTACAAAGAATTTACAATCTTTGCCATACTAGTGACGTCAACGCGATAAGTATCAAAGCAAATAATGAATATCACTCTGATTAGAGTAATAGGATTTTTTCTATGAGAAAACCTTCAAATTTTACCATTAAAATTTAATTTTCATTAAAAAAGCTGCAGGGTACGTCAAGGCTTGATACTGGGACTACCGCAATATTTTTCCTTATTTTTATATTTCTGAAACACTTACCCATAGCTGCCCTCACAGCACCAACTAAAGATATCTAATAACCATATTGTATATATTTATTATCATTAATCGCTTCATTATCACTAGACTACTAATTCGATTTAAAGTACTATAAAATTATCAAAAGTATGACAAAAATCAACTGTAATCAGTAAATCAACGATAACGTATCATTAAATTATTGTTATTAAAATTCTTTTGGCTTTGTACTTTTAAAGCCTTTCAGTTAAGTAGGATTGTACTAAACTTAATTGATCAAATCTATCAGATTACCATTTCGTAAACTTACTTATTCCAAAAGCTCACAACCCAAAGTTTGTTTTAGATATCACCATTTGCCTCGGTCTTGTGCAGTTTCACGCCAGTCACCTGTTTCAAGAATTTGAAGATCTGCGTCCACCACATCACCTTGGCGGTCTCCAATCTCATCCTCTCAACAAAAGTAAGGCTGGGTTGCACCATCTTACTATAATCTGTCAAACTCCATACAAAAACCACCGGTTATTGTTATAGTTACGGTCAAAGTTAGGTGGTGCAACTCACCCTAAGGCTCAGGCTCGATGTTGAACCCATTGTTTTTACCACGGAGACATACTTACTTACCATGTTTTTACCCGTTTTTTGCGGGAACTTTTTTTTCGCAGGAATCTCGTTTAATAGCATACCTACCGTGTTCTAATTATATTAACGTTTACTCGAACATTTGTTTGCAATGACCCGCAAAAAAGAAATAAATAAAGAAAGAAAAAAAATAATTTATTTGGCACATAAAAAAGAAACAATAAATCAGCACAATAAAATAAAAAAAAATAAAAAAACCGATCCGTTCGAATTTAAAACACCCTACGTGTTCACACGACAGTCCAGTTTGCAGGATCCTGCATTACTGAATCCCACAAAACTGGATTGCCATGGGAACGAGCCCATATTATACTGTTGTAGGTATTTCCTATCTCGATCTCTACGATTTTCATCTGAAAGAACCATAAATCTGTTTGTTTGCCCAGGCAGGCTTATGATTTTCAACCGACTTCAAAAAAGGAGGAGGTTCTCAATTCGACCCGTATGTTTTTTTTTTCTATGTTTGTTACGCGATAACTCCGCCAATTATGAACCGATTTGAACAAATCTTTTTTCGGCCTATAGGTAATACCTCAAGGGTGGTCCCATTTAAATTTAATAATAGAAAAAATAACCCCCAAGGGTGGAAAATTGGGGATGAACTTTTTTATACGCAATATCTCCGCCGATTATAAATCAATTTGAACGATTATTTTTTTGTTGAATAGGTATTATCAAAAGGGTGGTTTCATGCGAATTTGAAGAAAATATTTCACCCCCAAGGGTGGGAAATTGGGGATGAACTTTTTTATACGCAATATTTTTTAATTTTTTTTTTTGTGTTCACTCATTTGAAGTCGGTTTTTTTTTTTTTTTAAAGTTAATTATATATCTTTTTCATAATAGACATTTCATCAAATGTTAAAAAACATACGTTACTCTCTGGGTTTTTCCTTGATAACTTTTTTATATTTTGAAATATAATTTTATTGATTCCGGCCTTTAACTCAAATTTCCCCAAAAGCCTTCTTAGCGTTGACGGGCTTGGCAAGCAAAATAGTCTATTTGGAAGTTTTATGTAACACTAATTGAGATCCATAGTCCATAGTATGGACTCCATACGTGTTAAAGACATTATTATTAACGTTATTCGGCTATATTACTTAAAGTCTGATTATTTCTGTCAGCCTATCAATAACTGGTTCAAGTCTGAAACTCTATCTATAAAGCGCACAAATATAATAAAAAATAATAATATTCGGTATAGCGTATTTTTAAAGCATTACAATCATAGTAATTCTGACTTAAGTACGTGTGGTTCAAATGAACATTGATTATATTGATAGTAATGGGAACTTGTCTCCATAATAGAGAATATAAAATATTTCCACTTAATTGAAAACGTAACATTTAAACCACGGATAACGTTCAAAAGGTGTCAAAATAAATAGTGGCTGCTTGACTATAACTAGTTTACTTTTTCTGTGCTAGTACAACCACATACATCGAGCAGTATGCCTCCAGTTCAGGAATGTTGTCACATATTAAAGGTTTCTTTAAACTGTTATGAATCTTATTTTGTAATGAAATCTACCATGCAGTCAATGTAAACTCAGTAGGTATGTAAATGAAATTATTTTACTTTAGAAAATAACTCTTGTTACGTTATTATGTTATTTTTATTCACAAACATAACAATTCCGTATTTAGAATAATATTTAATTTAAATTAATTGCCTGCTCTAGAAATAGCACTTAATGTTTATACAGCTTTGCAGAAAAGAAAAACACAATTTCTGTGGCACATTTATTACAAAATATTATAAATAACAATCAACGGTTTAAGTATATCAACAATGTCCCTGTATTTGTTTTCTTAAATCATTTCATTTTATTGTACTTGATTTCAATATCCAAAAATTATTTAACTTTGCTTTAACTAATTAGATTAATAGAGATGCTTATAATAAGAGTAAAAATGCTCAACGCTGCGATGTTAGCTGAATCTGATTCATCATCAACTTCAGTTGTTACTTCAATATCAAGCTCTGGGGGAGTGACCGTTACAGATTCTTCTGTGGTCACCTCTTCTTGTGTGGGGTCTTCGATTTCGTATTCCACATATACTCCGTTGTCGAAATACTCGTAGACTTCAGGCATGCGTCTGGCCGACCACGCCAGATTGTTTCTGGATGAGGCGATCCCGTTAACACCGGTATTGTACGCAGTTCCAATCGAGTCTTGGTTCTCGTCGAGCCAAGTTTGAACCTGTGTAATAGAATAAACAAACATCACTAATGTATAGGGACAAATTTAGTTTATGTGCCACGTAAATTAAAGTAATAATAGTTGTATTTATAGTAGTCAATGCCTTCTTATCGTTTAAATCATTATCATTACAATCGAAAACTATTCATTTAAACTTAAGTGCACAACAATAAACGTAGTAAATGATCCAACAGTTTACCTCTGCCATGTCCTGTTCATTCAACAGCCGTGAAACAATGTAGCTCAATGGAGTAGCAATGCCGCCTAAACTGTAACAAGAAAAAAACAGTAAGCCAAAAGGTGTTATTCGCCTTCATTTTCTTGCTAATCCAGAGAAAAATAGATTAGTCAATTCTCTGCTCAATAAAAACATTCTTCTTTTAATTTCAGAATTAGAATAACTAAGCTCAGATCACTGAATTGTAGTAATACTTACGCTTCTGTAGTCTGGTTCACATTATCCTTGAGCCATGCGAAAGCTCTCATCGTGTTGTATTCGTTTTTGGATACAGCGGAGTTGAGTGCGGTTGTGAAATCTTGGTCTCTTACAATGTTCTGTTGAGATACGATTGCATCCAGGAATTTCCGTAGGCTGGCCTCGTCCCTGGTGCAACCAGCGTTTTGAAGCATGACAATTTGTTCACCGGCTAAGTCTTCCTGCAGGTAGCGGTTCCAGAAGAATTCGAAATCTTCCGCGTCACCGAAACGGAGTCCAGTGCAGTACACCCATGGTCGCATGTTTGCTGGAATGCTAAAATAAAAATTATGTTTTTTTTTAATTTCAATCGCAATCAATTGAAGCTAATGTATAAACTGCCTGTAGTTTACATTTTTATTTAGCACTGTAGAGTCCTGACAATAACATGACAATATCTTATTATCAAAGATTTCCAGAAATTAATTTTCAAATGATTTTTTCAGACACACAAAATTATCACATAGCAAGTGTATGAATACGTACAATCCTCCCGCCTTCCATTCTGCGAATTTCTCTATGCCAGTTGCAATGCATTCCTCGTGTCCATTGTCGCAAAGGAAGTTCATGAGATACATCCTCAAGATTCCATCCATGAAGGTCTCATTCTCCACCTCGACGTAGCCCAGGCGACCAGTCACAGCGACACTCAGTTCTTTGTTAATAATATCCTGTGAATTAAGTATATGAAGGCATCTAATTAGTATGTACCTAATATTGAATTATTGTGCAAGCATATTGTTATTGACGATATTTTTTATAAAATTGATGAACTCCGCCACCTTCACTTGTGAATCAATATTCAAAATATTATTTGACAGTTTGCTATAGGAGAGAATAATGTGATTTTAAAATTCATTCAAAAAAACATGATTACCCTTAGCTTCTGCAAGTTAGCTTCATCATGCGCAAGCCTTCTCAGCACGAAATTGAAACCATCGATAGCGGCGATCCAGGGCCCGTACTCGTCATCGAATTGCAGGAACGACAGAAGGTTGAACACTTGCTGGTAAGGCCTGACTCCGGCTCTACCCATGTTGAATAGATCGTCGATAATCTAAAAAAGGTTAAAGATACTATAAAAAGATTGAAGCAGGAACACTATTCGTCAAGGCTAGTAAATTATGTTGGTATTTATTGGTTTTCATCATCATCATCATCAATAACTATTTATAGTCCACTTCTGAACTATGAGCCTCCTCCACTAAAGTGGAGGGTTCTGCCATAATCTCCACGCTTTCATATTTTTCTGAAATACTTGCACGTAATTTCAAAAGTCTCTACAGAGGACGAAGAGAAGAGGCTAGAATCTGAGCGTACAGCTCCTAAATACATACCCAAAATAATTATCTGCACATTCATTATTGGTGTTAAAGCCTTACCTGAACACGGTTGAATTCGTGTATTACATTGGGATTGTTCCTTAAAGCTTGCACAATTAGAGCCCAGTTGGTGTCATCGTAGTTCACTCGGTAGAAACCTGTTGACATTTAACATTTCTTTCACACGATGTAGTACGAGCTTATGTTGTTTACGATTTTTGTTCCATCGTTACAATGAGGATCATTTCGATTTTTAGCTGTGAATGCAGATTTATAGGGCTAAGAAATCCTTAATACACAGTGCAAAAATTTTTGTTCTACGACAAAAATTGACGAAGTTATGGCCATATTACTAAAAAAGTTCACTGACCGCCCGGCGCGGGGACGATGACGTCATTATATCCGATCCGAACGCTGCCGGCGTACTGCGTGGATAGAAAATATTTTTTTCTAGCCAAATTATCAGTTTTAGAGAAAAACTTGTAATGACATTTATTCATCAGAATAAAGTAAGCTATCGATAGGTAATTTTTAAAAATGGAAATTGTGAAAAATAACGCAAAAAATCCAAACGCTCATACGATTCAATGGCACGCAGAGACGCGATTGGGGTCTCCGCGGTGGTATATTTGGCGATTTATTCAAATAAAGTGTACATAAGTGTTGTTAGAGTCATATCTTCTTCCAAGTAAAATATAAAAATGTTGGAGCAGCTGGTTTTGTAATTTTGATAACAATTTAGAGAAGCATTATTCAGGGTTACATAACAAAAAAAAAATTTGGAAAAAGTGAAGATTTGTGGCAACACGAGTAAAAAGACCGTCACCTGGAGTAGAAATTTTTGTTTTTTTTTAAATGCCCATTATTTTGAAAATATGCCACATAGATTTTTTTTTATATTTTTCTGATAACCAGCATAACTTGCCTCAACACCCAGTTCCGGCTTGACGTTACATTACGGGACACCCTGTATATATTATACTGTGAATGTCTTAAATGTGTATTGCTGTTGGTGTACCTTTATCAATAAATAAATAAATAAAGCTGTGCACCCGAGTCGTTTGCCTAGCAAAGTTAGACATTTCGGAAACTATTCGATGTCTCAAAAAAGTAGAGTACTTGTGAGACAACAATTAAAAGTTTTTGATAATTACACTTCATAATCATCATCATTTCAGCCATAGGACGTCCACATACATACCACATATTGAACATAGGCCTCCCCCAATGATAATAATTACACTTATTAAATACGAATGTTTTATATTCTCAGGACCGAGGCCACTTCGACGAGCTGATCAGCCTGCTGGAGGCGGCGCTGGGGCTGGAGCGCGCGCACATGGGCATGTTCACGGAGCTGGCCATCCTCTACTCCAAGTACAAGCCCGCCAAGATGCGCGAGCACCTCGAGCTGTTCTGGGCGCGCGTCAACATCCCCAAGGTGGGTCCCTGTGGCAGGCCCGAGGCCACTCGACGAGCTGATAAGAAAGATTTCCCTCCCCCGTTAAAAAAATACGTATACATATCGCCAATATGAAATAACATATCCACTCATCGATGGGGACGGCTCTCTGGCTTCGAGGGAACTCCCTATCCCCTCCTCCAGATGAGAGAAGATCCCTTTTCAAGTTGTTCCCTGCATTGTGGCCCGTACAAATCCCTCGACGACCCCCGGCTCACTTTATTATGGGCTACGAGTTGATGAGACCTGCCGCGCTTACTTTCCGCTCAGTAAATCTATACCATCCATGATTGGAGGCCGTTCCCCTTTCCGCAACCCGGGGATGCGTCCGATTGCAGATCCAATACTGCACATGGACGCTAATAAGGCTCTTTTTTACGACGGGAAATGCTTTGCGCATACCCACTGATCGATGGGGACGGTCAATGGATTATGTGGGACTCTCCCCGCCTACCCACTAAAGGCGGGGCCTACCCACTAAAACCCGACGGTTTCCACCAGAGCCCGAAGAAACGGAGCCGCGAGTTATTGTCCTAGTTGGACATTCGTCCGCAGCTCCGCCTCAGACGCTAATAAAGCCCTACCTTGACTAAACATAGTAGAAATGGTAATAGATTTCTGAATATTGACTGTATGTACAGGTCTGTCTAATGACGGCCTAGTGAAATTGTTATTGTAGAGGTCGCATACGACCAAACTCCTTGGCCGCTCGCCTGGCTGGCGAGAAACTTCTTTTTCTTCATTGCTTTGTTTCTACACTCGGCATCAAATAAATCGCACCTCCCGCGACAAGCACTTATCAAACGTATGCATCCCCACTTCCCACCAACATTGGTACCATTTGAAAGCCTAGTTCTAAACTTCATTTCATTAAAGGAAAGGTTTTTACCCCAAAAATGTGTCTTTACAAGGATCCAGAGTCACTTCTTCAAAAAATAGGTAGTTACGCTATAGCCATTTTTTATGACTGTAAAACTGTTAAGTTGGGATTAATCGCTATCCATCTGTTAAAGAGGACACGTGAGATCTTTATTTGGTTTTATAACCATAAAAATTGGTCTAATTGATCCCAGAGGTGAGCCCAAAGTGAGGTCTATTTTCAAGTCACATTTATGGTATATGTTAATCATTTATTTAGAAATGAAATGTATTTTTCTTTAAGGATATTTATTGGGCTTTCAAATAACACCAATATTGTTGGGGTACCATGTTTGTGTCAGAAGAAAATCTTTAAAGTTCGCGTCGCGGAAGGTGCGGTATTAGCATCATATTATGTATTATTATGTTCAATACAAACAATCATTAAGTTACACTCACCCCAACCGCGTCTCCGCATTGCATCGAATCCTATGAAAATGTGGTTTTTGGACATAGCGATACTTATTTTTCACAATTTTTATTTTTAAAAATTACTGGTCGATAGGTTACTTTATTTTGAAGAATAAATGTTATTAAAAGTTTTTTTCTAAAACTGATAGTTTAGCCGGAAAAAAAAAATTCCATCCCATTAGTACGCCGGCTGCGCTCGATTCGGATATAATGACGTCACGCGGCCTTGCGTACGTTGACTTTTAGCGGCAAAAACGGCCTATGTTTATTACTTAATATCTTCGTAAGTAATGGTCCGATTTGGATAATTCAAAAAGATATATCTTTCTTATGTCTTAAAGATATATCGTAGATACTAGTTTTATTGAATTTTCTACAACAGTACTGATCCTCATTCTTAAATGCGGACTTAGGCCAAGACTTATCATTGCTTAGTGCAACTTTTGATAAGGAATCAAGATTATGTGCGATATTAAATAGTAGGTATCATTTATTAGGAGTCATAAAAATAACCGGTACTTTACATAGCAAATGAGTCGTTGTTGCTATGCACAATAGATAATATTTTATTGACTTAAGCTGAAAAAATAGTTACCAGAGGCTTGTTTGTTGAAAATCACCCATTCGAGACCTTCTGTGCCTCTTTCAATGACTGTGCTTTGGGCTGTCAAGAACTGCGACGGTTTGAGATCATCAAAATCGGCAGCGCCCTCTCTGGTCCAAGTAATCGGAATATCCCAAATACCAGGGAAGGCAGATGAACCAGTAGTCCTTTCCCAACGAGCCTATAGGAAAAATATGTTTTAGAATAGAATAGAATAGAATATTATTTATTTGTATTTAAATTTTATCTACCCTTAATAATTTTAATTTGTATTTAAATTTTATCCGCTCCTATGGCCTTGGGTACTAGCGGTACCCAAAACGAAATTTGTAGTCAAGTGGCCTTGGGTACTAGCGGTACCCAAAAATAGTGTTTGAATATTAAGCTTTACGCCTACTAGATTACTGTTACAATCGAATGGCAAAAAATTCGATGGATTCTCTATGAAATACCGGTTTAGCGGTTATCTACCCTTAACTTTACAGAGCATAACTACTAGAACAACACTACACAACACAATTTAAATACCATTCGATTCGCTTGAGTTATAGGGCATCGAAAAGAATTTACTTACAACTGAATTTAATAACATACTTTCTGTTATGAAAGCTGCAAACTCCTAGTTCGGCAACTCTAACGTCGAAAATTCTTAATCATAGTTACCTGGGTTACTTGCATAGTCCCAGTGCGTTGATCAATAGTAACAGAAAGCATTGGATGTCCAGCCTTCTCAGACCAAGTCCTGAAGTAGCGGTCGATGGTGATGCCACCATAAGCGGCTAAAGCACCGTCTTCTCTGGCTGCAGCGTCAAGAGCGTTGAAGAGGTGGTGAGGCTCGGCTACGTCGAATGCCCTGTGAAAATCATTAATGTTGATCATTGCTGTCAGACATACATCGAATTTAACACACGGCACATAAGTTATATAGTTATAATAAGAGAGATTTTGCAACTTAAAAGTGAAGTCTGATGTGCTGTCGACTGTGCCTTACCCACCGATCAACAGTAAAGATGATTTATCTGCTATGCTAATCGCTTATGATGAGTACCTTTCCTTCAGATAGCTGCGAAGTCCCTTAACGTAAGTCTCTTCACCAAGAAGGTACTGGGTCATTCTCAAGATGCACGCTCCTCTTGCGTAGGTGATGGTAGAGAAATGGTTCCAAACAGTTGTCGGGTTGTAAACATCTGGGTTGGTAAGCGCATGAGCAGAGTCAACTGAATCCACTGACAAGGCAGATATGTATTGCTCCACCATGAATCTCCTCTCATATCCCAGCTCTGGTGCAACCTGTACAAAGAATCACAAACAACATGTTACCTACTCATTCCGGATTTATATTTGCCAAATCATCCGTTTTTATATACTGACTCATTTAAATGATTTGTGAAATGAAAATAGATAACATATTAGTAAGAGATATTTATCCTATTAAAATGATATTTGATTAAAATAATCATCTTGATCAAAATGATTGATATAACACGCCATATTTTCTTAGTAATACTCATTTATTCTATAATAATATCAATATGGCTCTTAAAACACCCAAAATACATTTTAAAATATTAGAGACATGAGAAATGATTTCCAACCCTCAATTACGAAATGAGCTATTGAGAAAAGAAACAAAATAATAAAAGTAAAACATACAGAACCGGTCAAGAAGTACTGATAGAAACGGGCGAAGCCTTCGTTGAGCCACAGGTTCCCCCACCACGCACAGGTGACGAGGTTCCCAAACCACATGTGAGCTATCTCGTGGGACACGATATTGGCCACACGCTGCTTGTAAAAGTGGTTGGAGTTCAGTGGGTCGTATAGGATTAAGGCTTCTCTATGGAGTTAAATAAATAAAAGAAAAAATCAATAAACAGAAATTAAGTTAATTAGGAAGAAGAAAATAAAAGCATAATCAATAAAACAAGTAAAAATATAATAAAAACATTAAAAATAAAACAATGTTCAGTCGAAAAATAATAATAATATTACGCATTTATGCATCAAGATAAAGAAGCAGTAATTATTTCTTATTGCTTATCTTACTCGTACCTGTAAGTCAGAAGACCCCAGTTTTCCATAGCACCCGCATTGAAATCAGGAATAGCAGCTTGTTTCATGTTAATTTTTTCTGCCATCGTGTAGTAAGGGTAATCAGTGTAATTCTCCATGGCTTCTAGAAGCTTCATTCCTATTTCTAAGGACCATGCACCGGTTCCATTGGCATTGTCACGGGCATAGATGTCAAAAGGTCTATCTTCATCGTTATTTGTTTCCACCTTATCGTAATGAGAGACGATGAAGGCAAGCAGGTATGTGGAGGTGATAGGAGTCGTGTAGAAGGTTTCGGAGACACGGCCATCAGTTGTGCTACAAAAGATATGATGTTATAAACGTGTACTTCATACAATAAAAAGTGTTTTAAGATGTCTTCTTTTACGTTACATAGGTACTAAAGCCTGGTCCGTGAGCACGTAGAATCCCGTCCAATGACCCCAAGCTACCCATCCTTATCGCTCGCGCGTAATTATGTTGCTGTCGCGCTCGCACACTCACTGCGGGCGCCCGTCGCACAATCGCGACAGCAACATAATTACGCGCGAGCTATAGGGATGGGTAGCTTGGGGTCATTGGACGGGATTCTACGTGCTCATGGACCAGGCTTTACCTATAAGTAGTACTCGTACAAGCTATAGCTTCAAGATAATCATGGTAAGTGCAGAGAAAAAGGTGTTGCAACAAACTCAGGCAACATTTTAGTTATACTGTGGCCTATACCTAATTAAATAAATAAATAAACGTTCATTGCTTTTTACACATAAAAGGAGAGGATTTCTAATGAGAAATAAATAAAACAAACAGCATGTACGTGAGTAAGCATTACTACAAAAAGTTATTTCTTAATTTTACTGAAATTACTCTATCGAACTAAATCAGGTCTCGATTCTTAGTTTGAATAAATAATTACACACATAAGTCGTATCCTATCTCTTAGTCTTATGAAGAAATCTACTACTAAAACCAGCGCCCTCCATATATCGCCTCTGCTCTTTGCTGATCATATTGAAATTAGAGCCAAGGCACAAGGATGCGTTGCGGCACCGCACCTCAAAGGTTTCGCAATATCGCGTGACGCGGCGCTGCACCGCTCGTGTGCCGGCCACAGATATTTTTATGTGAGACGACGCAGCGACACCGCTACGGCGCCGCAAAGCATCGTGTGCTTTACTCTTGCAATCTTTGCAATTATCATGGGACCACTAGCTTACGTCTAGTTCGCTTAGAAACAAAGCTTTAGTTTTATGAGTATAACTTACTTTTCAGTAGTTTTTATAGGCATGTTAGAGATGGTGGGACTGAAGTCTGGCTCCCTGTTCATGGTTATGTCGAATGTGGCCTTGAAGCCGGGCTCGTCATAGCAGGGGAAAGCTTGCCGCGCGTACCCAGGTTGGAACTGAGTGGTGGCCATCCATCTGTAAGAAATGAATTACAATTACAACTAAACTCCTAAAGCACAATAAACTCGTTAGTTGCCTGCCTAGTTCCCTAGAACAATTTAGAAACGAAGATAAAATAAGTTCAAAATTAGTTTCCGTCTTGATGTGTGTAGATCTAATTAAGATTAGCTGACCCGGTGAACTCTGTTCCGCCTTAAATGCAATAAATAAGCCATCGCAATTTTTCCTTATTTGCTCACCGTTTAGACCTACCCTGGACTACGACAAACATTTTAAAACCAAAATCAGCTCAATCGACCCAGCCGTTCTCGAGTTTTAATCAGACTAACGAACATCAATTCATATTTATTTATATAGATAGATATAGATAGATTGTTAGAAAAAGTATAAAACTTAATAAATAGCAATGTTATTATTCTTGAATATATATATTCGTGGCGTTGTTAGTATTCAATTTACCTTGTGGTGGTGCTGTCTCTGTACCAACTCCTGTAGAACCCATTCATATTGGATTGAAGATTGCCAGTGAAGCTCGATCTGATGATGTACTCTTGTCCAACTTGCAATGGCTCTATGGTCGCAATTCTCAAGAAGCTTTGAGGAGCTTCACACTCGTAGGTCTGAGGAGCAGCTATTTGCTGAACCACACCCTCAGCGTCTGTGTGCTCTACAGTCAGACTGTGAATAGTCAGATCATTGCAGTGTATCACAATTTCAGAGACATTCTCTTCCGTAGCGCTCGTGTAGATCGCGACTGTTCCATCGAAAGTGAATGGTCTTTCTTCGTCTTCGAAGTACGGTGTCAGGGACAGTTCATAGTGCCTCGGCATCGTCGTCGTCGGCAGTCGGAAAGAGGCATCGTTCAGCTCCCTGCTGAATTTTGCCCATGCCTCTTCTTCCTCTAGAAGCGGTAACGGATTGAAGGTGCATACGCCCTGGAGGAGGGCAACCCCCGCCAGCAAAAGTACCCAGGAGCGCGCCTAAAACAAATCATGCATTAATTTGAGGCATTAAAATAAATAAGAAATACCTTGTACCTCGTTGGCTTACCATTATCTTAATGGACTAATGAGACTTCCACCGCATAATCTACTTGCGATTTATCGGTATCACAATTCTACATAATCTTATCAAAATTCACGTTTGGCAAATAATTGCTTTAATGCCGCTATATTGTTATTAAAGAATTAAATTTTCGTTTATCTTCATATCGGTATTGAATTATAAGACCCGGCACGCTTTGTTTTTATAAAACTGTTCAAAATAGGTAGGTATTTAATGAGTCAATATGACGTAAGTAATAACAGGCCGGCAGTAATTACTTTTCGGTACATAAACACAAGTGGGGTCAAGTCCCAATAGTTAAAACATTACTAGCGGGCGGCCGACTTTGTACGCGTGGATCCCGTTTTACCCCCTAAGGGATAGAGTTTCATTAAATCGGTTCTTAGTGGATGACTACACCCTATAAGGAACCTAACCTACCTGACAAATTTCAAGTTTTTAGGTGTTATAGTTTCTGAGAAGTAAGTAAGTAAGTAAGGCCCAGAACAGACGGTGAAACGCAACTGCAACGAAACTGCAACTCTCTGATGATTCTGAAGAATGAAACTGAAAGTTTCAAACTGGTCGCGTCATGTGTGGTCTCTAAACGGATGCTATGGCAGAAACTTGGATGCAACTCAAAAGTAACTAGCAGTTGCAGTTTCGTTGCAGTTGCGTTTCACCGTCTGTTCTGGGCCTAAGTCAATCAGTGACCTTTCGCTTTTAGATATAAGAAATAATAATACCAGAAAGGTCTATAAAACGTAAACAAAACAAGGAGTTACTTTCTAAAGTCTAACATTAATAAACCTACTCATACATACCTAACCTACAATATTTTATTTCAGTAAAGACACACAAATGGTTAGAAATCAACAAGAAAACGCTTTATCATTAAGTGCCTATATTTTTATTGCTATTTTACTTCTGAGAATAGCAATGTACCAAGAGCAGCTAATATAATAAATGTGGAACAACAACAAAATTCCAACAGTAATTAAATAAGGGCAAGATATTTCGGATGTGTATAAGCCCTGAAACGGGTATGTAAGTAGGTACGAGTACATACTACTCGTATCATAGAGTCAGTATTTGAAAGATTTGGAATTTGTAAAATAAATGAATGGAAGAATTTGGGGGGGGGGGGAAATGCACTGAATAGGGACGTTACTGTATCACACAAAAAATAAAACTACCTGTATAGTGAAATGAAATGTCTTTTATTTTCATAAAAGCTACAAAAAATTATAAGTGCTATTCTTGACAATTTATTATACTAAACATTCACTGGTTTAGTTTTACTGTGGCGGTCAAACTGCAAATAAATCCATAAAGGTTAACGGAGGGCTTAGTGTGAGTTTATATCAAATGCGCATGAAACGAGAGCAAACGAGCGCGCTTAAAAAATATATGAAAATTTTAGTTCTTGAAAGTTTCCTCTAGGGGCGCTGTACAATCCGTCATACATTTTAATAACATTTTTTACGCGCTCACTAGTGAACGCATTTGATAGAAACTCACACTCAGCCCTCTGAACGAAAATTTCATACGGCATTAAGTTCGCCATCTGTACTCTGTTATTGTGTGCAAGAGAGGAAGGAAAAATCCCATTATTAATTCAAATACATTTTGAAATAATACGTCAATATACCTAATAACAAATTACCGATTTGATTGCTTGATATTATATGGTGGCAAGGTGATATCTTATCACTGATTAGGGATAATGAGATATAATTTAATAATTTAGATTAAAGTAATCCAGTTGCGGCTGCTTGGTCGCTTAGAGCTCCTAGTGTAGTCTGAGTCGTCGAAGGTAAGTTTCTGGAAGGGTTTTTACTATTGTAAAAACCTTACGAATTATTCCTACGACAGAGCGAAGCATTGTTCATTAGATTACCCTTTGATACGATGAAATGCAAGTGAATATCTACATATTAGTACTATCAACATATTTTACACTTCATAAAAGTACTTTTTAAATCAATTCAGTAGATTTTTTTTAACACATTACTGAAAAAGGTTTTACTAAATTAAAACATTACATTATTTCTAGATGGCGACTCTCAACTTTATAATCTTAGCTGCAGTATGCTTAGCAGCTCAAGCATTTCCTCAAGATCCTACCCCATACAGAAACACCATATTCGGTGATGAAAAGCTAGAAGGGGAACCTTTTCAATATATAGACGATATTGATGACAAAAATGGACTATCCAGATCAGATGAAACAGCCAATCCCTATCGATTACCAACAACAACAAAACCTGAACACTACAATCTCCTGTGGATGGTTGAAATACCCGAAAATGTATTCTCGGGAGAAGTAGAAATCCAACTGTATGCAACTGAACCAAACGTCAACGAAATTGTCATCCATGCTCAATACTTGAACATTAATTCGATAGTGTTAAAGCTAGGTGATGATGAAATAGCGCAAACGTTCTCCTTACAGCCAGAATACGACTTCTTAAGAGTAAGCCTTACGAACGGTGTCCTGGAATATGATGCGACGTCGAATATCTTGTATAGTCTGACCATTGATTTTAATGCTCCTTTGAGAACCGACATGGCTGGTCTGTACCAGAATTGGTTCAGGAACACTGCCAATGACAGTGAAAGGTAAGCAATGTTTTTACATAATGAACTTATCTCTCAACCGTGTTATGAAACAATTTAACTGTAGACATAAGCCATGTTTTTGTAAGGATTTGATAAAAAAATCCATGATACACTAGGAATTCATCTCTTGACTGGAAATTATTTCTCTCAATGAAAAATATTATTATGTTTACCGAATAAGCAAACGTTTATTGTTTCAGCTGGATGGCATCAACACACTTCCAAGCCACCACCGCACGCTTCGCTTTCCCTTGCTACGACGAGCCCAGTTCCAAAGCCACTTTCAACATTACCGTCAGAAGGCCCGAGGGTTTTAACAGCTGGACTGGAATGAGGCTCCAGGAAACCAGAAACAGCAATATTGCGTAACTTAATTTTCTCTCTCTCTCTAGCTTACCAATTTCTAAAGATTTACAAGCGTTTGATATTAACATTACTTTACAGGGGCTACGAAGAAGACGTTTTCCACATTACTCCGATAATGCCCACCTACCTCTTGGCATTAATAGTCGCTGAATACAAAAGCCGTGAAGTTTTCAATGATGGAACCCTCGTTTACGAAGTGATTGCTAGGCCTAACGCCATTGACACAAACCAAGGAGATTATGCTTTGGAAATTGGACAAAAACTTTTGGCAGAAATGAGCGATCACACGGCCCTTGACTTCTATGATGTGCACCCTTATCTCAAGATGACACAGGGGGCCGTCCCAGACTTCCGTGCTGGAGCTATGGAGAACTGGGGATTGTTACTGTACAGGTACTGAGATTTTTTGTCAAAAAAAAATATTCTCTAACATTGCGTTAATAAAAACAAAATATAGGCTGGCGATTTATCAAACATTTTTCCCACCAAGATCTTACTCTATTTTTGCAAATTTTTGAACAGGGTTTACTTATTAATAATTTAAAATAATATAATTATTTAATGCTCCCTCCTGAAACATGGGTCATTCTTGTTTTAGTTGTACCAGTATGATCACTGGCAATATACGAGTATATTGCACTACAAAAACATCCTATATTAATAAAAGGTGTAGACTGTAGTTAACTCCCCATACCATATCATCATATCATACTTGCAATTCTCCTTACCAGGGAAGCTTATATATTATACGACGAGAACCACACAAACAGCTACTTCAAGCAGCTGATTGCTTACATCTTGTCACATGAAATCGCTCACATGTGGTTTGGTAATCTCGTCACTTGCGATTGGTGGGACGTGTTTTGGCTCAACGAAGGATTCGCCAGATATTATCAGTACTACTTAACTGATTGGGTATGTTCCATCATCAAAACTTTCTTTGGTAAAACCTAAATAACTAGAGCTCTTTCAAATAAGACGTTTTGAGCCGGGTGGTTGTTGTACGTATGCAAGTCCGCACACTTACTGTTGGTACTTGTCAATTTAATTCCAACGCAATTAGTATCATACAATTTTCCGTGTGCGGACGACAACCGTCCGTCTCAAAAAGTCTTATTTGAACCAATCACACTATTAAATGTACACTTGAGATTAAATGGAATTCAAAAGTGACATTCATTACTCGTATAGTCTTAGCAACTATAAAGGATGACAAACTTGGAATAGTGATTTGAGAGCACTATTTAACTAATGTTTGTTTTAACTGTTTTATATCTTCTATAATTTGATACCCTCTTTGATCATTGTTTTTAGATTATACCTGAGATGGGTTTCGAAAAGCGTTTCATCAACGAACAAGTTCACACCTCGCTCCTCACTGACTCAGCCAATAACCCTCATCCTTTAACTAACCCTGGGGTTGTCCACGATCCAGTTCAAATAAGGGCTATGTTCTCTACGATCAGTTACAACAAAGGTGCTGCAATCATTAGACAGACTGAACATCTTCTGGGGTTCAATGTCCACAGACAAGGTTTGAGAAGATATTTAGTTGACAGGTAAATAAAACATCCTGTAATCTTTTCTTTGCATTGATGAAATTTTTACAACAAGACACTATACTACAGTTAATGAAGTTCGATAATATATTTATTGCATGTACATTTGTACTACATGGAGTGGAACCTTATTAAAATCAATCTTATTCTTGTATTTTAACTTAAAGCACATAATAATAATATTAAAGTCCTGCAAGTTTATATTTATTATCCTTACGTTTTAGATCATTCAACACTGCGCAACCAATTCACTTATTCGAAGCTCTTCAAACCGAAGCTGTAGCAGCTGGTGCAATTGCTCAGTATGGAGACGACTTTAACGTCATCGACTATTACAAAACATGGACTGAACAGGCAGGACACCCAGTACTCAACGTTGAAGTTGACCACCAAACTGGTCAAATGACTATTTATCAGGTAAATAAACTCATAAGCATTTCAAGGTTAAGATCAATATAAATTTTATACACGTGAAAAATACCTTTTTCCTTTTAGCGCCGTTTCAACATTAACAGCGGTTACTCTACAGCTACCACTAACTGGATCGTTC